CACAGACTCCTCAGCTCCCCTCCGCCCCCCCGCCGCCGCCCACACCCATTCAGCGGCAGACTCGGCTTATGATTGGCTCGATTGTATCGTGACATCAGAACCCAACGTGGGGTACCTGTAGAGTGATTGGTTTCAACGGGCTGCCCCTCAACCAATCAGAGCGCAGAGACAGCTCTCAGACAACTAAGAGCTTTTAAGGTGGAACCTCTAAGATGGCGGTATCATTTTCTCCAGTCTAAATTGAGACATGTAGGCTACGTATTAAACCTATCCACTCACCTTTAGAGCTTGTAAGAAAAAGTACAAGGTAGGAGTAGTTGGCGAACTTACAGGTGACCTGCTGTGACTGGGAGTTTAACCGTTTTCGTCGACGCTTACTTTCTGGTTTAAGGACAAAGTTAGTTTTGAGGTTGTCGTCCATTAATCTTACATATTTCATGACCCGCCATTGACGAGTGCTTCAAAAGTGCAACTGTTTGCTGTTATTTACTGTTAAATTGCAGCTGTTTGCTGTTGTTTACTGTGAAATTAGTCGTCTAGTAATGTCTCTGGTTGTCTTTTGTGTCTCACTGTCTGTTAGGATGCTGACCGTCTTCCTCTGTGGGTCTCCTCAGCCGTGGACCCCTGACCCTCCTCACAGATGACAAGGGCAGAGTTGAGTAAACAGCACCTCATCAGTGCAAACCAAAAGTTCTCTTAAACTAGCATATAAATTTTTTCAAGTGGCTATTCAAAAAGTTTTTTTCTTGCGGAAAAAAGGTTATCTTATTTGTTGCCTCTTATAATCTGAAGTGTCACCCTGCACTTCAGATTCAACCCAACAATAATAGAGCATCCAGTGTTATGAATGGTTTCTCTGTTACTGTGGCTACAAACATGAAATACAAATGGTGGCCTTGACATTAATGTGACTGCTATTACATTATCTCTTAAAGAGATAAGATTAGCTGCCAGTAACATCACCATGGACGAAAATGCTCCGAACACACATTGTGCTTAGATTCATGTTTGAGGTTAAGGCAATTTCATAAAGCGGTTATTTAAATCCACATGCAAGCTCTGAACTGAACTCCTGAATTGATTTAATGTTTGTGTCTGTTTATGTGTTTGTAAGTCTGCCTGTCTGTCTCTCTAAAACAAAGAGTGAGGAGTCAGGGGACTAATTACCTGCATAATCCATTCTAGACAATTAGATAATGCTGATTAGTACAATGAGCTACAATGGTGGTGTGGGCATTGTTGAATGACGTAGTGTGTAATGTGTATGCCTGATGGGGAGAATAAAAGCAGATAGGAGGAAGGACAGGACAATGAAACAGAGAGAGAGAGAGAAAGAGAGTGAGAGGTTGGAAATGGAGAGGACATGGTCTTTTGGGGAAAAGATATTACAAATATTTGCAATGAATACTCAAATTTGACAGATTGTCTTTTTTTTTTTGTTGCCCAACTAGCACTGCTGCTTCGGGGCATGAAGACTCCAGGTTTCGGAGTTGAGCAGCTTGTGCTTTACTTTAAGTAAGCATGTTCTCTCTGTGTTTGCGAGGATGTCCTTCCACAGTCTGAAGACATGCAGGTAAATCAGAGACGTTGTATTGTATCGACTGTATTGTAGTTGTGCTGGTGTTAGACATCTTCAAATCTACTGCTCTGTGTGAGTTACTATTTACACATCTTAAGGGAACATAAATTCATGTGTTCAAACTTCATTTAATTTAAAAAGGACATCGAGGTTTATCTCATTTTCAGTGTTATTGGGATCACAGACACATGCTCACAGACAGATCACACACAGATCACAGTTTCATGGTGAGGCACACTGAAATAATAAAAGCATTTCTGATCAGCTCAAGTGTAGAGTGGTTGAGAGCAGACCTTGTTACATGTTTTCACATTTTCCCGCATAACTAAATACCAAGCAGAATAAGACTTGAGATGATTGACTACTCTAATAAAAGTATCTTACTTTGAATCAAACAGTATTAATATTTTTGGCCTGTAAATTTGCACATCATTTTGAAGAGCGCATTTGGGTTAAGAACGAATGAGTTCCTGGTCATTAACCATACTGAAACTAATACTGATTCCACTGTTTGACCTCCAAAACTGAACAAGACCATCAGCGACAAGATAGATTATTTTATATATTGATGTTTTTAAAGTCTGAAACCATTGCCTCAGAGTGGGTGACTGAGGATCTGATCAGATGCATGTTGCTGAGAAAGCCTTTTCCTAGTTCCTCCTAGGAGCTCTTAAGAACTGACAAAAATTACACCATAGTTTTTTTATGAATAACCTCACAAATTCCTATTTATTTTTATCTAAATAGATTCCCTTTATGCAGTCATATGGTCCATACAGATCTGTATGCACCTTTTTATAAACTCTTACATCTAACTGTTACTATTTTAAGTGACACGAAGCTTGTTAGCCCTAGCACGCTGTTGATGATGCTGCTGAGAACTTCAAATTGACAACATGGTATCTATGACGCTTCATCTATATGTCCAATAATGCCTAAGAGCCGTTACATGTGCTGTGTTTATATCCTCATCCTCATACTTCTTCTTTGTATCAGACAAATTGTTACTCAAAGCCAAAAATCAAATTAAAAATTGCACATCGTCTTTTAACCGTCCATTAACCAAGTTTGTCCCATTGTGGTTACAACAAACATTAGTGTCTTTGAACAGCAGGTTAACCTAAGCCAGCATTAGAGTCCACCAAAAAGGATCCATAGTGTCTGTTATTAGACTGCATTGGATAATAGGATGTCTCTATCTGACCTTAATTGAGGCTTTGGGACTGCCCTCTGGCTAACCCTCTTGTTATCATATGCTGTTTCTGTCTTACTGGAAACCCTTCACGGATGCCAAGAGCGACTGTGTCCGATTTTTACAGTGTCAGATTAATGGCTGTTTGATCAAGTTCAAAGACAGAGCTGCCCTGGATAAACTCATTATAAACAGCGCCAGAAGACGGTCGGGCCAGTCTGCTGTGCTTTACATAGAAAAGCTTTAAATACCAAGTCTTATAGGCCCATTCTGGGCAGTCCTGTAAATAACATGTGTACCAGAGCCAGCAGTCAAAAGTAGGAAGGCAGACATTTATATCCTGCTGTAGCAGGGGTATTTGTGGGGTGTCGTAGTGGTAATCCTCAAGACACCAGACTTAATGATATTGGTGACATATTTGGTGGTAAGTGAGTGTTGTTGTAGTGTGTCTGTGCTGCATGTTTGCATGGTTGGAAGGCTACTGCAACACAATGTGAGGCTTCTTATTTACTGATGATTTGGTGGAATTTTTACTGAAAGAATCGGCTCAGATTTAGTCTTTATTAAGACAATGAATCACATGAAAACATAAATCAGTACATGAGTCATGATTTCTCCCCAAAAGACCACCCACCAACATGCAGGTTGACTTGTAACCGGACAGTGTCAAAATCCTCCGTTTTTTCTGTGCTGCAGCCTGGTGAGTCATAATGTGAGGACCTCTCTGGACATCAACATGATAAACTCTGTGCAATCTTATTTCCCTTTGCTCTGTGGATGAAGTTTCTTGGCTGCAGACGATTTAAGAGTTGACGCATGTGTTCTGACATGATGATGCATTCACACTCGACAAACATCTGGATGCAGTGCCTTCCGTACCCCATCCAGAGGTGGTTTACGTAGTCAGATAAATGGCTTTCGACAGCGGATCTAAAGTGTGTTTACACCTGGATTTATATGCGATTAAGCACGATCAGATAGCCCTCCAATCATCTGAGATGCATTGCAATGCAATGTGTAAACTGTAATAAACTTATCACTCTGAGTAACTGTTGTGTGTGTTTCTGCAGCTGTGTGTGTGTGTGTCTTAGTGTGTGTGTAAGTGTGTCCACAGAGCTGTCATGTATTTGTGTATGAGTGTCGGAGCGTTTGTGTGCGTGAATCCCGATTCATATCACTTTGAGCCTAAGTCTTTGTGCATGACTGATTGCTTTGTCTGTCTGACCACAACTGAAAAGAGATCTATCTCTCTCTCTTTGCCTCTCTCCCTTCTCCCCCGCCTTCCTCTCTGTGACTTGGTGTCTCTATCTGCTCAGTTCCACCTTAAGAGGAGCTTTAGCAGCCTGTCGTGTTTGTGTTGAAGCCAACAGGCACAATATATTACAGTCTAGGGCTTGCTGCTGAAAAGCCCGCTGGATCCTACACTGACCTGCTGTTCTTTCCTGCTTTTCTCTCGTGTTTTTTCCACATTTAGATTAAAAACAAAGCTCTCACTCTCTGTCCCTCTCTCTCCCATTTCTCCTCCCTCCCTCCTCCTTCTTCTTCTTCTTGTTCTTCTTCTCCTCCTTCATATCCTTCTTCTTTTCTGCGACTGCAGTCAAGGCTTCAGCGTGTCAGAGAGAGGGTGAAGAGGAAAAAGCAGAGAGGAAGACTATTTGGACGGAGCTGAGTGTGTTTACATTTGTGTGTTTCGCCATTGGACGGCCGGGTGAAGGGGCACGAGAAGGAGGAGGAGGAGAAGAAGAAGAGGGGTGCCTGCCTGGATGAAATTCTCTGTGTCATGTCACTATGTGTGGATCTTGACTGATCACAGGTTGAGGGAAAGGAAAGAGACACCGCAGGAGGACGAGGAGATAGAGAGAGAGGAGAAGAAGAAACCGAGACTTTGAAGAAGAAGAAGAAGAAGAAGAGAAGAAACAGGAGAAGGCAAAGTCTGCTGCTCTGTTTTATCATGACACGATTGGATAAACAAGGTGATGAATTGAGCGCTCTTCAGTTGTGTGTCAACAGCAATTCTCCGTAGAAAAGTGAGAGGAAGAAAAGAAGACTGTGAGGAGTAAACAGCGCTGTGTGAACAGGGACAGGACTTTTTGAGTGTGTGTGTGAGAGTGAGTGTGTGTGTGTGTCAGTGTGTAAGTGGGTGTGTAACCGGTGGAGGGCAGAGGAGTGGAGGGCCAGGGGACTAACCTGGCCATCAAACGGACTGGCAGCCTCTCCTCTCCTGGGATCATGTACCCTCAGGGAAGGCATCCGGTAAGTACCTCCTCATGCCTCTTTCTCCTCTCTCTGTCACTTTTTTCTCTCTATCTTTCCATCTTTTTTCCACTTTAGCTCTATCACTTTTTAGTCTCTGTTTCACCTCGTTCCCCTTCTGTCCCTTTTTTGCACTGTCTCTGTCTTACTCCCCTCCTTCCTCCTTTCCCCCCCTTCCACTCTATCTCTCCTCCGTCACTTACTTTTCATCTTAAGTCTTCCTGTGGCTCATCTTTCCTTTCCTCTGTCCATCTTTGCAAGCCTGTCTCTGCTGTCCCTCTCTCTTGTTTAGTTATAAGGACTGTTCTGTAACATGAGCAGGGGGACATGAAGGGAGGGGAGAGTGCTTGGGCTAAGAGATTCTCTGTTATGCACACACACACGCACATGCGCGCACACACACTGTCAGCTGCAGCCAGGTGCCTTTGAGATCCTGTTGATGGTCAGCTCTGTTGGAGGCTTTTGACTGAATCTGCACCTCTCCACTTGTGTGCACTCATCGTCTTTAGGTGTGTGTTCATGTGACAATGAGCATGTGCAGCGTGTGCGTGACCGTTTTGATGGGTGTTTGCATACGTGCAAATTAATCAACACAACTGTCAGCTGTCCATTTTCTCGGTTCAGTTGCCGAGCGAATGCTTGCGCACACACGCGCACACACAGGCAGGCTGTTTAAATGATAGTTTAATTCCACTTAATTCATTTCCATTAAAGCTAAAAAAGGTCACGAGTGCACCCAAAGTACATCCCCTCTAATTCCTCCTCAAAGTCCCTCTCCCTCCTTGAGTTTCAGCCGTCATCAACAGTGAGAATTTGCTGTTAATTTACCTGCCAGGCTGAAATAAAGGTTAAATACATAGAGTCAAAAAAAAAGGCCCAGAAGGATGAATGACAGCTTAGGCTCAGTCTGGCTTAGGCCAGTCGTTTCACAGGGGCCCTGGTCCGGTTGCTATAATCAGATTTGGTTGTCAGTCTCTTTGTATCTGCTACAAATGGGTCAGTGGCTACTTTGCCTCGCAGCCAGCCAGCCTGCCAGCCAGCCAGCCAGCCAGCCAACCAACCACTCAGTCATCCAGCCAGCCAACAAGCCAGCCAGCTAGCTATCACACAGAATTATGAATGACATTTTCACAAGAGGAAGGCATGAGGAATCAATTATATGTACAGAGAGAATGCTAATAAGCCAGCCGCTGCAAGAGGAGGGAGAGAGAGAAACAAGAGAGAAGTGAAAAACAAAGGAGAGAAAGTGAAAGATGTAAGAGCCAAGAAAGGAAAAAAAGAGAGAAAAAGAATTCTTTTAAAAGGCACGGCCGGGGGTGGAAAGAGAAATGAAAATGAATGAGAGATGCAAAGGAAGAATAGAGTGTGAAAATTCCTCTGTTCTCTCTTTTAGAGGCGAATCACAGAGCCTCCTACTGTGAAGCTCTGCGTTTTTGATAAAGTTCAATCCCAGATTGAGCCAACTTCAACCAATCAATAGCTCCTATCGCCCCTTTCTATCTCTCATCCGTTTCTCCCTGGCTCTCTTTTTCCTCTTTCTCCTATCCTTCAGTGAAACTTTATTTCTGGTCTTGCTGTGAAATATGATCTGCTGAGAGGTGTGAGGGTGTGTGTGTGTGTGTGTGTGAGCAGTTGTAGTGCGTGCATGTGTGTGTTAGTGGTGTGAACCTACCCTTGTGTACAGTACATTCAGAAACACACGAGTGTTTGTGTTTGCCTTCCCAATTGCAAACAGTTAAAATATGAAGTTCATCCAGTTTCTTATCAGACAATCTGCTTTCCCACTCATAGAATGTAACTCCTGTCAAAGTCCTCTATGCCGGTGCTTTCAAGTTACAAATACTTTAACATCATCATGTGAAGCAAAAATTGCCTAGTGGGGTTAACAGAAGGGTTTTAACTCAAGATAATTCATTAAAAAATACTGTGTGAAATATGTTTGATTCCATGTTAGCTGGTAGTTTTCAAAGTTGTGGTGGATTTTTAACAATCTGGACGTGCCGCAGTTTTACTCTGATCATGCTGGTTCATGCCCAAGTGTTCAATTCCCTGAAAAGTTAAGTTGTTCAGCGATGATTGATTGACAGCTCTGTTGACATATTCGGGCTTCTGAAGTGTTATGTATGGATGAACAGAGGCGGAAGGAGGAGAAACTGAAATAAAAGCTAACACAAGAGTCATGAATGTCAGTTCTGCTGTGCACTGTAATGAGTAGAGGGACCTTAGACATCTGGATCTGTAGATTTTAATCGAGTTTTGATCATAGACTATAAATAGAATAGACGCTGTCTACCTCCTCGCTGGGTGAAGCCACCCCGAGAACAGCACATTTTGGTGACAGGCTGCAGTATAGGTCATAAATCCTACCTTCTCCAGCAATCCCTATGGAGCTGTGGACAAACTTTAGAAATTTATTACACAGAATATAAATTTTTCTTCACCCCACTTGTAATGTTGACATGTAGTTACTGTAAGACTGGTTTGTGCTAAAGTCCTCTTTTTTTCTGTACAGCTCCACTTTTAAAAGTTTTTAGGGGGTTCATGTTTTCTATGATTGACACTTGATACAGCCTATGGGCGTATGAAGGTTGCATAGCTCACCCTACTTTTTTTGAGTCGAGCGTCGAGTTTTTCGGATTCAAATTCGTATATTGGTTGAAGGTGGAACCAAGTTGTCCATAGTATATATAGTCTATGGTTTTGATCGGTGGAGGAGGTGTGATGTAATTCCTGCCGCTCAGCCAGTGTGATCACCTCTGCTCTTGCTGTTGTTTAATCAGTGCAATTAATCAGCGACCAACATGGTGATATTTTTCTAGAGTGGGATTAAAAGTACAGTTTGTAAAAATGGGAATGTTTAACAATATCTGTCCGTCAGATTCTCGATAAAAATCCTCCCTTGCATGATTCATAATAAACATGACCTTCAATTTGTCAAATTCTACCAAAATTGTCTATCAATATAAATTCTTTGCATTCAACATCCTCTCTAATCTTCATCTTCCAACCAGCAGCTACTTCCTAAATAAAAATGCATCACTACCTTGTCCAATCTTTGCTACAGTAGAAATATAGCAGAGCAAGTCTTTCCTGCCAAAATCACGCTAAGTAGTACACACTGGACCTTTAACGGTCACACATCATTCATTACAACCAGACTGGGCAGATATCACGCAGAACAGCTGGAAAACATCATAAGAGTTACCAGAAACGGTTTCATCTATAAAACATGATCCAGTTTGACCATGATCAATAAATGAAATACATCAAGTTTTGTTTGTTGTATAATAATCAGTAAGAGCAGTGCCACAGAAATACTTGTATAACAGCTTTAAAAAATGACTTTGGGGCGCACAGATGGCTGAGCAGGTAAGCACACCCCACTTATGGGGACAACAGTTCCCGCGGCAGTTGCGGGTTTGAGTCTGGCTCCGACCATGTGCTGCATGTCTTTCCCCATCTTTCTCTCTGTCTCCCCATTTTTCCACTTTGTCCGATCAATAAAGGTGAAAAATTGCTTAAAAAAATGACATTGACTGCAATATTAATTTTTTTGGTCCGAACTTGGCTAACAGCAAGCCTCCTCCAAATTGCAAGGAAATGACTCAGAAGTATAAGAAATATTAAAAAGAATTTATTTGACCCCCTTTAAACAGGCTTTGACACTATTCCTTCAGTATTATTGTTATTGCCTTTGTGTCAGTCAAATATTATAGTCCTGTCAGTCATTCACAGTCGAGCACAGAGCTGGGCTAAAAAACCTCCCCTCTTAAACCTTCAGCATCCCTTCAGGAACGATGAGGAAGGTGTTTTCAGCATAAATAGAAAAAAATCCCCAGCAGTTGTGATTCTCTTTACTGGAGCAGTCGACTTTGTTCTCCTCGCGCCCTGACAGGAAAAGGTTAAAACCCAGGGCTGATTTGCCAAGTGAGCGAGCTGTAATTGGTTCCACTGGATTTTTGTGGCAAGCTTTATCAGAACTCTGTACGTGTGTGTGTGCGTGCGCGTGTGTGTTTGTGTGAGTATGTCTGTTTTTACTGGATTCCTGTTCATGTTGCCTCGTTTCTTGAGTGATTTTTGAGAGTATACATGTCTGTATTTACAGTGTGTGTTGCTGTGCTTGTTTGGCCAGATGTGGGTTAAGGTGTGCTGCCATCACGTATCTCCCCTGTGTGGGTTCATGTGCGCATTGGTTGGAAAGTGATTCATGTTGTTGTAAATATATATTTTAGAGTACTGTGTTTGTGTTTGCGTGCATTGTGTTAGAGTTTGTATTTGTCCTTGCTTTCCCGGTAGAGTGCTCGTGTCTGTGATTTTAGCTCTTAAAGTATGTGTGTGTGTGTGTGTGTGTGTGTGTGTGTGTGTGTGTGTGTGTGTGTGTGTGTGTGTGTGTCAGCAACAATAACAATAAATAATGTTGCAGTTCGACCTCGACGGTTGCTGTGAATGTACAGGCTCTTGATTGGCTGCCAAAGAGGAGGATGATTTACTCTCAGTTTAGAAAGATATCTTTAAAGTCTGTCCTGCAACCATCTCTGGTCAGATCTAAGACTCGCTCTTATTCAAACACATTTGAGTTTACATTTTTTGGGGGGCTTTTCTTCTTTGATTTAGAGAGGACAGGACAGTGGACAGAGCAGCAAACACAGAGCAGGGGGAGTGACATGCAGGAAAGAAGCCATGGTCTGGAAGGGAAAAGGGGCCGGCTGCATAAGGCAGGCCAGGCAAGCCCCCAGACATTTAAGCCTCACATTTACTTAAAGCATTGATTTATCTATGTACCACCAACACATTTATACCTACAAATCCATAACTTGAAGTTTCACCCTGGTTGTGTATTTGCCTAAACTAGGAGTTGTCCCCAAACTCGAGGATAACTTGTAGTTGGACTTGTAGTAACTCTGTAGTTTAGAGTCTGCAGGCTGGTCAGTTTTATCAGCAGGTGCACCCTAAGGAGGGAATAACTAGGAGAGATTGTCTTCAGATTATAGCTAAAAGTTTGACATACTGTCCCTTGACTGCAAGAGAAATATTTTATGAAATAATAATAAATACATAACTAAACATGCTCTGAACATCATTATTACATTGTGTAAACCCGTCGTGCCTCTTGGATCAATGGAATTGCTTCCAATAAGTTTAGTATAAACCTGATGGCCAATACTTTAGACCACTAGCTTTAAAGTTTAATAGATGGAAACTTAATTTTGACCAATCAACTAAAGATAGGAGAACAGAAAAAAATCAAAGCTGTGTAGAATTTTGATGGTTTGTTGGCCAATAATGTAAAAATGCAGAGTTAGCACCATCAGCCTTCAACCATGCTTGCAGGTTAACATCCACATGCCTATGCTTGATACACCTTTGTTTACTTGAGTGGCTATAAACCAGTTTATCCTGACAAAGCCTACAAACGTCTTTATCTCCTTTTTTTTAAAAGATCAAAATACTGCTAAACCCTGCTGCTCTCTGAGGCGCCATCTGTCCTCTGAGCTTGTCTACATCAGGTAGTAGAGCATTATGACAGGACAGCAGTCGTCACCAACCCAGACAGATTCTGCCGTTTGATGCAGAATCTGAAAATAGAGGTGAAAAAATAGATTTTCTTGCTCCGTTTGGAAATATATCTCATCAGAAATAGTATTTGTTGACTTGTTATCAGAAATGTGTGAAAGAGAAGAAGGCATGTCAGAAAATCGTTACAACCACGGTGTGTAATCAAGTCTGTGTGTGCATTGTGAGCGCCTCCTCTCCTCTGGCCATTAGTAGGGTTACACTTAAATTTTACAGCCAAGTAAACAAACTGGTGCCAAATATGTGGCCACAGGAATCACATATGCTCCGTTTATGAGGGCAGAGTTACATCAAGTGTGTTCGTGTGTTTCTCCAAGTTGATTTTTATATTGGTGTGTGTGTTTTTGTTAATGCTCATGGCGTTGCATCTGTAGTTAATCATCAGTCCATGCTGTATTGGCTAAGCTCACAATAAACTTTATTTTTATCTTCTGGTGGTGTCAGGCCGTTTGTTTTCTTCCAAAATTTATAGCTGTAATGAAAGCCATGTATGGTAAACAGCACTGGCGATTTTTTTGTCACCTCCCACAGATGACATTCTCCCCTCCTTTCTTCGGTCCTCATCTTGTTTACATTTAATTTCATCCAGAATTTCGGAGGCAACCCCCCCATTAAACGGCTAAAGGACAAGCAACAACAAAACAGCTGCAGCGAGACAGCCATCAGGACAAGCAAAAAGTCGTACAAGCCACAGAGAACTTCATCCTCAGCCTTACAGATTAAGTCGGCACCCTGATTAAAAAAAAACAGCCCATTTTCTACCCGTAAATCGTGTGCTCTGTGTTCTTTGTCATTAAAAGAAATGATCAGAGAGAGGCTTGGATGGGGTCCAGAGACTCTTTTGGCTGCCAATCTTTGTTTGATTTGTAATCCACCGCTGGCTTAGTAACTGACTGGTGAGCTGCAGTATTAACTGACTAGCTCTGTGGAGGACTGACTGATTAACTAGTAGGCTGACTGGCTGGTGAACTTTTAGCCCAGTTGTTTGTTTAGCACAGCTTTAAGGTCACTAGCCATTTTTATGATGGGATGCTCGCAGTAAGTCTAGCTCGAGTTCTCAAAGCCTTTAAGTTGTCAGTGTTTAGAAAAAAACTTGTCAGAAAGTGAAAGAAAATGTGAGTGCTTCATCAAAAGATGGCTGGAAAAGTTAGTTATATTCCCTCTCTTCCCTGCAGCTCTTCTTCAGCCTGCCGTCCAAACCAGTGAGCTGTTGCTTATGTTCTCTGCTGCTCACTTCAGCAGACACAAACACACACAGACGTGTACACATGGGGGGCTCTGACACTCCTCTGCCACACTTGGTATTTCTCATCTATTCATGTGCGTTTTTCCTAAATATTTCACCAGCCAATTATTATTTCATGCGCTATCTGAATGTGTCTCTGCTTGTCTCAGAGACACTTGGGTGAAAGGAAGAACAAAGGGGCTAAGAAGGAAAGGAAAGAATGAAAGGAGAAGAAGGGAGGGAGGGAGGAATCCAAGAGAAAGGGCACGAGGAAGAGAAAGTGTTTTGTTTGAAGGCACTATGAATGTGTCCATGCATAGGCATGCCTGCTTAAACCGTGTGAACGCTCATGTGTTGGAAGAAAGTGTGCCAGGGGCTTAAGAGAGACAGAAAATACAGGCAGAAAGAAACATCTCTTCTGAATCAGTCTGAATCAGGGCTACGTCTGAGTGTTTTTATTCTTGAATGGAATTCAGAAAGAAAACAGTTTCCATCCAGATGCACAGAATTTCACAACTAATGTGTCTTTGTCTGAATATTTAAATGCATACTACAAAACCATTTATGTGAGGTGGACAGATGAATGCTGCTGTTAAGAAGCATAAAAGAGGTCCACTCAATTACAATGCAGGCAAATACCTGTCGTACACCAGGTCATCCTGCTCGTATAGGAAAGCCCCTCTCTGTCCAGGTAGCAAAAGCTTCAGTGTGACCTGCATTGACAACATGGCTTATTAAAACACAAATCAGGGGAAATAAGATTGAATTAGTGATAAATACTAATTGTATCTGTAATCATTACTCTTCAACTATAAAGGCTGTCATAGCTTTTGCCCTCTAGGTTAAGGTTGTATTTTTCATTAGAGAATTATCGTTAAATCTGGAATAAAAGTTGCGGTATATGAGACGTAGTCTGTTTTCAGAGGTCTGCCAGAGGCTAAAAGTTTTAAACTGTCTTCCTGAGTTCCTTACTGTTCATTTCCACAACATGTAATTTTTGTGCAATCTTTCTGATCCATCTGTTTTTACCATCTCAACTTTGCAATCCCTCTCACACCGAGCTACTGCTAGTTTGCTATGAAGTACAGACCCACTGCCTGCCCCGTACTTCTAACTTTTCAGGTGTCTTAATAGGAATTAAACTGTATCTTATCCACAGAACAATTTACAGTTTTACAGAACAATGTTGCTGCTGCTGGCTGTAAGTCTTTGTGTCATGTTAACAGATCTCCTGGCCCCTCTTTGTTGTGTAATGTTGTAGTTAGGGCAGGGCGATTAAATGATAACATTATACATCGCATATCAATATGAAACATGGTCAATATGCTTTTCGATAGTCGGCATTCTGCCATGTTTTGTTAGACTACACGAATAGCTGATGAAAAGGGGAGTTGCTGCGCTGAACCAAAGTGTGCTAAATTAGAATCAAGTAGCAAACAACTGTGTAGTAGCAGGCTGCAGCTACACGTAGTCATAGCACTTTAACCTGTGAAGCCGACAGCACTGTTGGTGATAAAAAAAGAAAATGAGTGCCACCCCCAATAGAAATGCTCAACAGATGAAGATATCGTCGACAACACTGGCACGAAAACGTGTAGAGTAATGTGCACTGCAAATTATGTCAAGTACATGTTAAATTTAATTTAAGAGTAACAGGGAATATTTAAGATTGACAAGTGAATTTTTTATATTGTGATACATATCGATATCGATTGATATGAAAAAAATATATTGTGATAAACTTTTTCCTGTTTCGCCCAGCCCCAGCTGTAGTGAATACACTCACAAATTGCCCTGATTCTGCCTTCCAAAACTGTTGCACCACATGCAGGGCTTTTAATTCAGCTAAACATTGAATTAGAGTTATGAAGATCTTGCTCCATACACTTTTAGGTAAAAATACCATAATAAAATGCTAATATTTGTTAAACTGCAGCTGCTGGAATAGAAAACAAGTTAGGATCAGCTGAAAAATGTTACTCACATTAGGTGCTGCAAGTCAGGTCATTTGATTTCTATAGATTGTTTTAGATTAGATTAGATAGACTTTATTGATCCTTTTTGTGAAGGTTCCCTCAAGAGTATGTTAGAGGGTGTTTGGGCTGTTAGTTCCAATAGTCTCTCTTCCTGTATGGTACACCAATATGCACCCTCAGTATTTTGGTATTTAAAGGTGGTCCACAGCATTTTCAAAAGACTCTGTTTTAGGACTTTAGGACTGATAGTGTGGACACTCAGACGTAGTAACGCACAACATAATAGTGTGGATGTAGATCCAGACCACATCTGTCTCGCAGTTGCTGTCTCATTCATGCAGCTCTTGCCAGTTGAGAAACAGGCAGCTGCTGTAATAGAAAAACATTACTGTGATCTCCGTACAGACAGACAGGCAGAGAGACTGACACAGGGACAGATGGAACCAGATTGACCTAATAATCTGACTGGATGAAAAAAAAAAAAAAAAACTAAAAATAAGTCATGGGATGAAATCAAACTGCAAGATGGTTACAAAGTCTTTTGGGGATGCTAATTGGGGCAAAGAGGGGATGAGGTAACATTAGAAATATGGGATAAGCGGGCTAAAATTAAAGCAGTGCACTCTACAGGACTTCAAACTTTTATGGACCGGAAAAAAGAGGCAAAACTTGTGACTGACAGACTGACAGGTGATGATTACAGCCAGTGTGTCCCATCTTCATCCTGTTATGTGATACAGCACGATGGGCTTCAACTGCCACTCCTCTCCAATCTCCACCCCCACCCATCACCACCACCATAGATAATCCCTCCTAATTCTCTGCTGGCTCGTGCCAGCTCGACCAAATTGTGATTGACTTCTGTCCCACATGGAGTCTATGCTGTGTGTGTTTGTTTGTGCACAAGTGACCCCTCCCTATACCCCCTCCTCCACCTCCACACCTCCACCTCCTAGATTAACTGGATCAGTTTTGGGTTTCAGGATCCCCTCTGCTGGCTGCTACGGTGCTTACACTCATGCGTGCGCACACACACACACACACACACACACACAGGCATAAAAACACAGGCGCTAGGCTGTTTTTTTGGCCCCTTTCGTGATACGCTGTTGGACCCCTAACAGTCTGAGCTGCCATCTGTCATGATACAGGAGAGACCAGATACATACGCACACTCAAACAACAAATGTTTGTCCTGGTGTGCGTATGGCTTGACTCGAGGATACTTCTGTAAACACTATTGAGGGAAGGACACTCATCCCCTTGTTCAAATAACATCTAACTGAATCCCATGACTCGGATGAGTAATTTGTGCGTCGCCATCTTGAATAGTAGCCGTTACTTCTGTCTAAGATGGCTTGATTAAGAACAGCTGCTGAAGAGGGGACCTTCATCAGATGATTGGAGCGTTATTTGGAGTTATCATATCAGACATGACTTACAAAATAGTACAGTAGTAGTACAAAGTACATAGTAATACAAAAATAGTCTGATTTACATGTGGAGAAGCACAGAAAAGAATTGTTCTACTTTACTTGTGCTGAAGTTAAATATAATGTAACGTTATTCTACCATGCTAGATAAGTAAGTCAATTAACAGCTGCTTTTAATCATTGTAGGCTAGTTTTTGCATATACAATAAATATATATTAAATCGTTACCTCCTTTCATTATGTATTCTTTGATATGCTAGTGCACCTGTGCTGTAATGAGTACATGCACCTCCTTGGTTGGCCTGCTAGCTAGTGAAAGAACAATATTTACGAGGTCATTTAAGCAATCGTCTCGCAATGAACAACAAAGGAAGTTCCAAAGAAAGCAGCGAAACTACTACTATTAATATTAATCTGAATCTCTAAGTTTCTGCTCCCATACCAGGGGACTCTTTATGAAGTCTTGTGTAAAGTTAAAGTTTGTTGTTAAAGATTTAGCAGCTGAAACTTCACAACTTCTTACACATGCAATCTAGTCAAGTTACAGTAAGTAAAAGTAGACACTTAACACTTAGAGTCTTACGTGCAGATGTTTAAGAGATTTCGGTAAATTACAGTAGTTCATCAGTTAGATCTGAAGGTGTCCAAATCTGCAAAATGAGTCTCCTCTTTTTTTCCAATGAGCAAAATCTGATTTAAGTGGGACTCTTCTTACTCGACGGGCACAGCTTAAGCACACACAGAATATTTCTGCTTTTGCCTGGAGACCTTTAAACTTTCCGTGTGTGTATGCGTGTGCGTACTTTTTCATTTCCTTCTTGCTTGTAAGAAGTTTTATTGCTCCGGGATCCATGAAACTCATTCAAGAAGGTGTAGCTGGCGAATCAAAAGAAAGTTATTCCTGAGTTTAAGCCCAACAGATGAAAGAAATTCAAATCTCTCATCGGCACAGTGCAGAGGTCGCATTGTTGACACCGACGGCTGCCACGCGCAGATCTCTTGTATAATCCTGATCTGTGACTATGGGCTTTGTTATATGACTTAGTGCTGCTGATGTAACTGGCCAGCAGCACTGAGTGTGTGTGTGTGTGTGTGTGTGTGTGTGTGTGTGTGTTTATGTGTGTCTGCATGTGTCTGTGTGCATGTGTTCGCGGCAGCAGATGGTGGGAGCAGTATTAGCACAGAGCGATGGACGTTGCACAGTGTGGAGCGACCAGGCTGTGTTGACTACAGCTAGTCTCTCTCTCTCTCTCTCTCTCTCTCTTACTCACTCACTCACTCCTTCTCTCTCCGTCTTCTCCCCCATCCCCTCGGTGTCAGACGGATGAATGGCTGGCTATCTCTCTCAGTCAGCAGCCACGCCGCTCTTTCATCATCTGTCTCTCTGCTCATTCTTTCATTCCTCTGTGAGGATGTCAGAGTAGTCTATCACTTCCTCCATCCCTCGGTCCATCCATCCTTCCGTCTGACAGACAACTATCTATCTCCCTTCCACCTCTTTTCCGCCCTCGTCAATCCATCCCCTCCATCTCCTCTCTCTCTCCCTCCTACTCTCTGTTTGTGTGTTCTCTGTGTGTTTGTGTATGTGCAGCAGTGTGTGTTGTTTGTTTGTTTGTGTGTGTTTTTCCAATACGCTCGTGGCTCTTTTGGTGTGTGCTTTGGTGTCTGCATGTGCCAGATCAGTATCCACCCCCCAACCCCCCCCCCCCCCCTCACTGAGTGTGTGTGGTGTGAATCAAGGTCAGCAGGGATCTGTTGGCAGACACCCACTCATCCCATCCATCCCACACACCTCCTCCCACACACACACACACACACACACACACCCATACATCAAGGAGGTTTGTGTGTTCTGCCCATCCAGCTATCTAGATGTCGCTGCTATGCCTGCCTCAGCTCAGTTTAGCACGGCTCAGCCTGGCTCGGCTCTGCTTGTGGATTAATTACCAGGGAACCCACCGTGTCTCTGACCTCCACCGTTGGACTAATTGAAATCTAATTGAATTGTGCTTGTCTAGACTAATGAAGCCCTGCCATTGAAACCGCCAATCTTTTAGCTGTAGCTGTGAACCGATAGCCACCCTGCAGCATCCATCAGTTCGCAGGGATGGAGTAGATGGGTGGATGACAAAACAGAGGAGAAGCATGCAGGCAGATGGCTGGATTACTAGATGTTTATAGTTGTGGTTTTGCTTATTAGACAGTCAAACTCTATATAGTTTGTGATTTGGGGTACCTGTCTAAGGCTGTTGGTATTATCATAGAAATATATTCTGAGATACATCAGTCGAGGAATTAAGCCCAATATTGACATTTTAATATAGTTCAGAGTGTTTACAAACATACCTAGATAATGACGTTGGGATTGATTTTCTCTGTCTTATATACAGCTCAATCAAACTAAGCATTCTGCACATGCTCCAGTGTTTTGAGCTGTCAATGAAATATAGCATGGATGCAATATAGGAAGCCAGAAAACAAAACCGTCACAGATGGAGAAAGAACATAAAAAAAAGAAGAAACTCTCCTCTCGTAAAACAAACAGTACAGAACTAAATTATAATGAGGTTTTCCCTCTCTGAATGACAATATATCAAATCTTGAACAAATACTTGGCTTGTGTTTCATATTATATTCTGTCATGATGTGTGGAAAAAATACAGTTCAGTGGTGTTGCTTCCGACTTCAATATCCATCATGTTCTGAAACAACAACAATGTGATATTGCATTACATACCGACCATTGGTCAACCTGTTTCCCAAATTCAGCATCAGCCACTGCAAGACAATATCTTAACCTCTTTTCGTTCTTCTCAATCAAATTTTATTTATATAGCGCCAATTTCACAACAGTCATCTCAAGACGCTTTTCAAAGAACAAGAGCAGGTCTAGACCACGCTCGTTGTTTGATGAATTATCAAGACCCAACCTAAGATGGGTTTTGGCCCATCTCATCTAACATGAGTAATAGTGGCAAGGAAAAACTTCCTTTTAACAGGCAGAAACCTTGGGTAGGACCAGACTCATGCCAGACAGGGTGTGGGAGGAATACAGAGAGATAGAGGGAGAGAAGTGGAGAGAGGGAAGAAGAGAGAATGAGTGAGGGGGAGGGAGGGAGGGAGAATAGAGAACAAGGGTGAGAGAGAGACAGGGGACAGCAGCAACATTAAAACAATAGCAACAACAACAACAGCTCATGTGTCATTCTTCTGTGTTTGTCAGGAACAATTCAGGGTGGAAAGAAACTTTATTTCCCTAAATCCAGTAATATGATACCTGGAAGCTTAAATACAGTTACATACGCAAGTTTTCTCTACACTTTGTGATTTTTTTTTATTTTTTATGTGCTGTTTGTTGGCCATCACTTTGGGTTGAGGTTTCAGTGGTCCAGCATGTCAGTTCAACAAGTTCTACTTATGGAAACTGTACGTGTTATTGGCAGGGTGTGTTATTGCCTGATGTTCTTGTTTGTGCATGAGCAGCGTCAGAAGGCTGTTGCAGAGGGAGGGAGTGAGGTGGAGGGGGTATCCAGGCAGGATGGTGTGAACCTCAGTACTCTTGTTGTGGCTGATTTTTGACAGGTGAGAAGAAGTGGCTGAGAAGAAGTGTCAGAGACACCTGGCAGTCAGAATCCTCCCCAGGGTATCAGCGGGAGATACACATTTCAGGGTAAACTAGACAGTTGAAATGGGAGAAAAAAGGAGAAGAATGCAGATACCAAGGCATCTCCTTGCATCAAAATCTCCCATGGGAATCCACAACCAATTTTTTTTACTGTAGATTTTTTCTGACGACAGACTTAAACTACGAGAACATTCAAAAACATCCACAGTGCCCTTGTTTCTAAAACTTCATGAGGACCACAGAGGAGGAAGACAGATGTCAAACGTGCTTTAAACAGACACAGGGAGCTGGTGGGTGGTGGTGGACCCCAGGGAGATGCTTGTTTTGTTGGGCCTTCTTTGGCTTTTAGCAGGTGAGAGACGCTGCCATGATTCACTATAAGTTATTCATTTGACGTTTCCTCCCTTCTCAGCTCTTTGTAGGCTGGAATACATTAGCAACCTGGCAAAGAGGAGAGGATGCTAATGTGAAAGAGAGGGAGAGGGAGAGGAGAGGAAGAAAGGATTGGGCAGAGGAGGGAAGGAGGCAGAGTCATTAGAGGAGGAGGAGAACAGAGAGAGGGAGAGGGAGGACATGGCTTTATGATGTGTGGGAAGGGGAAGTGACCTTCCCTCTCACTTTCATCTTGGCTTTTTTCTCCTCGCTGTGCTCCCTGACACACACTAAAACACACACACATGCACTCGCGTACATTGCTTACATGCACGCACACATGCACACGTGCCTACAATACAGTCTCCTTTTCGCAAGCAGGAGCACACACACACACACATCCTCACACATAGACACCCACAGACACACATATCTCGGCCAATGTTTCATCCTTTCTTTCTCTACTCTCCCTCTCTTTTCCTGCGTAGGTCCCCTTGCAGCCCGGCCAGTCTTTTAAGTTCACAGTCCTGGAAACTCTGGACCGAATCAAGGAGGAGTTCCAGTTCCTCCAGGCTCAGTATCACAGGTAAATACAATATTATATAGCAGTCTTGACACATACAGTATGCATACACATACCATGCATGCACATATCACGCATACAAGCCTACATTTCCCATGCATTTGTAAAGATAAGGCACAACATTTAAGCCTTCTGTTGCTATAGTCCACTTTTTCTCTAATGAGAGGTATGGATGTAAATGGATTAAGGAATCAGTAACCCAACTTATTCATTCTGTAGGTGCTCAATTTTTAAACGTATCCATGCTTATCTGACAGTGCAAAAATGCTGTCTGAATTTGTGAACTACACTGCGGGCCTGATTAACTGAATCATTGTTTGGCTTTTCGTGCCCACCTGTGTCACTGAGACAAAAAACAATTCACAAAACACATGCAAAGGGTTAAATTCACTAAAAACATCCCTGCTGAATTGTATCATCTCCACACTCAAGTGCTTTTTGCACCAAATGTCCACTTCACAAACACCACCATTTATTACCACATGCGGTAAGAGTGAAAATATTACCCTCTGCCTCAGAGTTGGCAATAACTGTGCCGCAGTACTTATAAGGGATGTTAAGTTCTGACTTTCTGCCGATCATGACTCTGATCCCAACTCTGGATGATCTTAGAATAATATACCGCCACATTAAGTGCAAGCGAGGCAGGGATGAGATTTATTATATTATGAGCTGACGCAAGCAAGGTAGGGATGAGATTTATTATATTATGAACTGACGCATCACACTTATACGCAAAACTAGTCCGTGGCTCATTATCAAGCCCTTATGTTGACAAGTTTGGGCTCAGCTAGAATAAGAGTGTGCAGACCAGAGTGGAGATGCTGATGGCTCATTTTCACAATTAGACACAAAACAAGAGCAGACTGCATGGAGGTGTAAAACAATGCGGTATGCTTGCGTATGAGTATAATTAGCAAAATATATAGTTAAACTGGACCTCCAGACAGAGCAGATAGTGACAGTGTGCAATTTCTGTTAAAGAGGCGGCATTTTGCATTTTTATCAGACTCTATACCTTTTCATAACTTATTCATAGCCTTACATGATTTAAAAAAGGCTACTGTTTCTCACACTGGTGTAGTAAAATGTCATTATCTCAGCCTCCGTCACCTCACACATTGCTGGAGGCACAGAGGAACCAGACTTATTGTAATGACCTCATTAGTTTAGTGAGTCTCGGAGATGCTTGGTGAGATCTCGTGTGATTTCCCAGCGAACTGTTCTGGGCAGGTTACATCTACTTTCTAGGATTATTTCAACATGCATTTACCTCGCATTCTAAGATTTGCATACATCTAGTCTGGACATCAAACATCAAATGTTGAAAATCATAATACTGCCCCTTCAATAAATTCCTCCCTTAATGTACAAAAACTTGAGGTAGTTAGGCAAACAAATAAGATGTGAATTCACTTTAATGAAGTGCCTTAAAATTCCTTCAATGTTTAGTGTCCTTCTGGGTGTAGACAATGTAGACATTGCGTCACCTGAAAAAATGCAATGCTTTTTTAGTTACAGACGCTTGAGGTAGTTAAGCGAACAAATAAGACGTGAATTGATTTCAATGAAGTGCCTCAAAATTCCTTCAATGTTTAGTGTCCTTCTGGGTGTAGACATTTCAAGTTTCTTTCAGTCTGTTCATAAAAATACACGTCATCCTATCTAAAACTTTTTCTGTGTGTTTCTATCTTTTACATACTTTTAAGGCCGCTGATGGTCACATTGTCTGGCTGTCTAGAAGTGACCTTGGTTCAGAAAGAAAAAACTGCCATAGGTTAAAACATCCAGCGTTTTGCTCACACCTCAGTGGGCTGACTGAACAGCTTGCTGAGACACAGCAACACTACTTTCCTGATGAAGCTCAGAGACCAACACTTTGTAGTAACACACACACAAAGATACAAGTATAGTTAAATATCTAATGAATACACTACACACTCTATCAAATACACTTGATTTAATTTCTGCATAATTGGCAGCATTTACACAACAATAATTGCTGCCAATTACCAACATGACACAAGGGCTTTCTGTATTTGTTGCCTGTCTGATTTGTATCAATGTCAGCATGACTTATTTCAAGGATTGGACTGCTATGTAGCTGTTAAACACATAAGCTTCCCTCCAGCTCAACGAGACAGTTTGAATAAGTAAAAAAAAAATAAATGTGAACAACGCAGACTCAGAAAAGTCTTTTAAGAAGCTTTTATTTAAGGAAGATTTGTCTGTACGTTATCTTTATTGACTTGTTCAATTAATTCTGTTTTTCAAAGAATGAGAAATAACTAAACCTGCGTAACTTGACAGGACAAAATGCCACAGTCCTGATTTAATACTTTGTCAGGTCTTCATGGGCTCAGCCGTAGAACTCTTTTCACACCAATGTAGAGCGCACCCCAACACATGGAGATGTGATGAATTGCAGTGCGGAGTAGGACACAGCCCGCGTACAGTGGCTACCATGAAGGTGATATCTTTTAAGTGTCACTCTCAGCAGTAATAGGTAGCGCGACTGTGTGGCAAAGAATAATTTTTGGTTTCCTCATGCAGCCTTAAACTTTGTTTGACCTCTGCAAAATCCATGTCCTGCGGAAATTATAATTCATTTCAGCCAGATGCAAATACACCATTTAATCCGGGGCTGTGTGTCCTTTTTTGGTCCTTGTGCAGCCTGAAGCTGGAGTGCGAGAAGCTGGCGAGTGAGAAGACTGAGATGCAGAGGCACTACATCATGGTGAGTCCAGTTGGATATTTACCACAGCTGCGCAAAGTGTCTCAGCCTAACTGTTTTAATTAGAAACTCTGAACAGCGTTGTGTGTTCCTTTGGAGGAGCTACAGTCAGGGGAAATGCATCACCGTCAATTCTTTGTTTGACCTCATTTTCTCAGTCCTCTGCATATCGAGGCCACACTGAGGTGCTTCCTTTTAAAAAGACCCATTGTCGGTTTATATTCATATCACACTGAAATATCAACACCTGCTGCACCCAATTATAACACACAAGTTTTTAATCACTAATATCTTTAAAAAATGTGTTTTTCACATATTTTTGGTAGAAATTGTTTGGTACCTTGTGATGGTGATGGAGTAAAGTTAAAAATATCCACCTTGGCTAAATCTTAGTTGTATTTTTTCTATGTTTATTTTTTCTCACACAAACCTCTCTATAAAGCATACTTGTCTCCTCCACATATCTGTTCTCTTTTTTCTACCCCCCCAACCTCAGTCTTTCTATCTCACTCAGTCTGTTTCTCTGTCTCCTCTTCATCTCTCTGTTGTCTCTCGTGCGCTAACAGCCTGAGCTCCCTCTGTGTCGGTGTGTCTGTGTGACTAAAGGCTCACATGTATCGTAAGCCTTCGTCTGTGGTACAAAACCCACACAGAGCCGACCAGAATACGATATGCACCATCTGCTAAGCTGCTCGCATTTCATAAACCTGGGAGAGCGGGCAGGATCAGGGCCGTAAGCTAGATAGACACACAGATGGATAGACAGAGAGGGAGAGAAAGGCACAGAGATAGACTGTCAAATAAACGGAGTGAGAGAGAAAAGCAAGCGGGCGGACAGAGAAACAGACAGACAGACAGACAGACAGACAGGAGATAAACAGATAAAAATACACACAAACAAAAGCACACAGCAGGGACAGCACATACGCATCCAGTCATTCATTCATTCATTCATTCATTCATTCAATTACTCTTCTTTAACACACATTCCTTCTATTATTGATCTTTCTTCCTCAAACCTTTGTTCATACATCTCAAATCCTTGTGATGGCTGTTGATTTTGAATATTTTTGTATATTTTTACCACAAAGTCTTTACATGTGGTGCTCTGTCATTTTTTACCCATGATACTTCCTTGATATTTGGATACTTGCACTTTTATAGCTTCCGTTATGTTTAAAATAAGACTGCAATGATTAGAAGGACAAAATTGAAGCATTCTTTCAACCTCAAGTTGTCACATTACTGAAAAATGTATTACATATATTTAATTCAGTAAGATCTGGGGTTTTGCTGCAACAGCCATATTTTCATTAGTAATTAGAACCACAGACTTTTGAAAGGAGTCCAGTCTTAGGGCTCCATTTCATCAGAAATCCACTCTTAAAGAGTGACTCATAGTCTTGTTTTTAATGGAGTAAACATTGTGCAGCCTTAGTATTACATTGCACATAGTGAAGCTGTTTTCACAAGCAGGTCTGCATCTTGTGTGTTACGTTGAATGTTCTCAAATAGACATTAACAAATGGGGATGAGTTTTGTTGTCATTGTGCAGTAGTGCAGTTGTCTCAGGGTACAGTGACACCACCAGCTGGACTGGGATGAGTGGATCTATGATAGGAGGTGAAATTTGGGGACAGAGGTAAAAAAGTTGTTCAGTTTGGCTCATACTGTATGACTGACGGTTGACTTACAAAACAAAAACAGTTTAGTTCAGGAAGCATGTTCACTGTTTGACTTGTTTGGTCAAAACACAGTGGGACACTGATATTCTGCCATTAAATAGTTCGATATTTAAGTACTTAGAGGTAGTGATGGAGGAACTTAGTTCGGGTGCATGTTCCTGATGTGCTCAGCTGATCAGATCAGCTCAGGTCTGATCTGTGACTTCACTTTGTGTGATTGTCTGGGAGTTAAAATGTGAAAGTTTTCACATTATGATTGGCTCTTCATTGGAGACTTTAAGGATGAAATTTCACACTTTGGTGTTGTTTGTCCTTGTGGAGTTGCTGTACCAGCTGGCAGAGGATTCCGAGCCAATGTGATCACTAGAAATAGTAAACAAGAAATATTGTTTTTCACAGCTAAAATACCCCCGTGTTCGTCATATTCAGACCCACGGCTTTTGAAAACTGAACTTAAGAGTCTTCCCTTTTTGGTCTCCTTGAGATGATGTTTTGCTGGTGTTATATTTTAGGGCTTTATGTCTCAATTCAGGGGGGACAGGACAATGGATTGAGAAGGAAACTGGGAGAGAGTGATATGTGGCAAAAGGGGGCATCAGGTTCGAACCAAACCTGGGCGGCACGTTTGAGGACCGTGGCTGCTGTACATGGGGCACGCAACGTAATCACAGGGCAGAACTGTCGCCCCAATCTTCTAAGCAACCAAATATACCAGGGAAATTTAGTGTGATGTTTCCATAAGATGTCATCTCTGACCAAAGTATTTCTTTACAAAAAGACATTTAAAAAATGGATCAGTTTTTCATATCTGATAAGATATGGGTCACCAATTGTTCCTCTAGTGACATTCACATCTCATCACACCAAAGATTTACAAAAAGGCAAAAAGACATTGCATGTTTATTTTAGTTTCATAACCAAAATAATGCTTAGGAAAATAATCTTGAAACTTAAAAAATCAAATAAATTTTATAAAATTGCAAAACCAGAAATTTGTTTTTGATCTTCTATAACTCAAATAGACACAAAAAGGTCCATAAAAGCAGAAACTTTTCAAACTGACCTCGCTTCACTACAAAGGTCCTCTATATGTTTTTCTAAGTGGTTTCAAAGAACAAGAAGAAACATGCGCACATGAATATGATACAATGCAGAGCTACCACAGAGGAATTGCTTCAAGAACCGCAGACCTTAGAAACACCCACTTCCCTAATCTCAGGCACTCCCTGGGTTTAGCTGTGGTCTCAGAGAATTACAGTGTGGAGCAGGCGGCGCAGACAAACATCCACCTCCTCTATTGTAAATCCTTTACCACCAAGTCTCACACAATGAGCGGTGGCGTGCCAGCATAGATGTAGTTCCTTCTCTAAGACAGGGGCAGTGCATGACATTTGATCGAACTTTGCGCATATTAAATGTCACGGCCTTTGTGACCACTGAGTGATCCCAAACAGAGAGAGGAAGGAACACAAGCACAAGAGTATCGCACAAGAGCTCAACACTCGACCACAGCAGCTCCATATGGGAGGGGAGAGCTGTAAGTACTTATAACATATTCATATAGGTTAGCAGAGGGCTAGCTCTCCAGGCTGTAGTATTTGAACTGGGACTCTTTGTGCTGTAGTGGCTGGTGAACAGAGTGCCATGCTTCTTCATAGCCATGGCTCTGAAATGAGAGGGAGGGAAAGAGGGAGAGAAAATGAGAGGGAGGGGAGTGAAAGAGAGGCTCAAAGGGAAAGATAGCTTGAGAGAGAAAATAGGCTCAGAGTGTCAGTATGAAAAAAAAAAACAGGGAGCTGCTGAGGGAGGGAGGGATACAAACGGAGGCAGAGATAAAGAGAATAAAAGAGGAAAGAGAGAGTGATTGAGGCAGGAGAGAGATACAGAGGAAAAGAGGGAGAGTGAAAAAATTAGATGAAATGAGAGAGAGATACCAAGGGACAGAATTGCAGAGAAGAGAGATGGAGGGTGTAAAAAAAGCTGGGAAGGGATGAAATGAAGAGACAGAGAGGGAAAGAGAGTATGCAGCACAGAGTACAAGAGAAAGAGATAGTGATGTGTTTGTGTGGGGGGGGCGTGAAATGAAAGAAAGAGAGACAGAGAGGGAAAGAGAGAGAGAGGGTGCACGCACAGACACGTAAATAATGTGAAGCAACAACGGACTCGCTGCGCCCACAGAGGAGATAACCCAGAAGGCTATATTTAGCTCGTTAGGCCTGTCATCCACACTGAGGCCTGTTTCCACAGGCTGGGGCTCTGCTCACCACGCTGCACTGCTCCTGCCTTTACTATTCATCACTTTTAAGCTCTTTAAATAATCGGGTGAGGGGTTGGAAAGTACAAAGATGGTTATACTGGGTGATGCATGTGGAGTTTTTAGCAAGCTTTTACGCTTTAACACCCAAGAAGACATGACGTTGCGCAGTGCAATTTCTAGTGATTATATGGCCAGGCTGTCTTTAAGTGGTAAGTAGAAGAGTAAACAACAAAAACCATCCATTTGTGTTGAAGTGACAAAGTGCACGAGCTGAATATCCACTGTAAATGAATGTGTAAATGTCATAGAACAGAAGAACATAAAGGTAGAAGGTCCTGCAGTACAGATGATCAACAAAGTGATGGATGTTGACAAAGAAGCAAGTCTTTATTGCTGTTTCACACCGAGTTAAAGTTGGTGTATTTTAATCATGTATCCCAACCTTGACTGAGTGGTCATTCAAACCAGAAATGTGCCATGATGTGTCCATGATTTCAAAAAAGAAAGTCAAAGTTTTATCTGTTGGACAAAAGGACAGTTTTTTTTACTCAGCCCAGAGAAGTTGACAGTGTTTCTTGATAATGTTGATGGTTTTCTCCTGCATGTGTGGATGAAGTCAGTGAACTGTGTTCACAGATGATGATTTTTGAAGTGATTTTGAGCCCATGTAGAGATTTCTTCTGCAGATGGACATCTTTTTTAATGCAGTGCTTCTCTTAGCGCTGGGCCTTGTCTCTACAGACATTTCTCAAGATTCTGCCTCTTGTAATGAATTAAAATTTAGTAGATGATTAAATCCCCAAATATTTTCCAATGAAGTTGTTGGACTGTTTGCTCACACTGTCCCTCACAAACCTCTTTCCATCTTTACACTGAAGAAACTCAGTTCTGTATTTTTTGACCCATTTCTTTTACTCGGGTTGCTAGCATCAAATTTAAAATGTAAATGCATATATTTCCTGAAAAGAGTAAGACTTTCAAGTTTCAACATTTGATATGTTATCTTCATTCGCGTGTCAACGGTAATTTCAACGGTAATCCCTGCCAATTCAACAGGCGGGATCAAGTGATAGACTAAGTTTTTTTATGATTTACCAGGTAATAGGACCTCCTCACTCACTTGCCTATAGACAAGCTCCTTTTTGTTCCGTTTTCGGTAATTGAAAGCGAAGCTATCATATAATTCGGGGCACCCACACACCAACACTATCAGTTAGTCCTCCATCTTTGATACCAGTGAACAACCGTTCATTTTCGTACATCACCCGGCAACCTTCATGCTGATTGGATTGCCATGTAAATATCAGCTCAAGTTGAGACATTTGCAGCTCCCGCCCACTTCGCGTCATTCGCGCCGCCAGAGTAGTAGAAGCATCCAATCGCGTCTTTGCATTGACTCAACATATAATTTACTTGCGTGAATGATTTTACTCATGCTTGGTTTGTGGAGATAGTAACAAACCATCCCAATCTATTACCCACATTTGACATGGCGCCCATCTTCTTTGGAATTAGGGTTGTATGATATAAGCTGTTAATTTAGCAATTAGTATGTTAGAGTCTTTTTGGACTCAAGGAGCTGATGCCATAACCCTTACTTAATGCCCCTGTCTTTGGAGTATTGCTGCAGTAGAGCCTGATTTGGATATATTGAGATCCACTCTCTGCATCATTTTTGGATGGAGTGGTATATGTCCAGTGACGTCTGTTTTACAACACTGCTTCGTTTCTTCGTTAGGTGTGGAGAGAGATTGGCAGTGTGTAACATCAGCGCTAACTGCAAACACACAAACAACCAGTCACACTCATTGATAGTGACTGTAGGCGCCTTGCTTTTCTCCTCCTGTTGTATTTATAATTCATGGCTCTGAGATTTCACTGCTCTCCTGGAATTCCACTGTGTATTTTTAAATAAGGTTGCATTGTAGCCCGGGCTAATCAGGGGGCATAGTCATACTGATCACATGCCTACACAAGGCGCAAGAAAAACTCATGCCTGGAGAGCTGTGTTCAACCCTGATGGCCTGAGGGGAGAATCTTGCAAAGTGAAGATTACACAACCACCATTCTCATCAAATGTGATAAAGGAGAGGATAGTATCTTGCATCATGAAAACCCAAAAGTCAACATTTAAATCCAAATAGAAAAGTATCATGCTTGAATTCCTTTCTTTTCTTATTGTGGACTGTTAAACACTTATTGGCCTCAAGGGTAGAAACCTTACAGATGGCGTTATGAATGAAGATTTTAGTGTTACATTTATATTGAATTTAATTTTCTGGCATGGTTTTTCTCCTTTTTTCTTGTCTTCAGAAATCTTTTTACTTCCACAGTCTTGTCGGTTATGCAGCCATCCTCTCATTCCTCCTGTCAAGCACAAGACAAAATTCTTACGGGGGGATGGAGCACCCAGACCCTTTAATATAAAGTATTAAAAAAGACATGGCTACTGGAGGGTGACAGCTCACAGTCGGGAATCACATTTGGCAGCCACTCCATGGTTGTGTGTCTGTGTTTCTGTGTGTGTGTGTTCATTTAGGTACAGAGTCTCTGCAGGGGTCTCGTGTGAATAAACAGCCCTGCTGCTGCCATTAAAGTATACAATGTTATGTGACACAATAGGATACAATGCAACGTTATAGTGCAGTATCATACAATGAGAAAGGATGTGACACAAAACCATATGGCAAGTCACACTGCATTATGATGCTCTACGATATGATACCATAGACTGTATATGTAAAGGATGCCGTCTGCCTCCTTGCTGGGTGAAGCCACTCCGAGAACAGCACCCTCTGGTGACAGGCTGCAGTATAGGTCATAAATCCCGCCTTCTCCAGCAATCCCTATGGAGCTGTGGACAAACTTTAGAAATTTATTACACAGAATATACATTTTTCTCCCCTCTGCTTGCGATGTTGACATGTAGTTATTGTAAGACTGATTTGTCCTCAAGTCCTCTTTTTTCTGTACAGCTCCATTTTTTAAAGTTATTAGGGGGTTCATGTTTTCTATGATTGACACTTGATACTCTGGGTGTACGAAGCAACTCTCTGTGACTCTCCCGCCGAGTGCGTACAATGCTACTGCACAATGTTGGTTTTGTGAAGTGGAAAAAAAACAAGGAAAAACTGAGAGCTTTTCAGCTTCAAATCCATATACTGGCAGAAGGCGGAACCAAGTTGGCATAGTATATACAGTCTATGTATGATACCATATGACGCAATATAATATGGTATGATGAAATAGGGAAATATGTCATACAATAAAATATAACTAAAAAAGTAGGATATGATAATATAAATGCAGTACAATATAGTGCAAACAATACAGTACAGTAAGATAAGGCATGATATTGTATGGTATCACATGATACAATATGATAGGACATCACACTGTATGATATAATGAAATACAATACGAATACAATACAGTCTGATATGATACAGTACAATATGATACAGTAATTAGAAGAGTAAATTAGGATGAGATAGGTCAGGATTTAAGATAAAGCAAACTGGTAGGTTATAATTCAATATTGTACAAATATTATACAAATATGATACAATATGATAACATAGATAAGATACACTATAGTTCAATAAGATACAGTATGGTAAAACAACATGGTAAAATCTGTCTTGGACTAAAGTGTTGATATTAAGATATGACACAATAAAACTTTTGGGACAGCTAGTTTGGGATTCACTGAAACCAACATGAAATCCATAATTGCCACAGTTAGATCTAAAGTTTAAAGTGCATTCACACAATGATTGCAGAAAAGCTGCAAGATTCATTTCAAGTCCATGTAGGTCTTAACCCAACAGTTCACAGATCCAAAACAATGTTGCAGGCTAACTTTGATCAGGAATTATTGAGAGTTAATCCAGCACTGGTGATTACAACGTTACACTTCCTTGCCTTTGCTGCATGGTAATTGCTGTAATTTGTTGTTTTTCCAATAAATCCAAGTATCTCATTAATCTTGTTTAAACGTTCTCACTTTAAATTAAGAACAATTTGTCCCGGGCAAATTAACCATGGTTGAACCGAAATCTCTGAAACACCGAATTACCCTGAATTGGATCCAGATTTGATCATGTGTGCCGAAAATATTCTGGTAATAAAAACTTTATCATCTTGAATCTTGTATTAGGATTGTATCATGACTTCAGTGTTTTGTCTCATGTTGGCCATACGGTCAGTGGTCTAAAGATTGTATGTGTGTTCAGTACATCCCCTGAGGCAAAGATGGAGTGTGTGTGTGTGTGTGTGTGTGTGTGTGTGTGTGTGTGTGTGTGTGTGTGTGTGTGGATTATTGCGGTGCTCTCAGCCTCTTACTCTGCTCCCAGCTCATCCGTCTGATTCAGGCTGACACACTGTGTTCTCCTCAGCAACATTACAGTCACAGACTGCTCAAGAAGAGGGAGGGTTAGAGAAGAAATAAGGGAAGAGGGAAGGCGAAATGTAGGGGGCGAATGAAGGTAATAAGGGAAGTGAAGACAGAGATGAGGGCAGTACAAGAAAGAGGGGAGGGGAGTGAAAAAAAGAGATGTAGAGAAATACGGGAGAAAGAGAGAGAGGGTACAAGGGCATTGGCAGGAGGATCATGAAAAAAAGTTGGAGAAAAAAGAAAGAACAAGGTCAACGGCATAGAGAGGGAGGAAAGACAGGCAGAGAAGAAAACATGAGAGTTAAAAAAGGTGCATTTTTCTTTTGTTTACAGGAAAAGGATGGAGGTTTTAAAGATAAGAGATGAAGAGAGACGCCAAGAATGAGAGAAAGAAAAGAAAAAATGAGACTAATGATAGATAGCATGGAGGCAGAGGGCAGAATCTGAATAGAGATTGCTTCTCTTTGAGCTAAATGCTGCTAGGAGTAGTCTTGAGGGATTTAAGTGAGGCCAGATGTAGGGAAGGATTGAGACTGTTTTAAGAGTCTTAAACCTGTCTGAACTGTCTGGAGCAGGGGGAGCAAACAGGACGGGCGCGTTAGTAAAGATGAATCGGATCTCCCACACGGTAGACACTCTACACATGTGTTTATAGATACAGACCCCCTCAAATTCAAGGTCAGTGCCATCCGGTTTCTCTGGCTTTCCCTCTGATGAAACAGGCTGCAAGAGAAACTGCAGTGAGGCTGAATGTCTGCCGTGACTGATTTAGTCATCACCCCCTGACAGGACACAATGGAGAAGTCGGAGTCTGCTAAACTAACCTCTGATGTGGGTTAGCGCAGTGTGCTAATAAATGTTTTAACATCGACCATATTTATGTGTGTGTGTGTGTGTTTGTGAGTGTGTGTGTGGGGGCGGGCAGATGAAAGAGACAAGCTCACCCCAGAGACACTGACGAACAATGCTTTTGTTAAGGTTTTCTAACGCACATCCACACCCCCGCACGCACAAATAATGCATGCAGGAGTAAACACAAGCTGCTTGCACACACTTGTTGGCAGCGCACACATACACGTACTGTATCAGCACTCGCTGTAAAGCCTCACATACACAGGTACAGTTTTGCATACACACACACACACACACACCTACACACACACAGACAAGACACACATACAAGAATGTCCCATTTAGATAAATCACCTTGGATTAGACCCACTTCTTAAAGCTCATTTTTAAAGTCTGCCGGTGTTCTTCACAGAATGCATAGAAGAAAGAGAGAGAGAGAGAGAGAGTGTGGCACCACTGCCTGACACTCTCTTGACACCGCGAGGGTGGAGAGAGGGAGGGTCGGGGTAACGAAAGAGCAAACCCTCCCAGAAGAATGGAAGCGTAGAAAGAGGAAAGAAACACAACAGCAGTGAAAGGAGGGAGGGCAGCTCATTGATAGAAATCCAGGAATGCTTGTAATCTGTCTTGGCCAGATGATGTCAGTGCAATGTGTGTGTTATTAGCTGGAGATTAATGTAAGATATGGGTTATGTTCAGAGGGGTGGAAAGATACAGTACAAACAGATAAACACTGTACCTCCTCAATCTTAAATAACCCGAGAAGACTAGCCTGGATTTTAAATCACTTTTCATCAATTCCTTCATTCATTCATCCACATTACACTTTAGTGTGTGCTTTGCGGGTCTGGGCACTAAAAGTAAACACTCAACAGGACATCTGTCCAGTAAACGGTCCATTTGTGTGGCTACAGGTTTAGCAAACACCCGGCAAGGCGCTGCTTACAGTAAGAGCACATTAATTTAAGAACCACCAGGAATACTTCAGCACGTACCTCGAGCTACATGCAGGTGTGTCTGTGGTGCACCACTGTGGCAAACATCTGAACATTAGACAGGGATGGAGACTGTTCATGCAAGTTGCTGCATTTTTCTCTGGTTTCAGCAGTGCAAACAGCTAGTGCTAATGCTATCTTCTTTTTTTGTGGTTTAATGGGGGTCAGCATTTTTCGTTTATTTTTTTGGGGGGTGTGTGTGTGTGGGGGGGGTGGGGGGGTATTTAATAAAACAGCTTTCATCTGTGCTACAGCCACCATCTGGTGGTGGTAACGCATAGCAACCGGGCACTAGTATAAACAGGGGAAAAGTTCATTTTAAAGCTTCAGTGAGGTTTTTTTTTTTTGACATTTATGAAATAGACTGAAATACAAACAGATACATTTTTATGATATACAAAAGTAAACAAGACAATCAGAGAAAAGATTGATGAGTTTTAACTTTGATTTTTTTTAGTCCCTGAAACTGGTGCAAGAGGGTAAAGGTTAGGTACCAACCAACCAGCTGAAGAATATCTCCTGTCTTTACATTTTCACAATAAATATTTACAGATTAAATTCATCACGTTAAGTCAGCATGATGGGATTTCTTTTTTTTAAGACGTTATTTAAGCATACAAAGGACGAGCTAAGCGATGACTTCTTTTTCTACAAGAGGTGCCAAATCAACACAATCCAAAAATCCTTTACAAGAGCTTTAAACTGCAGTCATAATCCTTCTAAGAATTTTTAGAAGCTGATCATTTTTCTGTATTTGAAAATTGTTACCCATCCGTCGTCCAAACCATGATATTCATACACTGAAGTAAAATGCTCCAAACACATCTTGTTCTTCTTCTGGCTCCATGTGCATTCAATGTAATGTCAACATACTGTAGATTATTTCATGGATTTTTGTAGTCTGTTGTTAAAATAAAAAGATAATATAGACACACTGTATTCAGTTCTTTTGCGGTTAAAAGGGTAACTGAAATACTTTGTAAAAAGAGTTATTTGGGACAGTGTAAGCTTATTGTTGTTGATGTCTGGATGCACCAGACTCGTGCATGTTTGATCACAAAAATTATTTGACATTTGTATCCTTATGTCTACATTTACATTAAGTCAATGAATAAGTTGTCATCATCCAAAACACAACTCGTCTCCAACTTTCTGAGTACGCAGGACTTTTTTCAATGATGACATTTGCAAGTTGTCCTATCACTCCTTTGTCAAGCCAACACATACACTCTCCTTACGTACCATGCTCTTTAATACAACCCACACACAAGGAGTATTTGACATAATATCGTGTTAAGATACCAATAAGCATGAAACAAATCAAAATCATGAGTTCAGAAAGGTACTTTAGTGATTAACAATAAGAAATAGACATGAATAAATGATATGAATAAAACATAAGGAAAAAAGCCAGAAGACAACTTACCTAAATTGACAAGAGATCCCAAATGATATGCAGTGACACAAACAGAGGCTCTAAATTAGGCGGAACTGCTGGCAGGGGGGCTGTGACTGGAGATTTTAGGGGGCAGAGAGTTAAGAGAGGATTAACCTGTTACAAAAACAACTTCACCAACCAACAAATAGTGCATTACTTCAATGTAAAATGATGTTTCCATTGAAGCACAAGTTACAGTGCATTGATTTATCTTCTGTCCTTGAACGTGCTTTTAAGTTGTTTGCTGAGAACAGCTGTGTTACGTAAAGACCACACAAGCTGTAAGACTCAAACTTTCTGCCTGTTTCACTTCTGTTCATTGGACAACACATATAACAGTTACTATTAATATTCACTGACGAAAAAGCAGTTGTTGAGACACTTACAGTCCAGACTACACAACCAGGGAGTGTTGTCACGAGAGGATTGTACTGACTGCACAAACAGCACAATAGTCACTTCAGCGCTGTCTAGCCTACACCCACAGGACAACTGCTACTACATTTCACTCACTTAGTGTTCTCCTCTCTGCCTCTTCACAGGAAACCCTGACTGGACCAATTAATTGCAGGATTGAGTTGGTTGTGTGGTTAGAAGAGTAGAATTGGAGCTAGAGCAGCTTTCCTTTCTACTGTAACAGGTTGTAACTCAAACTGACCTGGAAGCTTCAGCCAACAAGACATGCTCTTAGCTTATGTCACCTATTGGTGTTTTAAGTCCTGAGATTGAAAAGCTGATTTCAGCCTGAGAATAACTGTTTTTGAATGATCACATAAACACTTTTGAGCTGTCCTGAAGGTAAAGCTGTTTTCCTTTCACCCTTACTGCAAGGAAGCGAGCGAGGGGAAACGATGCCGCAGAGACCAATAAACCATCACAATGTAATATTGTTATCAGCAGCAGTGCTGCAGTTCTCTTGTGGCATCACAATGAGGGGCATTGGAGCATAAAGAGGTGGATAACCTCTTGCGACTAAAAGGAAGGCGTTTAATTTTTTTATTTTTTTTCTCTTGTATTGTGCCCAAACATGAAAAGCTACTTAATCTGTTCTCATGCTCATTATATGTGCCCTCAAATGTGCAAAGGTGGAGAGATTTCTGTAAGTTGTTGTTAACAAGGACAAGACAGGTCTCAGAAAACACTGTCATTAACCTTTTTCAACAATAAACTCATGAAAATTTTTATCAATCTGACGAATTTCCAGATTATTTCCAGTGGAAAAGAGTGAATCTTTGCAGGCAAGACTGGACATCAATTACAATTACATTACAGCCTGGTTTAAGAAAGGTTTCTGTCTGATGAGCTCAGGGCTCCCACGACACCCACTGTAGTTGGAGTGAATTTTTTTGTAACGTGTAACGACATTTACAAGATTGATGAATCAGAGGCTCAGCTGACTTGTCTGACAGGCTGGCATACTGGGATGCTAAAGGCCTGCTTCTGGTAGGTCGACAGACAGCTCGGTTGACTATGCGTTACCAATATGGCAGCCGCCATTAGACTTCAGGACTCTGCTTTACAAACAAGGTGAGGTCGCAGATGCTGTATCAATTTATTGTGCAGTCCACGTTAGAAACATGTTACTGAAATCAAATTTCAGATGAGCTTCTACCTTAAAACAAAGATTTTTTTCACGTTATATTGTAAATGATTTATTTATATTATCAAAATCTGTATTTTAGACTTTTACATTTTTTAGATCTAGTGTAAAGCACTATCATCAAATGAACAAAGCGCTTCATGTTTTATGCGGTGAAAAAACTTTTGAAAAGTTTTGAAAAGTAGGACCGCACTTTTGAAAAGTAAAAAGGAAAAGAATATTGTATCACCTGAGCAGGTGCACTTTTTACAGTAGTGCTGCTATATTTTAGTGTGTTAAACATCTGTGTGCAATATCTTATGGAGTTGATACTCCTACGCACTTGTCTCTTTACTTAAGCCTTGGTTTTTACATTGAAGCTCAGGGATACATCACTAAAGAACAACTTGTTTTTCAATGGATGTGGAATGAATGGACGTGAATGGCATTTTTTGTTTAAATAACCTTTATGATAGCTTTCCAATGAGTCCACTTATTCTCAACAATGCACAGTGGCAGCATCAGAGCTGTTTTACCTCCACTGTTGCTGCAGAGCATCCAACCTCGACTACATTCCCCCCCTAATGTTGTTCTTGTTGTACACAGTCAGACGCTTCATTTCAGCCCAGAGTGGAGATCTCTGGCTGCTGAAGTGCTCTATGTTGTTACTTACAAGGTTGTAGGGCTGTGGTTGTTGCACTTATCTGTTCGAGTAGTGGATGAAAAGTGAGATTTTAAATGAAAAGAGAGAAGAGAGAATGAAAGAGTGTGAGTGAAAAGGGAAAGAAGTGTAATGACAGAGCGGTGGAGAGGCTGATGGGAGAAAGATGGACTGAGGATTAATAAGGAGAGAAAGACAGGACTTGTGTTAAAAGGTGTAGGAGAGGTGGAGAGGTGAGGTGTAATGATGGAGAGCTGGTGAGAGGGGCTGATGAGAGATGGAGGGAAGGAGAAAGAACAAAGAGAGATGTCACATGTCTTTTAAGTCGAGTGGGCTGAAGGGGGGCTGACATGGAACCATCTACAGTACATATGTTCATGCTTTCAGGTGTGTTATATTCATGTAAGCATGTGTCCTTTTCTACTCATGAAAGAGACTGTGCATTATATGTGTATGTTTTTGTGTGCATGAATACACTTTTTTTTCTTGCCTGGCCATGAGAGGAATGACTAGATAAAAAGGCAAAATACTCAGTGGACATGAGCTCGACAGGAGGAGCGAAAGGAGGAAATAAAGATATAGCTCTTGACAAGGACAAGAGAGGGAGAGAGAGAGAGGGAGCGAGAGGGAAGGAGAGGAAGAGAGAGCAAATAAACAGAGCAAGCAAGCCAAGCAGGAAATGGCAATGGAGAGAAAAAAAAGAGGGAGAACATAAAGGAGACAGATGATTGATAGAAATGACTGAAAGGAGAAAAATGAGAGCGTAGAAAAGAGACATGAGTGTACTGTAAAGGACAGGGGTGGAAATGATACAGCAGGTGGATAAAAACAAGGTGAGATGAGAGAGAAAAAGAGAGAAAGAGAGAGAGAGAGGGGAGAGATGGAGAAAGTAGCTAGAAAAAGAAATAGAGGGATAAATGGAAAGAAAGAGAGGAAAGGTGTCAACAGTGGAGAGACGGACGAGACTCATAAGAGGGAGAAGGGAAAGTACAAGAGACCTGCAGCACAGTGTGAAACATAGATGGATGGATAAATGAAGGACACACGTGCCCCATCTCAAGAAAATGACCAAAGCAACAAGAGGAAGTTAATCCCAAAACCTCCAGGCTGATATCCCCTTTCCACGGTAGAAACCCTCAGATACTGACTCCTGTTTCTGCGGGGGCTAAATTGGGGTTGGAAAAAAGCTCACATGACTGTAGTCATTTTATTTACTTTTTTTTTTAGAAAGGTATAAAATACATTCATCTACATTCAGTCAAATGTTAACGTTCTCAAGTTTGCAAAAAGGCAAATTTTATTGGCATTCCTTGTACCAGATGTTGTTTGGCATACAAAAGGAACTGGATTAATGTGTATGGAGTTGGTTTACACACCAAAGCCTGGCTCTATCACAACTCAAGTCTGAGCTGCATCTAGAGTTTTAGGTGTTCAAGCCTGGATTGAGCTAAACTGCCAAGTTGGACATGGTTTTAACAGTCATGTGGTCCTACTACCCTTTGGCAAATAAGTGAAACAATCAACGCAGAGCTGTCCTGTTCTCAGATTAAAAATCTGTGTTCTCCACTCTTTGTAGTAATGACAATATGACGATTGAAATAGCAGTTTCTGTAACTCAAAAAAAAACAAAAAAAAAACGGGAGGGATTGTGAGGGATCACGGCCTGCAGCCTCAGGGTGAAAAAGTAAAACAAGTAACAAGTGTGCTACACTCTTCGTTCACCCCTTCTCCTGTGTTTTTATTTGATCTCTTTTCCAGTTTCCTTTCCATATAAAGGGTTTTCAACCCCTGTATGCTGTGTGGTCCGGTAGTATGAAAAAAAGCAGAATTGAATATAGTTCGTTGTACGTACATTGACAGACACCAACAGACAAAGATAGCTAGTGAGTGAAATGAGAAGGAAATAGAGAGGTGGACCGAAATGGAGAGTAAGGGAACATCTGACAGCTGAAAAAAAGGCGAAATAACTAGAAGGAGGAATGATAGAAGCGAGGGACTGACAGCCTTTAAAAGATAGAGATAGAGAGAGAGAGTGTGTGTGTGTGTGTGGGGGGGGGGGGGGGGGGGGTGAATGAGGCGGGGAGTAAATGAAAAAAAGAGGAAAGAGAGCAATGGAGTGAAAATGAGCAGAGGAATAGGGAGAGGAAGAGAGAGGGGCAGTGTCTGACTCTCATCATTTAGAGCGCTGCTCATCCAGCGACAGACGCTGTCTTTGTCACCATGACGGATCCTCGCTGTCTGCTTGTCGCTCGCCACCAACACCATTACAGCACATTACTGATGTACTCACATGCAAACAAACACAAAAGAGGGGGAACGACACGTTTAGTACGCAGAAGCACACAGGCAGAAGTGCTTGCACAAGGTTTTTTTGCAAAACACACACTTTTATACAGACATGGACGGGCAGGTGTGTTTATTCTGCTGGTGTTTAATTAAAAAAACACAATATGTGACTTAGAAATACTAAGTCCGATACTTTTACAGGATTGCAGCAAAAAATCAAATTTGACTGAGGTTTGGTTTGAAGGTTTTTCAGAAGGAGAGCAATGAACGCTCCATAGAAGACTGAATCAAATTTTTGATATACGTTTCAGGCTAATTTGTTAATAAACCAAATGTCTGACATCATTTTGTTTTCAAACCTTTAAATATTTGTGTATGAATGATGGACTTCTTTATGCTCTCCAGAGAAAGGAGTTGTAGATTGTTGTGTGGATTTTTAAGTTGTTTGGTGGATTATTTTCCCCAAACAGATGTTCAGTTTTCTTCAGGTCAGTCTTTGCTGACTGAGATATTAACTGATGCACTAATAACTTTTGATAAACCAACTGGAAGGAGACCTCTGTCCAGAGCGCTCGACTTGAATACATGAGCCTGTCTGTCAGGAATGAGGCTAATCTGTGTTTTTTTCACCTGTTTAAAGTCTGATCACAATGTGAGCTCGACCTCCTCCAGATGTGTTCGGGCATATTTGATAGCATTTTGATTGCAACGAGTTCTGCACGCATTTTTGTCTTAGATTACCATCTGTTTTCTTGTGCATTCACAGAGTCATTCTTTTAATGGCCACCATGCATGGGTCTTCACGTGCCCACACACACACACACACGTGTGCACATACAATGAAAGTACTACATCATGCAGCGCAAACACACGTGCTGAGAAAGTGATCAGACATTACTCAAACATGCACATAAACTCCTCATTATCCATACGCTTATTGGACAATACACATGCACTCGTACACACTGGATTCCCCTATTTTTACTCATTCTTTTCTTGCTTTCATTAAAACCTCTGACTAACGGCAGCATATGCGGCACGGCTGAACAACAGATGTTCAATGGGAGATATTGTGTAAGACTGAATGCTAATGTGCGCCTTGTATACAATAACGAAGCTCTGTCATTCGTGTTTGTCTCCGCAGTACTATGAGATGTCCTACGGTCTCAACATCGAGATGCACAAACAGGTAAGAAGCTCTGAGTTTAATATTTTTATGTCTGTTTACAGTATCTACAAAACTCTTGTGGTGTAGAACTTCTATTTATCGAGTAGGCGGGAGAAGGTAAAATTGTTATCTTACACACAAACATTGTATGGCAGTGTCATCTTGTATGGGTGGGTTTGTTTGTACTACATTCCCTTGCTCCTGTCCTCCATTCATTTTTTTTCTTTGCGTTCATGCCAAGTGACTACCATCTGTGTAAATAAGATGAACAAATTATGAGACAGACATACCAGAATAATCCTGCCAAATAAAACATCACTACAAGGTAATATTCATCAACTCTAGTTTATTGTTACACTTATTTACACCATGTGCAATATTGCTCTTTTTCATTTTTAAATGCCGTACTCCAACTCAGTGAGCGGTTGTACTTTAACTTCATAAATGCTACAAACTTTAAGGTTAAATGGGTGTGGAAAAAAAGTATTAAAAAAAGGAATTTATTCTCCTATTTTGTGCAATACACTATCATATTACTGGTGTCAGTTATCAATATTTGGATACAAAAGTAATACAGCAGTCTAAATATTTTACAATTTGAGTCACCACTTCTCTACTTCATGACTCCTTATGATGGTGCTGCCAATGCCAATGACATATGCTGCGTTCCAGTTACCTTAGAAGTCGAATGTCAGAGCTGGAAATGACGTTACACCTGAGTTGACAGCGTTCCAGTAAACAAGTCGGAAAACCAAGATGGACGCCTACTGTTAGCTGTTGTCAGCTGTTGTTAGCCTAGTCAGTTGATGTTAGCCATTGCTAGCTGTTGTTAGTTGTTGTTCGCGATACCAGTTGTAAAGGATGCATAACGCAGTATTTTACTCTTGCAAATACCATAGCACCATGCTTACAGTTAGACGTTGGGCAGTACAACATTTACCACTTATTTAATTTTATAAAAACAAAACAGAAGCGCTAATAAATAATACATTACGAGAGCTTTCACTGTTACTCTTTACTGTTGATGCTCTGTGCTGCTATTTTGGAATATGATGTTGTTGTCAAGTTGGGGCTGGTGAGGATTTCCAAGTTGGAAACATGACTTCAGGGGGGCGTTCCAGATGAATTTCTGACTCTGAAATTCCAACTTCCAAGTACAACTGGAGAGCAGCACTTAACCCTGCACTTGATAAAATACTGTATTGACAAATACTGTATCATGATCTTATCAATATGATAGGCAGCATATTTTGTATCTTTATATGATGTGATACTGTATCTTCTCAAACTGCATCGCCTTGCATCATATCATATTGCACCACACTGCATAGTATTGCATTTTATCATTATCACATCATGTTGCATGGCATTGTATCCAATCATTCGACAAACCTGCAATCTCTTCTTTTTAATGACTTATTTCAGTGGTGGTTGCTCTGTCGTCTGTTTTTGAGATTGATGTCTCTTCTGTTTTTACTTACAGACATACACATCAATTGCTGCTTGCTTTATTAAGCTTGTTTCTTTCTGGTGTTTTCTTTTTTTTTGTATTTAACACTTTATATGAAATGTAGGGACAACCTGGCTCTAGACTTTCCCTTGGGATCAGTGAAATTCAAGCTTATTTTATGTCATCTTGTCTCAACAAGATATAAGATATGTATTCAGCAGGATTTGGTATCAGGCTTTACATGTGTTTTTACTTTAATATGTGTTTGTAGGAAAGTGCAGAATCTTTCTCACAAAAGATTTGCAAAAACTGAGCAGAGAGAAAGTGACTCAAACTAGTTAAAAAGAGGACCATGATCAGGATAGTGGAATTACTAACTTTTTATCAGGGTGTCTATTTTTGTATGAAGCAGAGTAGTAATGAGTCTGCTGGAGCAATAAATGGTTTCAACACTGAACAATGCATGGTTGACTCAGATAGTTTGCTTGTGGGTCACTGCACAAGGCTGTACAGCACTGTGCACCTCTGCAGGCATCATATGGAATTTACACGCAGGTATTGATGCGTGAATCTGAGGGCACAAAACAAACAGCAGGGTGGGTTTTGTGTTAGCGCCACTATAAATATATATTTATTTGTGTGGACAATATCATCTTTGGTTATTACCAAGCAATACAAGTGATGCATGTGTGAGTTAGGGGGTGAAACCATTAGTGATGTGTAAATGATGTGAGACCCAGGGGATAATAAGACTGTTCAACATGCTGGCACAGATGGTAACCATAGCAACGGCTAATGCATGTTTGATATAATTTGTGCTGATTGACTATGGTCAACTGACACTATAGGGTTTGGTTGTAATTTAAAGCATGTTATAGTTTCAGTAGTGGTGTGTAAACTCACTTTATGGTTCTTCGAAATGACACATAAACCAGACAGACGTAAAAGAAGGTCAGTGTGTGTGATGTATCACTTCCATCTCGGCTCCGTGAAATCTGGTATTGAATAAAGACATGTCTGATGAGCAGTGTATGCTCTGAGCTGGTGACTGCTCATCAGTTAACTCACTTCCTCTAATTTACTGTCTGGGTCGCGGTGCAGGAAAGGGGGACCATCAATTTGTAGTCAGACACACACACAGATGGTCAAATAGGAAGACGTGAAATCTGTGACTCAGTGTTTATGGACACCCAGTCAGATACACAAAATCATTATTATGTTGAAAGGCATCCCTCGTATTTTATAACGGGCTCCCAGTAGGTCTAGCAGATGCGTTTAGAAAGAGCTCATTGCTTGAAAATATCAGTAAAAGCACCTTCAAATGAGAGCCTCTGCATTGTAACCTCATAATCATGGTGTCACTTTGTGTAAAAGGTGGTCACTTAAGTATAAGGTCATTGAACAGGGAGTTTCTGCCCTGACTCTTGCAGTGTAGTGCTAACACAGCAACGATAGCTGGATGGAAAAGTTAGACTTTAAATCAGTTTGTGTTCAGTTATGATCCGGTTGTGCTTAATAACCTGAGGCCTCATTTTTCAACTGTGTGTACACACAGATGTGTGCGTAATGAGAGCGTACGAATATTCACATACGGATATTTTTGTATTTACGCACATTCTAAATTTCATTCCTGCACCAGAATCAAGAACCTTTTTTACGCACGGTTAATATGTGACCTACCTACCTTCTTGTCCTACTATTTGAATCAGATTGGTTATAACATGACACAGAAACACCATGAGAAGGCAGAAGATCTCCTTGTTGTAGCTGTTTGCTCAAGTTGAACCCAGAATAACGAGAAGGATGAGATATTTACAGAAAAAAAAAATCAACTCAAAGGATTGGTTTTCAATCCAAATCAGCTCCTTATCAGTAAAAAATGGTGATATGAAACATCTGCAGGTACAGGTGAGCCTAATCTGCGTGTACTGGAGAAGGGGCAACATCTGCTTGTGTGCATATTAATGAATACTAATCATTTTCTAAGTTAAAGCTTATGCATCTCAGACGCTTCTTGCACCTTGATGTAAGGGAAGATTAAACTCAAAATTAGAACAAGAGTTATAAAATCTCTGCTTTGGAAATGTATCAGGATAGCTCTTCTAGCTCTAGCATACGTTTAATCTCATTTCCCTGCCTTTGATCGAATTAACTATCCACATTCAAGCCCATGTAGGATACCCTGAGTAGGTCAAGTGTTGTGCTCCTGGTGAAACTGCTTTATAAGAATTTGTAATTACAGTACATTCTGCTAAAAATTCTAAAAACATGTTGACATGAAAGTCAAAAACAGGATAAGAGAGCTAATAATTTGAATACAGAAGATTTGTTCATTAACTACAGCATATACACACTCAGAATGAAGATATTTTTCTCACTTCACTGTATTTTCAATCATCAGGGATTAGATCTTAGCCTGTGATCGTTGATACTCTCTGTTTTAACTACTTATTGACAAAAATGTTAGTGTCTCTTTGTTGTAATAAGGAAGTTTGATTTTATTCTTTCTTCTAACAAATCAAGCATCAGCTCAGTGATTTAGCTGCTTCAAAACATATTAAGAAATTTCATAAATCATCAGGAATGCACAATATGTGATGAACTTGATGGGTTGTTGGCATGTTAAGTGTTTACAAAAGCTAATAAAAGTTGCTTTCATTTACTTTATAACCAGCCAAAACCTTCTAGCAAGTGGTTGGCAGTGTGTTAACTACCATACAGAGATCGCAAAAGAATGAATGTCACCTGTGAGGACGTTTTTTCCCTTTTTTTCCTGAAGGACACCACAGTTGCATTTTGCAAAATGTGTGCAGCAAGTGTTTTGAGTGGAGAAGGAAAGTGCTCAAGCAGTTGGATAATAAGTCTTTTTAGTCACCTGAAAAGTTGACATTGCAACATAGATGTACTGAGGAAATAACGCAGTAGTAGAGTTCTAGTTTCAAACTGAAAACTGCAGAGGATTTACGGACATACAAAGCTAAAGCAATTAAAGTCAAAATGACTGAATTTACAGCACTTGACAGCCCACCTGTTCCCAAGGTGGATGACCAGAGGTTTCACCAGCTAATGGTGTGCTTGGAACTGTATCCTGTTACAGATGCATTTCTGCCTGACCTGTGTGTTATGATTTCTGCTCAGGCTCAAAGTCTGATTCATGCCAGTGACATAATGTATGTATATATAGACTTCTAACATTAGTCCAGTGAATATGCTTAGTTTTACGGCTCAGTGAAATAAGTGCACAGGCGTGCTTTGGTTCACAGTGAAAAGAAAACACAGTTCTTTGTGTTCGCAACAGGGATTATAGTTAAAATACGTTTTGATTAACAATATTTATGCATCTTTACACACTCAGACTTTTTACCTTCAAGTTTGCTGTAACCAAATATTACAAAATACAAAAGTATAAAAGAAAAATGTAGTACTCTTATTCGTACCTATGGAAGGCGAGAACAGCCATGGATTTTTATTTTTTTTATGCATTATCTTGTGCATACATTTATTATCATACTATTTATTATCTCGTTATCTCAAAATAAAGTTCCTTTTCTCGTGATAACAGATCAATCAATGGTGTGTCAGCCATCGTGACTGTTGTTGTCTGATTCATGGATGGCAGTTAAATGTTCCCACGTTGAAAGTGTAGCGTGCATACGTGGAGCGTGACATCAGTGTTTTCATTGAAAACTCCAGCTTGCTGTTGATAACGGTGGCTGCGGCGTTTCAGAAATATCCCACTCTGTAGGGCGTTTGTAAAAGTTTTCAATTTGGGTCAGCCAAAACGCCATTTCTGTTTAAACAAGACGCAACAATACCTTCGCTTTAATACTAAAACAGTTGTCATGTGAATGAAAAAAAATGAGAAAATGAACTTGGTTTTATCGAGATTGGATCCATTGGATGTTCTTATCTTCCATCAGTATCGGCATCAGGAGCAGGTTATTTTCAGTTATCAGTATCAGCTTTGAAAATGTATGTCTTGCATCCCTAAAAATGATAAAAGTACTCTCCGTATTTTATTTTTACCTGAACTGCTGGTCAAAATGCAGGGAAAGTTGTGCTCTAGTGGGATAAGAGAAACGATAACCCAGCTGTGAAGACGTTAGAATAAAACTGAGATCAGGAGTGACTTTGGAGAGAGAAAAACAGAGAAAAGAGAGAGAGGGAGGATGACTGGCAACAAAGCGGGCCAGAACTTGCTTGTCAGCTCCTGTCACCAAAACAGAGAAATGGACTGGGGTGCTGGCTGCACCTCTGAGAGATAGACAGAGGAAGAGAAGGAGGAGGAGGGAGAGAGAAGAGGGATCGGCTTGGAAAATGACAGTGGAGAAAAGAGCAGAGGAGAGGGTATGGGGTAAGGATGACAAGAAGAAAACCAGAGCGCTCCAGTCAGAAAGTTTTAAAAAGGAGAAATACAGAGGTAACAGATCAGAAAGAGACGGATGCAAAAAAGTATATGTTTGAGCGTATATGCGAGAAAAAGTGATTCAGAGAGAAAAAGGATTTAACAGGCAAGATGGTGAGAGAGACATATGAGGCAGACAGTAAAAAGAGAAACTTGCAGATAGAAAAAACAGAGCAGCGGAAATTGACAGAAATAGAATAAAAAGAAGGATGGGAGCGAGTGTGATGGAATTTAAAATGGAAGAAAAAAAGCTGGTATAAAAAAGCATATCAACAGTCGGCAGTGATGGAAGACTGAGATAGTGAGGAATTTGAGAGAAAGAGAGAGGACAAGGATAAAGCACAAAGGGTGAGACTGTAGAGCTAGGGGTCCCTCTGAAAGGGAAGAGGAGAGGGAAGTGTGTGGGATAGTTTGAAAAAAAAGAGAAAGCAAGATCGTTTTTTAAAAAAAGAAGGACTTTGAAGATATGAGAGACTGTTAAAAAAAAGAGAGAGAGAGAGCATGGTATGCAGCTGAGATGGAGAAACAGGAAAGAAGTGAGCAGAGAGAGAGCTAATGTTGGAAAAAGTGCAAGAGCAAAGACGGGAGGAAGAAAGAGGGGAGAGAGATTAATTGAACGGATGAAAGAGGAGAGGGTAAACAGGAAGGATGAAGCCTTTAGAAGAGACAGATAAAGACCTCAGAGAACAGATGAGGGGGGGAGGATGAAAATTAAAGCCAAAAGAAGAGAAAAAAAGTAGTGAAGGCAAAGGGAAAGAAAGAGAGAGGTCTGTCTGAGGAAAGATAGAGAGAGGGGGAGTGAGACGTCAAGGGAGGGAGGGAGGGGAACTGTGAGCCGCAGTGAGAAATAATGAATCATGAATAGATTTAACAGTATCTGCTCTTATTTCCTCTCCTCCTCCTTCCCCTCTTTCTCCCCCTTCCAGCTTCCTCCTTACATCCTGTCGAGATCACAGCCCCCCTCCCACCTCTCCCTCTCATGTGCTGTCATTATCAGTGGCAGGGCCATCTTATGTCCCGGCATTAATTGAGCTGTAACAGTCAATCCGTGCCTCCCTCCCTACCTTCCTTTTAGCCTCTCTGCTTTTTATCCCCATCTCCCTCTCTTCTCCTCTCTTTATATTTCCTCCTCTGTCGTTATCTTCGCCCCCTCCTTCCTCACCTCTCTCTTTCACTATCTCGATCCCTCTCATTTCCTTTCCATTTCTCCCCCTTCTCCTCGAAGACGATTCTATCTGAACTATATGAAAAGATAACATCTCCCCCCTCTTTCTTAAAGCTGTGTGAATACATTCATACACAGGCACACAGGCGCGTACACGTCGTCACATTATCTCTCTTGGTTCACTTCCATTATCATATCATATCATATATACATATATACTCGCTGTATCCCCAGAGGAGCCAGCCGGGCTATAAGGACTTTGCGCTTCTCTCTGCGGTTGTTCTATATTCATTGATATAGCACTTCTGGGGCTCTGAAATCATTGTCTGTATCCCCCGCTATGTGCAGACACACAACATGTATATTCAGTGACTTTGTAATTCAGTCATATACTGTAGGCTCACAGCGGTTGGCACAGCATGGTTTACAGATATATGATGATATGTTGTCAGGTGTGTGGGGGATGACTGAAGCGGGCTTTTTGTATTGACAAGTAATTCTAGCAGCAGGAAGACAGCAAGATGGAGTGAAGTGAAGAAGAACAGAGGCTTTGTTGGACATTTTAGCAAGAGTGTACGACTGGAGCATGACCAGTGAAATGATGAAAATGTCAACGATTGGAAGTAAATGAAGGCAACAGCAGCTGACACGGAGCCAGGAACGGCATAGTTTGAGTAGAGGAGCAGCACTTGTCTTCAACATGTCGAACCAAGGACAAAACCAGAGAGAACTTGATAAAAACTGGTAATACTTTACTTGACGTCTGTAACGCATTATAAATATATATATAATGCATTTCAATCACGTTGTAGTACTCTATGACTACAGTTTTCAAGACTCATAAATGATCATAATGCTTTATAGCAATAATCATAACACATTATAAAGCATTTTATCATGACTTACAAGGTCAGATATTATAATGTGTTATGCCTTAAAAAAGCCTTATGATTATTAATAAGTGTTTATAATGATAGTTATACAAGTTTATAAGCACATTATAACACATCATAAATATATGTATAATGTATTATCTGTTGGGCATTGTCAGTGAGTTGTTAACAGTTATAACACACTATAATACCTGACCTTATAAGTCATGATAAAATGGTTTATAATGTGTGATGATTATTGCTATAAAGCATTATGATCATTTATGAGTGTTTATAACTATAGTTATACAGCGCTATTACGTGATTATAATGCATTACACATATACTTATGATGCGTTATAGAGATAGGCGTCAAATAAAGTGTTACTGTTTGACTTAATCAATTAGCATATATAGACAAGAACCAGACTGACTTTAAAAAAAGACATTTTCATTCTTTGTTATTTTCTTTGCACACTATGAATACTATGACCTTTTTTTAATCAAGAAAACATCAGTGTAAGGAGCTTGCCCCAAAAGAACTGTTCAAAACTGGACAAGAGTAACTAGAGTCTGATTTTATTGACAGAAAGATTATTTTGTCAGATTTTTCTGTGGTGTGAGGTATGTGAAGAGTGATTTTACTTCCCTCGATCTGCTTAGAAGAACGTGGTTGTTACACAGAGAAACCTGTTGTGGGCAGGGGACCTTGAAGACAGCTGAGCGCGCACTCTGGATTGTCACATGGGACGAGATGATAGCTACTTTGGTGGCAAGCTGACTGAAGACGGAAGCACAAAAAAGCACAGCCGTGAAGACATTAGTGAGCACAAAGAAAAAAGTTTGATGGACATCAGAAATCACGGACCCACTTTGTTGGTTTGCAGCAGTGACGTACATACAACATGTCCGGTGAAACATGTTCTATGACCTTCATATCATTAGCTGCACATTGTCCACCATGTTTGATCACAGGAGATTTCCACTTTGACAGTCAGGACTCTAGATGTTGGTGAATCTGTTTTTGTGTCGTGCCATCTAGTCACTCTCCACACACAACAACAAGAACTAATCTGTTTAATCCGTCATTATTTGTCATTATGTGCAGGATCGCTTCCTCTTTTAACATCTGTTAATATCTCAAACAGAGTGGTGCCAGCTTCAAGACATAGTGTCCTTTGTTTTTTTAATCATTAGAGGTACTTCATAGTATCCTGAATATCCTTCTGAATGATAGAACACTACAGCTAATCAATACTGTCCATAAGAGGAGTTTTGACAGTAGACTATTGTGTGTGCAGGGCGAGAGTAATGCCTTGCTGTCTACTAAAGAAAATATCATTTACTATTATATCCACTCATCTCATGGTAATAAACACTCCACAGTCAGTGGGTACAACTTGATGCACATTGATTTGATGATATACTTGGCCTTGCAAACTATAGTGAACCTGGGGCTCCAGGGAAAATTATATCTTCAACCTTAAAGGGATATTTACAGTCAAACACACCGTAATACAGAGTTAGACACCCCCTTGGGAGATGAATGTTGCCGACTTACGTATAGGGTCCCAGCCACAGCACCAGCCACCAAACATCTTTATAACTTTGAGTAATTTCTTTAGCAAAGAGACTAAACACAACTCACCTACTCTCTTCCAGCAGCCGCTTGTTTGTAGCGAGACCTCAGGCAAGTCCATCGACTGCAGCGGGGTGACGCAGCTCAAGGAAGAACATTTATGATAATTTCTTTATGGAAATGCAGTCAGACCGAGACGCTAAGGCAGGAGAACTGCAAAATGATTAATATGGTGATTATAACTTCAAGGAAATGATTAAGTAATGATCATAAATGTTCTTCCTTGAGCTGCGTCACCCCTCTGCAGTCGGTAAGGGACTCGCCTGAGGTCTCTGGTCGTTACTAAAGTTGGTATAACTAGAGAAGCAAGCGGTCGACAACGTTAATCTCTCGAGGGGGTGCCTAACTCGGTGTTACAGTGTGTTTGACACTAAATTAATTTAACGCTTGAATATCCCTTTAAGTCTTTTACTCGTGATTTTAGCTGTAGGGTCTATTAGTGTGCATAAACTAATTGGTTAGGGACCCCTCAATGCATCACACTTATTCGTTAAGATGTATTATTACAGTTTCAGTGGTACACATGAACATAAATATAGCACATATTAGTGTCTTTTGGTTCATTCAGTCATTTCTCTTCAAACGTTTACTGCCCCATCATATCACTGGGGACAGGGAGTCCTGTGTGCGACCATTAGTGGAAAAGGTGTTAAAAATGTCCTCTTGATTTATAGAAAAGAAATAGTATGAAAATAGAAATCAATACCCCGCAAAGCTAATTTACAGCCTGTATGAGTCAGGCCTGCTTTGTTGATGACTGAAAAACAGATGACGCAGAGGTTCAAATCCTTTAAACAAGATGTACGTTTTCGCCCAAGGTTCAGCATTTATCTGTGACTCTGATTAAGGTTTGAAAGGGGAAGTCTTGATGTTAGTAAGCTGGAATTGTTGCATAATTTGTTTGCATTTTGGTAGCCTAATACAGCAGGATGCTCGGCAATAAAGCTCCCGGGCTGTGAGGGTGCTTAATTACAGATTAGACAGCGAGAACCTGGAGGGGGCTGTGGAGTTGAAAGCTGGGTCACCGTTGAAATTTTATAACAGTGCGTTTGATGCTAGGCTTCTCTGCTATTATGACACAATTATTTGACAATATTTTTTAAAGCTTTTATTTAAACTCACAAAAATAGAATTTAGCATCACCACCTAATAAATCTGTAAAAGATGCCTGAGCCGTATATCAGACATTTACCCCAGTTTTGCCAAGAAAGGTTTTGAAGGTTAGACGCCGACAACAGAGAAGCTGCCATATGTAGCCAGAAACTCTTTGTTAACTCTTAAAGCGTCCTGTTTTTCAGTGTTTGACAGCTGTGTTTAGACTGCAGCATAAAATGTTAAAAGGCATTCTTAGATAAGAGCTTTTAACAAGAGGACACGGTGAGAATTAACTTGAGTGGTTTTGAAGGTCAAGTTTTGTTTGATGACAGCTGTCCCTTTTCGGTTCTTTCGCATCCAGAGCGTGCAACTTTTAAAGCGCTCCTGTTTTCTGTATATACATAATTTCTTGTCATCCTTGCAGTCATGTGAAAAGAAATACTCTGCATCCATTTAACCAACAAGTTAAACTTTTATCAATGTGCATTTTTACTTTTAGAGAAACATTCTGCAAGTAAAATCAGCCTGGATTTAAGGATGCTGTTATTCTAGGAAAATCCTCAAAATTATGGATATTTGGATATCTAAGAAATGTTCAAGTTTGCATTTAAAGGCCAGAATTAAAATTCTACACCTTTTGAAATTTGGTACCTATGTAATCTTGAAGCAATCCTCGCCTCTGAGTATAATAGACCCCTGTGATTCATCAGTCTTGCTTTTGTCTTTGTCATCTTCTTGCCAATTTGTAACAAGAAATATTTTGTGCAGTCACCCTCTGCATGCAAAAGCACACATAGCCCTTACTAGTTTGTCCCTATTGTGCTACTGTAGAAACATCGCAGTACAGGATGATGGTCTCTACTGAAGGAAACCCACTGCTATGTTGAGATAAAAGGCTCATCATAAGTGAAGAAAAACAAAATGATCTTTATGTTTCGGTCTTTGGACACAAATTAAACATAATTATGAATATTATACCCCATTTCTGCCAAGTCTGTTTTGCTAAACTGTACCAGCAGCACTTCAGAACTTCACCAGTGATCAACACAAAGATGGACGACACATAACCTTCTCCAGTTGTTTGAAAGTGATGCCAAAAGAAAGCTAGCATGGCATCCTTTTTTTTTTAAACAGCTTATGGTCCTAACATCCGTCGTGACTCATTTAAATGAATGCTAATCCAGGTATCATTGAGTTTTGTCACAGTTGAGTGACAGCTTATATTTCCTCTGTACATTTGTGAATGCTCGTATGAAAGCCTGGTTCACACGCAGGAGACAGGATATTATAGGATCAGTGTTAGCATATATATAGACTCTACATAGTGTATTTCACAATACTGGATACAGAGACGACGTGGTTCACAGAGCAGCCAGGATATTATAGGAAGCCGTGTTTGATAGTCAGGATGCTCGGCAGCCAGACTTTTTCCCCTGTGGACTCCTGAGGACAGATGAAGCAGCTGGCTGTCCTTCCTTCCTGCTCCCTCCTTTCATTTCACCAGCACACATGTGAGGGCTGAGGGTGTGGGAGTGTGGGTGTTGGTGTGTTTTTGTGTGATTCACAAGAGAGAGTAGCCCAGTCTTTGCTTTTTGCACTATTTGGTGCAAGATCGCAAATAAAATCCTTTTTTTTTAAGCAGTCAAACAATTAAAACACATCTGTGAAACAAGAAGAAAAGTGAAGGGGAGAAAAGACGCAGTGAAAAGCAAAACTAAGAAAATAAATAAAACAGAAAAGGGGGTTGAGAAAGATCCAGACAGAGTACAAACAAACCAGAGAGGGTGATCACATGAGAGGATGTTTATCTGTTTATGTTGTCTAAAAACTGTGTATGTGAGTGTGCGTGTGCATGTGTCCCTAATTAGCCGGAGCCGTTGAGTTTTTAATGCCTTCTTATGTGTGTGTTTGTGCATGCATGTGTTGGTATATTTGGCTGAAGTTGTGACCTGAATCCTTATTTCATTGGGGAGTGAACATTGGAGAAAAAAAAAGAGTGAAGGAAAGAGTGCAGCAAGACCTGCCTTCATTTTTAACTCACTGCTCTGGTTCCTAATAGGATTGGGCTCCTCTCTTTCCCCTTTTTTTACTGTCTCCATCTCACTCTTTCCATCCCCTCTGCCTCATCCTTTTCTCTCTTTGTCATTCCCACCACCCAGTCAGTCGATAATCCCACAGTTGTGTTCCGAGTTTTTTCACTGATTGTATTTAAAGGGCTGGATTAGGACGAGACTGCTTATGTGGGTCAACTAGTTCCCGCTTTCTAGCGGTCAAAAGACTTTGTATGCATGTTTGTGTTCATGGTATGTGTTTGCACTCGCTCTGATCAGTGGTGTATGCAGCCTCTCTTTGCATGTGCTGTGGCATCTGTGTTCTGTGAGTGTGTGTGCATGTGCGTGTGCAGCTTTGATGTCTCTCCCCTCCATTACTGTGTGTGAATGCGGGTGCGTACATGTGTAACAGAGCTCATTTGTGAATAATGAGGCATAGAGAGTGGGAAAGAGTGTGATACAACCCTTTAGGAACGATAGAAAATAGGGTGAGAGAAGCAAAAAACAGAGGAAAAGAAAGAGAGGAAGATGAGATGAGAGAGAAAATGAGTGATTAAATTCCCAGGGAGCTAGCCTTTTAGCGTAATGGCTTTGTCACTCTGGTGGTGGAGCTCTAAGAAGCAACACAGACTGTTGGCTTATCTCTGTGTGTGTGCGTGCGTTTGTGTGAGTGTGTGTGTGTAAACGCTGATATCAAATGTATGTGATAGCAGCTGCATGTCTGACCATTTAGAACTGATGATATCCTGTCTGAGCAGCTGCATCAGTTGTGGCTTTTTATGTGAGTCTGTCTGCTGCACTCGCTGGGTGAAATATATATCTCTGTAAAAATTCATGGGTAACTTCACCGAGAGGATATCCTGAATTTTTTTTTTTTTTGACGATTGAATGCAGGGCTAATTCTTTCCTGCCTCACATCTGGTGTGTTTTAAGCACCATTTTGCATTTTATCATGAACTTTATTTTGATTATGTAGTGGATTATTCATGCAGCCTGAATCTGTTGTGTATGATCTCTTTTCACTAAGATGGTCGATATAGTTTGACCCTTATATGCATTTGAAACACACTCTCTACTGTATTCAGAATGATTAAACTCCAATTGGTTGGAATTAATAAGTGTTTGGATGTATCTACATTTTTTTAAATAGTAAGAATGTGTTTTTACCTGCAGCATATCTCCTGTGTGCTTTGTGCGTAATCTGACACTGAGAAATAATCGTAATCTGCTGCTCAATATACAGACCTCTATGAATTCAAAGAAAACTCTGACAGTGTCTAATTACAAACTTATGCTTAGCACAGCCAGCTTTTTCTGGGGCCAGTGCCACAATCAAATTGACAGTTTAGTAAAATTACCAGACCGATATCTTACCACTTTTTGGCCTAAATTCATCCTCTCGCAACATAACTCTGACTTAAGTATTGGCTGATACTCGCCTACTGCCTGTATGGTTTAAAAAAAATTGCATAAGAGCAGTTTAAAACACACCCTGACATTCAGCAACTTTTGTTTGCATGAATCTCTGTGCACACCCAATAATGTTACCATATGATAGGGTGAGCATATTCTGACTTCCCAAAAAGAGGACACGACTACACAGGGATGGAGTTATGGAGTCCTGACTTTGAGAGTTTTTCGGGTTGGATGGAGTGTCTTTTATGCGCTTCTAACTCAGTAAGTCCATGTTACACTAACTTGAAACTTACGTACAAAACAGCAGACATTTGAAGGATTTTATAAACTTCCCCGGACAAACTCAGGCAGCCCCCCAAAAAGAGGACATGTCCGGGTAAAAGAGGACATATGGTCACCTTACTGTATGATGTTGTTACATAACAATTCACTTTATACTACAGCAGTTTTTTAGGGAGCAAACTGGTATTGGGCATAGTCTTAAATTGAAATGGTCATCCTAAGATTCACTGTGATTGAAGCCAAAACAGTCAGAGCTCCTCCTGGTGACTGGTGGCCATGTCTCCTTTATGTTAACAGATAAAACATGGGTCAAACTTTGAGATGTTTACAATTAATCAAGTATCAAAGTAATTGAAAAACAGGCAGAAAGCTTGTTCCCTTATTAACTTCATCTCCATTGTTGTGGCAATTCCACATTTAGCAGTAGTTTGTGCTTTGCTGTACGGCTTTAAGTTTGATCAGATGATTTCTGAGCCCATGTTTATATTCAGCATGTTTAACTACATGGTCGGTTTAAGAAGGGAGGATAAGAGAGCTAGCTTTAGCTACAAATACTAGAGTTTAAAAATCAGTAAGTTGTTTTGTAAGATTTCATAGCAGTTATGCTCTGAAAAATAAATGAACACATTCACAGTTCTGCACTAACATGCAAGAGCCAGCCGATGTTTCTTCACAACATTTTGTTTGTCATTATAGTAAGTTCTTCTCATGCTGATTGATGTTAAAGTGCTCATGCTTTGGAGATGCTCATTTCTGATTAGTCATTTGATTTTGAAGGATGATTTATTGATTGCTCTGATGATGGTTCCTGCATTTTTTCATTGAAATAGCAGAGTAAGGAAGGAACAATGAGAGAAAAAACAAACATGAATACAAGAGTCATTGAGGTCACGATTACCATGAGTGTCTGTTTCAAATCAACATAAGAACATAAGAATACTGTGGACTGTACTGACACGAGAGATCTTTACTGCTTTATTGGTAAGTGTGTGCTTTGTAGGGCTGAACAATTTTGGAAAATAATCCAATTAAAAATAAAATGTTCTCAATATTGTGATTGCGATTTTGATAATATGCAATTATTTTTTCAAGGTCCTCCTGTAAGGTATTTTTCAACAAACACAAACAATAAATCTATCTGTATTATAGGAAACAATTATTATACATAAATTGTTCTTTCTGCCAATTATCATTTCACACACAGGCTCTGTCTGCTCACTTGCTATCATGCACACACATGCACGTGCCATCATACACGTCACGATACTAATCTATGTACCGATTGCGAGATGTCTATTCATTTAGCTGTGCTGCAGTCATCGCGTTGGATGCGTTTTCTGTCGTTATGCAGATGTGGTTAGAAGCTGAAGTCGAAGTGCCGGTCGCTGGTGTTTTAGCCATTGTTGTATATAGCTTTGTTGCGTTTTTTAAAGTGTTGACAAAAGTTTGTAGTGTTACCTCCCGATGTAGCAACAGTAGCTCGACAAGTTCTGCACACGTTGCACAGCAGCATCTTTTTTAGATCTACACAACTGCCGTGCTGCCCCTCTTTGGTACTAAACTTTATGCAGTGTCAGTTTCTTTAGTGGAAATAGACCATAATGTGACAGAGTGCAGTGTTGACTTCTCTCTCTACCTGCTCTGCTTCGCTCTGCTGGCTTGTCATGTGACCAGATCACATGACCAGTCAAAATCACAGCCTTTGCAGTTAGAAAACCGCGTTTTGTAATATCGCGTTGTAATCGCAAATGCAATTAATCATTCAGCCCTATTGCTTTGGTTAGTTTAAGTTATGTGTGGTCAGTTTTACGTTGTGCATGCCTTGGCTCCAAAATACATCAGTGGTTCAATCTTTCAACACCAGTGAGGCTTTTTTTTTGCTTCATTTTTACAGATGGAGTTGTGTCGTTAATCATTTTAAATAATCAACGGTTTTAGGTATAGCTACATGACCTTTCTGTTACATCTATAAAAGCTAAGACTTTGTAAGATTTTTTCCTTTCAAATGTGCTTTTGCACAACTGTAGACTCCTGATCTTTACATTCAGCGTACAGACATATACCAGCAGGCAAGTGAGACCATTTGAAAATAGATGTCATTGTTTGGATTTAGGACTAATTATCATGGTAACAACTGCCCCTATACGCTCAAGGCCATTATAGGCAGGTCAGGTTTCCAGCCATGAAGGCAAATGAAATGTCATGTTAGAAAATAGTGGGTGACCATGATGAGGGGAGGCTCAGTGTTACCACAGATTGAACCACCTGTGCCCGTGGTCTGATCTGCATGGCAGTGAACAACTGAGATTAGCAACAAGAGGAGTCGGGGCAGCACTAAATGTAGATCTAGATCTTTCCTTCAAAGCAAGTTTGATTAACATTTCTTGATTAACATTTAAGGGTTTGGAAGCAGCTCCTCAAATGTCCAAGCTCCTGTCCAAAAATAAAATCCAAAGAGACTGAGTTGATTGCCAAAGACTTCTCCAAATTTTACTGCATTTGAAATGTCAAGTAAAAACAGTGTCCATAATTTTAATGCTTGTTTGCTGTACTACAATGAAGCACGTGCATGTCGGCCAAATTTATCCACTGACCCTGCTGTAGTTAACAGTATCTGCTGTGACCTTATCACAGACGACAGACCCTCATCAACTGTGCCGTAGAAATCATGTTTGTAGACATCTAAGATACAGAATGATTACAAAACTAAGTTATAAATACACCAAGATTGCTCCTTTAGCGATCCCTTTAGTTGTGCAGTAGTTGTTTTCTCTATTTGATATATTTAATAAACATTTAGTTTGATTACTTTTTAGTTTTTAGTCTTCATTTTGTGCATTCAGTATACCTCAATTCACCTTTATATCAAGGTTAAATGTTTAGAGTCTAAGTATATACATTGGCAACATTTTATTGCATTTATGCATTTATGGTATTATATTTTGTCATGCTTTGTTGCAAAAAAAAAACATCAAAGAAAAATGTAAGAACGAGAATATTTTGTGTGTAAGGGTAAAGGGTGAGTGTTTGTGTATGAAGTGCACATTTTTTAACGCCTTTGCATGCATGCAAACTGTGCAGAAAGCCTTGCTACTGTTGCTACTTTGTGTCGTATTGCACTGCGAACGACATGAGTTTGAAGCCTTATGCAGTCTGTCAATCCAAGCTGGTGAGCTGGCACAGCGTGAAGATGACTAATAGCCCAGTAATATATGGCCAGAGATAGAGGAAGAGTGTGAAAGAGAGCAAGAGAGGAGAATATCAAGATGCACGTGAAACTCCAACCCCAAGAAATTTCATGTCTTACTGTCACATGCACTTGAAAGATCCCCTTAATGTGTATGTTTAGGTTGCAGAGGTATCTGGTATTTTTTATTTTTTTTACCTTACTACCTCAAAGAAGCATTTCTATTAGGTCATTAGTGGTAGCTACGTGTTATGGAGTCTGTCTGATGTCCACCAATGTGCTGGATGTGTGCATGTGTGTGTATGTGTGTGTCAAAGCAGTAGAAGTGTGTGTCAGAGCAGTAGAAGTGAGCTGTCTGTCTGTATTATTCATTCTAAATGTTTCTGCTGCCTGGTCTGCTGCCTATCTTGTATTGTTACCACTCTGAAGGTTGAATCTGTGTACTTTTGTGCATGTGTGTGCGTGTGTTTGTGTCTGAGAAAATCTGTTTGTGTGTGTGTGTGTGTGTGTGTGTGTGTGTGTGTGTGTGTGTGTGTGTGTGTGTGTGCGCGCATGTGCTTGTTGGTCTCATGCTGCGAGGCTCTGCTTGCTCTGCACACATCTCATTGTATGTGTGCTCTCCTCTGTTCTGTTTGGATTGCTTTTCACTGTGCCCTTGTTGCTTTTGTGTGTGTGTGTGTGTGTGTGTGTGTGTGTGTGTGTGTGTGTGTGTGTGTGTGTGTGTGGCTTTTGTGTATACGCACCTGTGTGTAGCTGTATTGGAGTGTGCACAATTCTCAGAGTGCGTCTGTGCACGTGTGTGTGTGCCTTCTACTATTTTTGTGGGTGAGCGTGTGTGTTTTTAGTGCTTGTGTGTACTTTGCTGCTCCCCTTTCCTCTCCCTCTCTCTCTCTCTTTCTCTGTTTCTCTTCCTCTCCTTCCAGAATAGAGGGGCCATCAATCAGAGGCAAGGGGGATAGAGGAAGGGAGGGAGGGATGGAGGAGGAGGAGGAGAGGAGTTGGCGAGGCGCCAGGGAAGAGGTGCTGGCACGCTGCCCAGAGAAGAGCGATAGAGAGAGAGAGAGAGAGAGAGAGAGAGTGAGGGCGGAGAGAGGAAAACAAGACCGAGCAAGAAAAGAAAAGAAAAAAGAGGGGAAGGTGGAGGGAGGGAGATTCTATGAGAGAAGGAGGGCAGAAAGATAGAGCAGGGAGGAGAAAGAAATAAAAGAGAGGGAGGATAGAGTGAGGGAGGGAGAAAAAGAGCATGTCCAAGTGCACTGAGGGAAAATGTAGCAGGAGGACACAGAGAGAGATTCACTGCGGAAGTGGAAAAATGAGCCAGCAGAATAAAGAGGGAAAGGCTGATTGAATAGAGAGAGAGAGAGGGAGAGAGAGGGGAAGAGAGGAAAGACAGGAAGAAGTGAAGGGATGGAAAGAGAAGAAGCAGGAATGGCTGTTTTCACTCACAGCTCTGTGTCTGTAAAACCCAATCAGTGTCTGATTAGTACATCACCGGCTTCAAATATTTACCTTAACTGTTCACAGAGGGGCAAGCCGTCCAATTAGAAAGGGGGGGGGGGGGGCACTCTAGGAGGGGGATGTTTGTGTGTGTATGACATGTGCACATCCTCTTACTGTTAAAATTAATGAGGGGGTTTTCCAGCATGTGTAGGAAAGACTACGAGGTACTAAAACCAACATGGCTGTGTCCATTCCAGAGTATGTATGTACACAGTTTTTGCTAAAAATCCCATCATCCTCTGCTCTGTGATTATAGATGTAAGATACTGCAGCTGTAGAGACAGTACATGTCTGTATTTCATATAAAGTAAACGTTAATTTTTTCCATTCAGTAATCTGATTTTTTCTTTGTCTTATATCTTAATAAATCAATGAACTCCTGATAGGGTAGGCGAGACCCTGATGTGACAGACAGTCAAACCGATACATGATAGTGATTTTAAGATGATTTTATTGATCCAAAAATATTTATTTATTTGATTTAATGATCTGTAATCAGTTTATTATCAGTCACCTTTCAGGATGAATGAACTTCAAACTGAAGGTTTTAACTCATGCACATGTTAACGCATTAGCTCGCTTATTTGTTTGAACATCAAACTAACCATTTCCACCAGAGGTAATGTTAGACAACATGAACAATCATGTTGACATATGTCCAACTGCAGCTCTACATCTTCTCGGGGCGCTGCAGTAGTAGACACAATAACACATGATTGACATAAATGAAGCAGAAGTCCCGACTTTGAAAGCTGTTGCTTTCGTCATAACTTATGGTTTTAGTTAGCTGATAGTTACCTGCAGCTGTGTCTTCTTTGCCTTGATCGCAGGATAGGATCTTGCTCCACTTTCAAAGGAAATAGGGGTCCAGTAATTCTCACTCTTTCACACCCTTCAAGACCAACCTGAGACAGACACTCAAGTTCTGCCTCAGAACTGAGAGGAAAAGGTGAAATGTGTCCAACTCCCATTCATAGATCGATTGATGACTTGTGTGACTTGTCCCTTTACGTTTCTTTTGCTGTTGAGAATTAATCACAGTTGTTAAGAGATTTTGTTCAATGTGTCAAGTATTTAACACAGCCAGGTAACAGTGTGAATGAAGATTTTTTCATCATTCAATTGCTGCAGGTGCACTAACTTCTGGATTGTGAATAAATTGAAAATACTACTTAAGGTCTCGAAATAATTCAGAGTATAATATGAAGATAACCTTCGAATCTTTTTATCGAGTTGACTTTAAAGCATAGGTTATTTGTAACAAGCTCAGTGCTGCAGCAGGAGTCTTTTGCAAAGCTCTCCAAGGATTAAAACCAGCCTCAAACTAGAGATGGGTGCAAAGAATAGAGAAAAAGATAGGGGAAGATATTTTTTTTGGAAGCAATTATAGTATGCAGAAGAGTGGACTATTACTCTCTCTCTCTCTCTCTCTCTCTCTCTGTCTCTCTCTCTGTCTCACACACACACACAGGCGTACACACACATGCATACAGCAGCCCTCATAAGCTCCTGGCTGGCTTTGCCGTTGTGGGACTCAGAGGCTGGCACAGCTGGCAGTGGCCGAGCACACTGGGCACCGTCTCCCTCCTCCTGTGCCAACCCCAGCCCACGCTCATCACATTCAAATTCACCCAGCTTTATTGGCAAGATGAACGCGGTCACTGTTGCTTGCCCGTCATGCTGGGAGACCAAATACAGTGGTGATCTTTCACAAGGAAGGTTTGCTTCTCTTTGTGTTCCAGTTCAAGATCACTGTAGTGTCATGAGTGAAAGGTGTACAAAGATGAATGTGAGCTCAGTTTTCTGTTCATCTGTTTTTTTTTTTTTTCTCTCATTTCACAGCTTGATAAAAAGGCATAGAAACATCCATACATCATTTTTTACCTCTTAAATCACAAGCCTGTGGGTGTGCTGTGGTTACACAACGCTGCACATCTTGTCATTCAGAGCATATGAAAGAAAATAGCCAGGGGGCAGATCTTACTCTGATAGACCCCCCTCCTTCTCAAACACGCTTTGTCTTTGTCAGAACAGTCAGATGCCGGCTCATTATCTAAAGAATATTTCCTCACACAGATTCACTGTAACACCATCAGTCTGTGCCGGCTTATTGTGTGTGAGTGTTATTGTTTTCTTTTCCTAGTGTAACCACCACCCCATCTACCCACCTGTCTCATCTATTTCTCCTTCACTTAGTCATTTACTACATTTCCTAGAATGCCTTTTGACAGCCTTCACAGAGCAGACAGGAGCTTGTTGCGTTTGTGGTGCGGGTTGCACACGTGGGTGGAGAGAGAGCAGGAGCAACAGCAACACAGATTGCAAAGTAAGAGTGGGAGAATGAGTTTTTGCAGGCAAGAAAAATTGAGTTTTATAAAAGGAGAAACTCTTGCATTATGGGTCCAAAGCCCAGCGCAGGTTTGGAAATTGCTCTCACTGCTTCTTGTGCTGTGGTTGATTTCTCCCTGATTGACATTTTTATAGCTGCACAAAAATGCTGGGTCAAGCAGAAATTGATTTCTTTGACATGAAATGTGATATTCAGTTTTTAAGTGAAGATTTTCATGATCTGTCAGAGGTTTCTCAACATTATGTCAAATTATGTACAACAGCGTCTGGGGCAGTATTTTTACACTTCAAAATGTGATCTCGCAGAAGCTAAAGGCTCTGAACAGTCAGTGCAAATACTGCACTCATGTTTTGCCTTGGTAATACCCTTGCATCTATTTATACACACAAACACAGTGGTAGTAGTGCTCCTTGTTACTGCTGTACACACATTAGGGCATTTACTATCCTCAATAGTGCTGCGGTTGAATGTTGTTAAGCATACATGGACATTTTTTGACCATATATAGCATCTTTTATTTCAGTGTTTAAAATCTCCATTTAGTTTTACTTATATTTTCCATTTTCCTTTGTATATATTTGTGACAGGGACACAGACTCTGGGTTATCCTGCTTGTTTGCTTTTGGTTACAAAGACTGAATCTAAAACTGCTGTCAAATTTTGGTGGCACTTCATTTGACGCTTATCTCGAAAACGCACCATAAATATATGTATGTGTTATAATCACGTTATAGCACTGTATAAGTATAGTTATAAACACTCATAAATTGTCAAAATGCTTTATACCAATAATCATAACACATTATAAAGCATTTTATCTCGACTTACAAGGTCAGGTATTATAATGTGTTTCGTCGAACTTTCTTAGCTCCATTTTAAACTTTAAGTAAATTAAATAGAGTTTTGCAAAATATCATAGTACCTATTGTGTTATATTTTATCAGATATAATATACACTCACCAGCCACTTCATTAGCTGCACCCATAGACTTTATATAGAATGGACAGCGTCTGCCTTCTCGCTGGGTGAAGCCCCCGCGAGAACAGCACACCCTGGTGACGGGCTGCAGTATAGGTCATAAATCCCGCCTCCTCCAGCAATCCCTGTGGAGCTGTGGACAAACTTTTGAAATTTATTACACAGAATATAATTTTTTTCCCTCCCCTGCTTGTGATGTTGACATGTAGTTATTGTAAGACTGGTTTGTGCTCAAGTCCTCTTTTTTCTGTACAGCTCAGTTTTTAAAAGTTATTAGGGGGTTGATTGACACTTGATACAGCCTATTGGCGTACAAAGATTGTGTAGCACACCTGGGGGATACGCTGTTTGAGCCAAGCGTCATCAATGCGACTCTCTGCGATTCTCCTGCCGAATGTGTACAACACTACTGCGCAAGTGGTGGAGAAGGTACAACGCTACTGCGCAATGTTGGTTTCAGAAAATAAAGGAAAAAACACGGAACTACTGAGAGCTTTTCGGTGTCAAATCCATATACTGGCGGAAGGCGGAACCAAGTTGTCCTTAGTATATAAAGTCCATGGGTACATCTTGCTAGTACTGGGTTGGACCCCCTTTTCCCTCAGAACTGCCTTAATTCTTTGTAGCAGACTTTCAATAAGGTGTTCGAAAAATCCCTCAGAGATTTTGGTCCTTATTAATATTAGAGCATCACACAGGTGTCGCAGGTATGTTGGCTGTACATCCATGATGCAGGATCTCCCGTTCCACCACATCCCAAAGGGGCTCTTTTGGATTGAGATCTAGTGATTGTGGAGCCCACTGGAGTACAGTGAGCCCACTGTCAAGTTCAAGGAAGATGATTTAAGCTCTGTACGTGGTGCATTATCCTCCTGGAAGTAGCCGTCAGAAGGTACACTGTGGTCATAAGGGGATGGACACGGTCAGCAACAGTGTCCAGATAGACTGTGGTGTTAAGACGATGCTCAGTTTTTACTAAGGCACCCAAAGTGTGCCAAGAAAAAAAGAGACCAGCCTGCCTGGTACCAACAACCATGCCACATTCAAAGTCACAAGATACTGTCTCTCATGTTGCTTTGCTGGAATAGGAGTGATTTTGCCACTGTGTTGGATGATAGATTTTATGCAGTTGTCAGCTTTTTGACAAAAGTAACAAATCCTTTAAGATTTCTGATGTGTAAGTCACAGCACTGATTGATTGATTCATAAAAAAAGTCCTGAGCTCTTTCATTAAAGTGTGTATGTGTGTGTCTGTGTACTACTGTGAGTGTTTGTTACCCTTTTATGTGCTTCAGGTTCAATTATTATGCTGAAACAAGGCACTGGAATTTTATAAATGTTTGCTGTTTGTGATTATCATTCTGTCAGTGATCTGATGAGATGACAAGTCTGAGCATGCTGCTGGTTAGTGCGTGTGTGCGTGCACGTGTGTGTGTGTGTGTGTGTGTGTGTGTGTGTGTGTGTGTGTGTGTGTGTGTGTGTGTGTGCGCACGCGCGTGCGTGTGTGTGCATGTGTGTTCCTTAAGCTCTGACAGGCTAATATGCGTCTCAGTTCCTAGAACAGACTGTTCCTTCTCTGCAATTCATTCCTCCATCTCCTTCCCTTGTCTTCTTCTCCCATCTTCCCTCAACTGTTCATCCTCCCATCTTCTGGTCTGTTTGAAGAGAAATTAATGGAGATTTTCCTTCCCTCAGAAATGAAAAACTGTCTCTCCTTTTTCTCTCCTCCCTTCTTTTTATCTCTGTTTCACTCAGAATCTCTCTTTATCTCTTTTTTGTTCACATGCCAGTTGGCAGCTTATCTGCCCTGAGGTGTTTATTGACCAGTCCTTTTTCCTTCTTTGTATCTACCCATCCATTCATCCCTCCATTCGTTCTTCCCTCCATCCGGCTGCTCTCTGCCAGTGCTCCCTGGTTGCAGTGCTTTGGCAGGCCTGTGGAAAGAGACTGCACCGTGTTGTTTCTGACACCTGGCCCAGCTCAGAGTACTCCTGCCCGGCTCGCTCTCCCTCTATTGCCAATCCATTGGCTGATTGGCATCTTTCTCTTTTAACACCACATGCTGCCTCTCAGCCAGAACAGGCAGTTTGTGGGATGATGTTATGTTGCAGAAGGTTATGAATGATGTCATCTCGATGAAGCAGGTGCAAAATATACTATATTTCAGGTCTATACAATTTAACTTTTATAACTTAAGATTTTTTTTTTAATGAATGAAATGGGAATGTAACAGATGCAAAATGCCAGGCCCACCGCTGAGTTAACAACCAGACTTGCAGCATCATGTGCTAAAAGGTTTTAAAGGTGGTAAATGAACCTGTAGGTTCAAATCTTTTACAATAACCTAACAATTCTTATCCTGCAATTCTTATACCCGGACATGTCCTCTTTTTAAGGGGGCTGTCCAGCCTGTCTGGCCTTGTTTTTAAAATCCTTCATAGGTCTGAGGTTTTGTATGGAAGTTTTGAGTTTGTGTAGTGTGGACTAACTGAGTTAGAAGCGCATAAAATACCCTTGACCCAACCTGAAAAACCCTCAAAATTTACTACCCGCAACTCTGTCCCGCGTAGTAGTGTCCTCTTTTTGGGGATTCAGAATATGGTCACCCTAATCAATATCATATTAGCCAATACTGATGGCTACAATTTTGGTGTTGTATCAGAAGTAAAAAAGTTAATTCCGTGAAAGTTGATTGTGTTGATCGATAAAGTTTATGCAGTAACCTATTGCTACACTTTCACTCTCTCCTCCTATTGTGGCTCTGTTTTTCCATGCAAGTGTTATAGGAGTTAGGGGATTTGATTTCAAACCAGAAAACAGGCTTCAAAGATCCAAATTATGAACATTGTTGACCGTGTTTTTGAAAATGTTCAGATTCTTTGCATTTATCTGATTGTTTTTAGGTCATGGAGAAACATCACTGTTAATGTCTTTCTGCTTCAGGACCATTACAAAAACTCCCTACAGCAGCTTTAAATAGAAGAGTATATATTTTAAATGATAATGATTATCAGATCAAGAGTGATACTTTATTTGGCCAAAAGTATTGATGGATTCATCAATACCAGAATTGCAATTGACCACATGGGAATAAGCATTTTACCGAGCTGCAGCAAACACCTGATTCTTATTGGTCAAAACATGATAAGCACGGCGTTTTATTCCAATTAGCTAAAGTAACACTAGGAGCAACAGGATTAAATACATGAAATCAGATCAATCCTTGAAAAGAGGACTTTTCCCAGTCTGTGTCCTGCTCTCACACATATTTTGCTCTGAGTTTCTTTCATGAATTAAAGTCATGGACCAAATTGTACCGGTTGTTTTTTTTTGTGCTTTATTTCACAAATTTGCTGCTTGTGTAACTGATCTCATGAGTTCTATCAGCCTTGAGCGATGTTGCAAATTAAATTGATGCCAAAATGAGACTTTTCTATTGATAGGTAAAAAGTTTCATGTTTTTCATTTCCAAGCCTGAGCTAGAACTCATCAAAGAAAACCAAACTTATGTATTTAGGAAAGGAGGCTCTCTGGGTAACTTGTTAGTATCAACTTATTCAGCCGTTATTAGACAGCTAGTGCCTTGTTCTGTTTCAGTCAGTAATTGAATGTCGGGTGATAAGAAAGAAAGCAAAAAAAAAGCTGGATTGAGTCGAGTCAAGTAAACAAATAAACAGAAGGCTGAGAATAAAATTGGATTTAAAGGAACAGACACAAAACACATATACGCAACACAAAAAGACATACATTGACACATGTATGATGTGACAAGACTGTCTGTCCATGAAACAGAGCTGTGTGTTTGGTGATAGCTACTTTATGAAGCCATGATGAGACATGCTGTAACTGACAGGACGGCTGTGTGTGTGTGTGTGTTTAGATTGTGTTGATGGTACATACATGGTACAGCCCTGTCAGTCATTGCACCACCCTTCATCACCCCTTCACTGTCTCTTTCTCTCTCTCCCTCTGTAGTATCTTCAAGTGCCAGAAACATGTGTTAGTGAGAGCAGAGGGATATGTACAGAGCAGGAGAAACAAAATGGGCAGAGTGGAGGAAAATGATAAGTCTATAAATGTAGTGTGGTCGTGGAAATGTGTGGCGGCCAAGTAACAAAGACATAACAGCAGAGAGCGACTGATGTAAGAGGAGGAAAAAAGGGCAGTGAGGGAAAAGAGGGAGGATAAATTAAGATGGGGAGAAAGGAAATAATGTAGGAAAATAGAAAGATGGGAGAAAATGAGACAAAGCAAGCCAGGGATGAGAGAAGAAGAGGAGAGGGAAGAGAGGAAGAGGATGAATAGGGTAATAATGGCTCAGTGTGAGAGCTGTTGTAGAAAAAGAGAGAACGGCTGAGTGAAGAAGAGAACAAAATGAGGCTGAGGGCACTCAGACAGATAGAATTAGACACACCGCGGAGGTTCAGTGTGTGTCTGCGGGTGTGTGTTTTTTTACACATGTGACACAGAGAGTGTGTGCTTGGGCTTTTATGTGTTTGTGTGCTACGTTTATATTGTCTGTGCAAGGGGCTTTATTCTGAGGATGCTTTGCTAGGTTTGCCACTAGGTTTGAGTCCATGTTTGTGAGGACAAAAAAAATTGTTTTTTTTTTTCCAGTTTTTTTTTTTTTTAATGAATTTTAGGATGGACAAATGCAATAGTGTTGAGAAGCTGACTGTGACTTCCAGAGAGCTTTGGAGAATTATTTTAGAAGTGTAATACTCAAGTTTGTCTCTTCTCGTGTGTGTGTGTGTTTGTGTGTGTGTGAGAGAGAGTCTGGAGTAGGTAAGAGTGTATGAGGCTGAGTGTCTGTAAATGAGTGTGTGATGGTGCTAAAAGACCAGATGCCGAGTCTCACTCTAATGCTGCCTCCATCTTTCTATATTTTCCTTCTCTCTGTTTCATACAGTTGTCGCTGACAGACCTCCTTGCTCATTAGAAAGGTGTTTTAATGCGACAGAGGCTTAATGTGCTGTAGAGGTGCATCATAAGCTCTGTTCATTGTGCACTTATAATCTTACAGCACAGGAAATAATCTTATATATCCCTCTCTCTCCTTCTGTCTCTGGCTTCTCCTCTGTTTTTTCCATCCTAGGCGGAGATTGTCAAGCGTCTCAGTGCCATCTGTGCTCAGATCATCCCTTTCCTCTCTCAAGAGGTGAGTGTCACTGCTGCCAGACGCAAGTACACAAATATGCACACATACATAAACAGGGTACGATTATTCACACCCCAGGCTTAAAGGGTATTTTCTTTACATTCTGAATAAATATAGACCAGAGTAGATATGATTTCAAGGTAGTCAGGATGAAGAGTACATTCAGATTCTTGTGGTCTCCGTATATATTTAAGATTTATTTCCTGTAATTTTTTTATTCTGTTGTAATTTCATCCCAATTATTGCCATACCTCAGCGATCAACCTCTTTTCTCTGAATGGCAAATCAATAAACAAATAAATGAATATGCCCTTTTTCATGTAAATACACCCTAATTTAACACATAATCTGGGTAATCATTGATTGAAAAAAAAAAGGTAGGTAGTAGTGTTTTATAGAGGGAAAAGGTCACTAAACAGTCATAACATTATGACTAGGGCTGTTTTGGACCTGACCTAACAAGACATGGACTCAGCTAGACCTCTCATGGTGTGCTGCAGTATCAGATACAAGCAGAGAAGTCCTCTAAGTGTTGTGGTGGAGGCCTCAGTTAATCTGACTTGGCTGTCCCACAGATACTTGATTGATTTGACATTTGTAGTCGATGAGGAATCATCTATTGCTCCATTGCTCCATGGTCCATAACTAATGGGCAGGGGTCAACAGGGACACCAAAAATGGCCTGCAGCTTCACAGACCCGTGTACAACAAACTGTGATGTACTTGGTATTCAGACACCTTTCTACAGTCTACGTACCCTGGCACCATGTGATCCATTCTTCTTTCTCTTTGAACATCGATAAGCCTTGGTCATTTTTGACCTTGTCACCTGTTTTCCCTCCTTCGATGATTTGACCACTGCAGATCAAGAACAACCAACATGTGCTGCTGTTTTGGAGATCCTCTGACCCGGTGATTTGGCTGTTGCGAAAGTCGCTCACAACCTTACACATCACCTAAACAAGCAGCTTTGAGGATAAAATGTTCACTTGCTGCCCAACATATCCCACTCACTGATAGTTGTCATTATAAAGAGATGAGCGGCGTTATACAACTCGACTGACAGTGATCAGAACATTATGGCTTATCGGTCCAGTCAAATCCTTCTGAATAAGCTACATAGAGCTAGAACCTGGTAGATGTTTGCTGTTTTGTTGGCACCTAATCCAGTATTTGTTCATGACAAACTTTAAGGCATAAATGAATCAGAAATGTGACGCACATGTTCTCCTGTGATTTTGTACCAAGTTGTAATTCAAGGTGAAGATGTTCTGTTATTGAACACATTTCTGTTGGTGTCAGTGAAAAGATGAAAAAAACTTTTTAAGAAATAAAACCAAACTTTGAAATATTTTCTTGAAATTCCTCCCTGATTTCAAGAGGACTGAAGGCTTTTTTTCTACAACATTGGAATGAAACTATCTTCGAATAGCTGCCAGCCCCATAAAAATAAATTAATTTCATCATCAAACAACACTATCCGTCAAAATAGCATTTTTTACTTACACATACCTCACTCTGTTATATGTTTCTTTGCTTAATATAACATGAGTAAGAAAGAAAAGCAGGAATATGAAGTAAATATTGATCTAACGATAAGGTAAGTCTGTCTGCGTGTATGTACGTGTGTGTGAGTTTACTGTTCTCGAGTGTGTTCTGATTATGTTTTGTGATTGTACCAGCACACACACACATGCAGACTGCTTTCTTTTTGTCTGGGGGTGTGAGCGTGCACTGATGAGTTTGTTCCCTGGAGACAGGATGGTCACAGCTTTGTCAGTTTGATCAATATTGACACTTTCTGTGCGTGTGTCTTTGTGTATTTTACATGTGTGTTTGAGCAATCGCGGTTGCACATATGCATATTTGCATTTGTGTGACTGAAAACATTGAGATTTTGTACAAATAAAAATGAGTTTTCAGCTCGAGTGTCTTCGAGCTTGTGTAGGCGTGCTGAGCTGTATGTACAGTTCCCGTGTTGGCAGTTTTTGTGACTGTGTGTCTGTTTTGTGCCAAATTGCTGCACAATAAAGCCAGTCATATTCATGAATCCTGCACATGCAGAGTTTTAACTGATGCCTTTTTACATGTTTATTTTGGTTTTAGTTCTAGTTGTGCTACTAATATTAACGCGTAAATAAGTTAAAACGTAAAAATGATGTAGCTGCAACACTTTATAATTACTATCCATTATAACTAGTTAAAAGATCATTAATAAACTGTTGGTTAATGAGTTATAAATGACTTGTTAACTGTATGTTAATGATTTTTAATGTACCTTATACTATATACGTTGCAGCTATTCCTCATTTATTAACTGTTAGTAAATGAGAAATAGTTACAACTCTAGAATAAGGTCCCAATAACATATATGAACTATTAACCAATACTTAACAAGTCATTAGTAAGTAATTTACTTATAGCTTTTTCATTATCTATTACTAATTTATAAGGTATAGTTATAAATCATTAACATACAGTTAACAAGTCATTAATAACTCATTAATTAAAAGTTTATTAATGCTCTATTAACTAGTTATAACAGATAGTTATTATTAAGTGTCACAGGTGTAACATATGTAAGTCTTTGTATTTGTCAGATAGACTCTATAGTTTATTGTGTATTCATGTTATATATTTATGTGTGTGTGTGTTTGCGTAGCATCAGCAGCAGGTGGTCCAAGCAGTGGAGAGAGCCAAGCAGGTCACCATGGCTGAACTCAATGCCATTATCGGGGTGAGTCAACTCTTTTCATTACAAAAACACACACACACACACACACTGAACAATTCTAACCAGTTGGATTTTCCCTAGCTGATCGAATAATTGTCATTGGTATTTGAAATATTGAATGAAATGTAGGGTATAAATCTGTACATTTGATTTGAACAAAAAGACATTTGTTTGGATTTTTATCAGTCAATCGTGTCTTAATTTTCTCACTGTCGCTAAATATCTTAACAATGTTTTCATAGCTTTGCTTTTCTTACTGAGACGCTGATTCCTGTTTTACAAAGCTTGATGAATAAGTTACGGCAGCGTTTCTGTTTGATATTTCTATCAAATGCTGTCACCTATTTTAAGGATGCAATGAATGCGATAAATTGCTTCATGGAACACCTCAACTTTGCAGTACTCTGCTGCTTGTAATTCAGATGAGTAGGTTGTATGTAGATGAATGAGTCATGCTATTAAACAGCCAGTTTGATGTGGTAGCTTTTGTGCCATGTCTCACTTCTTTTTTTCAAAATTTGACACAATGATAACATTTTAGGGGCTTTTCAGCTTTCATCAAGATATTTTTTCTCTAATGAAAAGGATAAGCAACAACCTTATCCCAACGTCATACGTTTTCTTCAGTGATATGTTACACTACCACATAGCCCCTTATATCCGCCACAGTCCAGACACAGGGATAGATGGGTAGCAAGCCTGTACATCAGCAGGGTTATAAAGTGAGTGGGCACCTCCCTTCGATGTTGTTTCATGAAGTTAGGTCTGATGAAGAGCAGAGGAAAAGAGATGTAAGAAAGAGTGACAAGGTAAGCAGAGCCAGGGTGAGAACTTCGCCATTTATTCTGGTCACACTGTTTTTGCAATAGTCCACTTACTCTACAACAAAAACAGCAGGTGCATTGCGTTAATGAAGGTTCAGTCTCAAGGTTTCTGTGATTTTAGCTGCTAGGAGAACATATGTTTTCTCTTTAGATTAAATTTGAGCTAAAATACCAACTGACGCAATTACATTAGAAAATACAAACCCTGAGTCAAGACTTGCAGAAGGTTTTCCACACTGAGAATATGCCAGCACGTATATTAAATAAGGTATGATCATCTGACTTAAAGGGGGATTGTCCTGTCTGCACATGTATGTGTTTATACCTACACAAACACACACCTATACTCAGTGATGGTCCTGAGTGCTGGAGCAGACGGGGCTTTCCAGAGCTTGTCAGAGCACTGATCACATTACTGTCTACTTAGAGCCCTTTGTTCTTCACAGCACTACAAACACTGCTGTCTCCAAGGTGTGTGTGTGTGTCTGCGCGCATGTGTGTGTGAGTGTATGTGTGTCCGACACACCACTCCGACAAAACAACCTCAAAAAAAAAAAAAACACACATCATAATGCTCCCTTCAGGATAATAGCCTTTCTTTATCTGTGGCTTTTCCTCTCTTTGCTCTCCTCTCTTTCCATCCCCCATCATCCTCTTCTCTCTGTTTCCTCTTTGTCTTTCTCCTCTTTTTCCTTCTGGATTTCCTCGTCTCTTTTTTGTATTCTTTATTCTTTATGGCCCTGTCCTCATTTATCCTCTTCCTTTTGTTTTTTTTGTTTTTTTTACTCCGTATTATCTCTTCCTCCCTCCACTGCACACTTTCCCTCCCCTCTTCCTGTGCTCATTTACTGTCTCTTCCTATCTTTCTTCTCCTGCTCGTTAATTCTCCTTCACTTTTCACTGCTTTCGTCTTGTTCCTCCCCATCATTTACTCTGTGACTCAAACATTTTCTTTCCCCTCTTTCACCCGCTCTCTGTGTTTTTCCTTGGCCTCTTTCCGTCGTATTTCCCCTGCTTTTCCTTCATCATAAATCCCACTCTTCGGCTTACTCTTTTCTTTTTTTCCCTCCTCTGTTTCCATCTCCATTTCCCTGTGTGTCATGAGCATTTAATTTCCTTCTCCCCTTCTCCTCTTTTCCTTCTTTTCGTCCTTGGTGTCCATCTTTCTCACCTTTTAATCCACTAATCTCTTTAACATCCTATCTTCCCTCATCTTATTTTCCTCTCTTGCTGTCGAGCTGTCCATGTGGATTTGATTTCATTTCACTTCCCTCTTTTCTCCTTGCTATCACACATCCACCTTTCCAAACACAACCTCTACTTCCCCTTGTACTTTTGTCCTCTTCTTTGGTATTTATTACTGTTTCTTATCCCTACTTTCTCTCCTCTTAACAATGTTTTCTAACAACCAACCTCTCTCCACAACACCGACCCATCCCTCCTTCCCTCCTTCCCCGCTCCTTCTCTTCCCTGTGGCCACAGCAGCAGCAGCTCCAGCACCTGTCTCACCACGCCCCTGGCATCCCCCTAACGCCTCACCCATCAGGCTTGTCCCTGGGTGCAGGGGGCTCAGGGCTTCTTGCGCTTACCGGGGCTCTGGGTGTCTCGGCTCATCTTGCCTCCAAAGATGAGAGGAATCATCTTGACCCTGAACACCTCAGAGGTAAAGAGCTTCAAGACTTCCTCTATTCTGTCTCTAAATGCAGGTTTAAATTATGTGTAAGGGGGTATTTTACAACCGAGGACCATTCACAAATAAAGTCAGACCCATGAAAACATCTTATGAGTTAACAGAATCTAAAACTGTGCCACCAAAGAGGAGCTTGACTTTCTGTCTTAGATGTACAGTCAGTGGCAGCCTGCCTCTGTTTACCAATAGACAGTATCAACTTTAAGAAACGTACCGGGAGAGGTCTGCTTTTGCTGCATTTTTGACCAGTTTTCATCTCTACCTGGCTTTTGTTTCTGGCTTGTAGTACCTTAAAGGTAGACATATCTGAGTTTGTCCATTTAAAGGGATATTCCGGCGTAAAACTAAGTTAGGGTCAAACACACCATAACACAGAGTCTGAATGTTGCCGACTGCTTGCTTCTCCAGTTATACCAACTTTAGTAATGACCGCACGATAGCAATACACAGCGGTCTACGTTTCCATATTCAAACCTTAACCAAAAAGCCACTCTATAGTCACAGATAAATGCTCAGAACAGCACCTAACTTCATCAACAGTACATATAGGGTCCCAGACACAGCACTAGCTATCAAACATCTTTTTAACTTTGCCTAATTTCTTTAGCAAAGAGACCAAACACAACTCACCTACTCTCTTCCAGCAGCCACTTGTTTGTGGGGGAGCCCTTACGAGTTGATCACCAAGTGCTGTTGATAAAGTTAGGTGCTGTTCTGAGCATTATTTGTGGCTATAGAGTGGCTTTTTGGTTGAGGTGTGGCTCCTTAGACTGCTGCGTATTGCTGTGGAGCGGTAGTTTAAGTTGATATAACTAGAGAAACAAGCGGTTGGCAACATTCATCTCTGAAGGGGGTGTCAAACTCGGTGTTATTGTGTGTTTCACCCTAACTTAATTTTACACCGGAATATCCCTTTAATGTGGCTTACATTAGGTGTAATGAGATTCTTTGACAAAATACATCCAAGATACGAGTGTTTTGCAGTGATTTACCTCTATTTGAGGTCAGTTTTTGCAGAAACATTCACTGTTCAAAGTCACTCTCACCATTGCACATTTTTCATGTGAAGCAAGTTCAGGACAAGTGAGATATAAGTAATGAGAAAATACTCAAAATAAAACAATAACACATGCATGCAAGAGTGATGTTTTCTCTTCAGAAACAATCTTATATTTTGTATGTGGACGTGTTCATTCAGAGTTTATTTCAATTCTTTTCCCTATTCGATAAGGCACAAGTCTGGAGCTCTGACGACAGCGGCAGAATAAGAAACAGATAATTTTATTATTTCAGTGCAGATAAAATGCAAAGCAACACCATACATCATCTGTGACTGGCAGCTTTTGAGTCAGTTATACAGCAAGTCACCTTTTGGACTGAATTTGAACCTCATTGTTTAGACTGCTGTCATAATATGGACAGACGTATTCAAGCCACTTGTGTAAATGCAGGAAAGACGTTTTCTCCCCGCGAACTCTCAGTCACCCTGATACAATATCTTATCTTCTCTCTCTGTATCAGGCACCAAGCCAAGAGAGACTTTCTCATGAATAAAGCCAGCTAGAAAGAGGAGAAAATGAAGAAACGAGTGAAAGAAGAAAGGGAGAGAGATAGAGGGATCAGTGTGCTCATATTGGAGTGTTAAGCATCTGTGTGAGAGTTTATTCATGTCTGTAGCCGTGTGTCTGAGTGTGTTTGTGTGTGTGTGTGTTCTTACATATGAGAGGAAGAATGAGAGTAAAGATAGTAAATGTTGAAAGAGGCAGCAGGAGAAGACAGCGAGCTTTGTCTGGTGAAGAACAGAGAGAAGGAAAGATAGAGGGGAGACAGGGATCAGGCACAATAGTGGGTCTGTATCTCTATTAGAGAGGAGCAGTCATAGTTCGGTCTAACCTTGGCTGACTGGGGGGAATGTTGTTATTATTATTATCAACACTGACGTCAAACTTTTTCTCTTTTCCCTTCTTCTCCTCTTTGACTCTGTTTCTCTGCCCTGTCCCAGAGGGAGCGCCCAGCAGGGTGAGTAGCTGTAGTGTGCTCACTTTTTATGTGTATGTGGGCGTGTGACAGTGATAAACCGATGGAAATGGAGACGCAATGTAAAGTGGCCGCTAAAAAAAAAAAAAGGGCTGTGTGCTGCTGGAGCTCGGCCAGGAGTAGCACCGCTCCATGCCAGCACAATAGCCGTCCGGCGCTATCAACCTTGAGCTTCTCAAGGTTTTCTGCATCACACCAACATCCGAGCTCACAGTGTTTTTCGCTGTTATCTGCAGGAAAGGACAAATTGAGTGGATGGATGAACAAGCAACTGTTTTGTTTATCGGCTGCACAAATGTTCTGGTAATCTACAAGACTTACAGAACAAGAGCAAGGATTAAAACATAGATGGATGGCTTACTCCCCTCAAACAACTTGGTTAGTGTCTGTAAAAACTTGTTTAAAATACCACCTTAAAACAACCTAGCAGTATAAAATCGCCACTGCAGGAGTATTAATAATAATAATGATAATAATAATAATAACAAGTTTATTTATATAGCACTTTTAAAAACAAGAGTTTACAAAGTTTTTTAACATGTTGGAAAACAAAGAAGATAAAAACAACAACAACAAGTGAACAGTTGGGGGAAATGTCACATTTCTGGCATGTCACATGAGCTGAGACGTCATAAAACGAAGACATTAACCCGTGATACCAAGCCAACACAGTAACCCAATCACAAAAAACTGAGACGAGAAGAGAGAAGAATTAAAGGTTTTAAAGATGACAAAATCATTTAAAAGCAAGTCTATAAAAATTAGTTTTGAGACGTGTTTTTAAAGGCAGTGACTGTTTCTGCACTCCTGATGGAAAAGGCCCTGTCACCTTTATGTACAAGTCTCGACTTTGGAATGACCAGGAGGCCCCCACCCGAGGATCTCAGGGTGTGGACTGGCTCATAGGGGGTTAAAAGTTCTGTCATATAGATTGGAGCCAGACCCTGTACTGCCTTAAAAGTAATGAGTAAAACCTTAAAATCAATCCTAAAACTGACTGGAAGCCAATGTAAAGATGCTAAAATAGGGGTAATGTGATGTTGTCTGTTAAAACCAGTCAGTATTCTTGGTTCCTGATGAAAACAGTCTATTGAAATCAGCTCAAACTATAGCCGGTAAACTATCAATCAACTGTAAAACATTTAAATTTAGACATTACATGAAAATAAGTAAAGATGTGGGAACAATGCTTTATAGAAGAAGAATTAAATATATAATAATGATAAAGTGTGTGTCATAATGAAGGGTTACCGTCAACCCAAACAATTCATTATTATACATGTTCCTCTTTGTTGACCTGCCTGTCTGTTTTTCCCTGTTGTATGAAAGTGTGTTCACTCTGCCATCAGTTATACAGACAGACCTAACAGTCCTTTAATTAGGTGGGAAGGTGAAATGTGACAGGATGGACAATAGCCATCCTTTCTGAATTCAGTGAATGCAGCACGTACTAAAACATGATACGTATACAAGAGCTCATCTGGCCTCACAGGTTTTTCACATATTTCATGTCACCGTAGTTTGAAGTTCCTGTTAATTGCCTGGAGAATTAATGCAGCGAAAATAGGCTGATTGAAATTCAGTGAACATCATCTACGGTTTATTCTCTTCTCTCTTTGGCCGTTTTTATGAAAGCTGTGTGAACACTCCTTTACTGTACGGGCTGCATTGGACAGCTGGCCTTCACCAGTGTGATTGTTGATAACACAGGGAGGAAAAGAGAGCAAACGAGGGGGGAGGGCTAGGGGGAGATGAAGAGTGAAATTGGAAAAGGAAAAAAAAAGAGAGCGACTGAATAGGAAGGGAGGAAAATAGGGAGGGAACGGTTGTTAAAAAAAAAAAAAAAAGTACAAAAGTACCAGTATGTCTTTGTTCTGGTTTTATTGTGAAATTAAAATGATTTAAGAGCGCTACTGACTTGACTTTCCCTCCCTCGCATTCAATCTGCAATGAAACCCTTAGCATAATTGAATTGCTAAACACAATGCTGATTGTTAAACACCAGGAAAATATTTCTCTTGCAAGCTGGTGCTGAACTTAGTGGAGCCTTACAGCGTTTGAGAAAGGATAAGAGGAAAGGGAGGGTAGGATGCACCCCAATCAGGATTACTCAAAGAGTCCTGCAGGAGTCAAACATGGAGGAATTATAAACAGCGGGGTAAGGAGGGACAGTGAGAGGAAGTGAAAAGCAAAAGGGGAGAAAGAGGAGGAGTACAAGAGGAGAGGAAAGTTTTTGGAGCGACACTGTGCTTCATTGTGCGGTGTCTTCTCCCTCTACCCGGCGCTCCTTCCTGTCGGCCCCCGTGGGCTCCTTCCTGTGTGACTCATTGGTGTGTTAAAACTTCACTGTTCTTGTCCTCCCCACAGCGGGGACAGAGAATGATGAGTGGCCCTCATCGAACCTCTGGCCTCTGTCCTGATGCTAAAACAACACAATGCTTTGATCGGCTCTTCTGAGCAGAGGGCCGGCCCGTCTTGTAAATACGCCTGCACAGCTTTATTGCCAATTAATGAGAGTCATATTTTACACGGGGACGGGTGTGTCCGAGGGAGAGCACTAATTAGCTGTATCGGCTATTTTGTGTGCTTCTATGGTGACTTTTTTACCTGTGCTTACGTCTGCTGTTCTCATGTGTGTGTGTGTTATGTTATCATGAGTGTTTTTATGTCTTTCTCCTTCTGCGTGTGTCTCCTTTTTCTTTACCCTCAGCTCATGTCCAAACTGCAGATTGACTGTGTTTGCATGTTTTTTGTTTTATGCGTTCACTCAATGCTGACTTTGCATGCAGACTTTTTTTTAATGATCAGATTTTACAGTCTTGTGTCAGATGTGTCTTTATCACCTGTCTTTACTGTTGCAGCAACAAGCATCTTGGTGTCTATCCATATGGTTGCGCTCTTGTCTCTCCCCAGAGTAAGTCGGTATCGTCAACAGACAGTCAGCCCAACGAGGAGCGCCAGGGCCCATCGGGGGGCTACTCTTCCTCGCAAGGAGGAGCAGAGGCGAAGAGGAGGCGCTGTGACGACAAAGAGTCTCTTCCCCCACACTCCTATGTATGTGTTTGTGCGTCCTTGTCCTAAGATAAGAAACAGTTTGGGGTTAAATGAGGCCATGTTGAAATATGTGAGTGTGCAGCTGTTCATTTAGATTAAATTTAAGTATGCACCGCCATTAATGTATCACTCTTATCATCAGTCTTATCAAAAAGTTTACAGAAAGCCACATAAACACTGTAAAGATGTCTGGCCTGTCTGTGTAGTTACATCTCTGTGTGTGCGCGTGTGTGTGTTTGCTCATGAGGAGTGACATTATAGGCCACCCAGAGGTAAGGGGACCCCTGGCCAATCCGAGCCGTGTTTGTCTTGGATGGATCCAATGTGGGGAAGAGCGGGGAGCCATAGGCGTTGTAATGCCAGAAGAGACGGCCAAGGCAGATAGCCGTAATGAATAAGATAGCTGTGTGTTTGCAGTCTGGAGGATTGATTGACACTGGGAGGTCTGTCTGAGCAAGATGGCCTCCAGCTAAATCAGTTTGGCATCAACAACAACAGTCCAAATCTCGCTATTAGTTCAGAGCAGCACCACGCACAGATAGTTTCCACTTTCTGAATGTTTTCCCTCTCTTTCCGTCTGTCGGGGAGCATTACAGCCTCCATTTCTCTCTGCTTGCATTCTGCTTTTCTATCGCTCTCACTTTTCCATCATCTCTCCATTTCCCTTCTTCTTTTTTCACTGTTCTTTCAGTTTTTCATTTTATAACATTTCTCATGTTTGATTTGCAACGTTTTGAATAATAGTTTTACTTTTTTTATTTCCTTTTCCATCTCTTCTGTCATATTCTTTGTCCCTGTATTTCTCTTTTTTTAGTCTCTATCTTTCTCTTTTTTTAACTCTTCTCCTTTCTCTCACTTGCTCATTCACTTTCTTTTTCTATTTTTTCTCTCAATCTTCCTCTTTCTCTGTATCTCTTTCTCAGTCCCTCGCCGTGTCTCTCTCTTTTAGTCTTTCTCCCTCTCATCTGTCTCTTTTACTCTCTTTTTCATCTCTTCCCCCCTCTCTCTCTCTCTCTCTCTTTCTCTATCTTTATTCCTGTCCTAGGAATAGACTGTAGACATAGCCTTGTTTGGGCTCTGTATAATTAGGTACTGATGTCACTCCACACTGATGTCAATAGAAATATCAGGCCATGATCACATCAAAGCTCTGTTGCCATGGTGACTAAGTGCCATCGTTCTCACCCCGGAAAAAAAAGGGCGAGCAATGTGGAGATGTGGAGAGATGACTAGACAAAGAGCAAAAATGTGCCACGGATGGAGAAAGAGCAACAGTGTTTGTGTGAGGATGAGAGAGAGGGGGATGGAAAACAGGTTTTGTATGAGGGAGATGTTTGGACCTATACACCTATGGTGTGTGTATAGTGTCTTTGTGTTAAATGTTGCATGGTGGACAGCCAGTGAAAGGAAGCAAAGAGCAGCTAGTGAAATTGATATATTGATCTGTGTGTGGACTCTGGTGTTTTGTGTGTGTTTCCATCTGTATTATTAAAGTTCTCTGTGTACATATACAGTATGATGCATGTCTGTGTGGGCTATGTCACATTTCAGCTCTTCTTTTATCACCAGGACAGTGATGGAGACAAGAGTGAAGACAATCTTGTGGTGGACGTCTCCAATGAAGTAAGTTATCTTGCTGGTACTTTTAGGCTTAAAGCTCCAATGTGAAACTCTCTATCTGTGTTGACCTTGGCGCCCCCTGTGGACAAACCGATTACATCTCATCTCATTGATAATCTTGCCCTTTAGACATTTATATATATATTTTTTTTTAAGTTTAGAAGATATATCCTGCTGTTGTTGACCTTTGTTCAAGTTTGCAGTAGGATACATAAACAAACTGTTTCTGTATCGCTCTGGTTGTGTTAATAGCCTTGTCTGACACCTTCCTTTTTACACTGTTTTCATGTGGTTATATCTCTAGGAAGAATTGATCTTTGCTGCTGATGGTCTCTTTTGCTTTTATAGGTTATCTAGAGGCATCAGAGTTAATATAAGTTTTTTTCACACTCAGCAAAAACTCTTCACAGAAGCTTTTAAGTGACCATTAAACATACTTTTGCCAAATTGTATTATTACATTATGTTTTGCATATGAGAGGGAATTCTTTGAGGATGTATGTACCCCCTCCCACATTTACTGAATCTGATCTTTGGGTCTGCCTAAAATCTGTACTTTCTTTTCACTCTGTTTGTTCTCCGCAGATGGTTGATGAATAAAATTGTTGATTTATCTTCAGTACAACACAACTCCTGCTTAACCTCATTTGTAACAAGACAAAATAAGCAACTAATTTATAACTAACGTCCTTGCAGCTACATAGACGAGACCATGTGGATGTTAAACTTTCCACCAAGAGGCCTGAGAACTTAGTTTTTTGCTGGTTTTAAAACAAACATCTTTAGTTTTATATATGCTAACAGTTCAGGTCACCCTTTAAATAAACACATCAGCTTTGAGGTAAGGTGAGAGATTTCAACCAGCTGCTAACCACTTATCTTTCCTTCCCCTTAAAGGATGTTTGAGAACATATCTAGGCTGCAAAAGATTAGAGTAGAATTAAAAAAAAAAACAAGGATTGTACTCTACTTTTGCTTTTTAAGTCTTCATATTAGTTTTTTAATACCAAACATGAAAACTGGAGTCTTAATATATTGCAAGGGATCACAAACCACAGGACATACTGCTTGTATCAGAGTTATTGAGATTTCATTAAAATAATTAGTGGTTAGTTGATCATTTACTCCTTCAAAAATTCAACTGTCCTATTCATGTGTTTTCTATACTTTTTCTGTCTCCACTATGGAAAATATAATTCTCAGGACTCAAACTTCCCTGTATCTCCCTTCCCACACACACCTCCTCACAGCTACGTCCTTGTGCGAGAGCTGTACATCCCTGTTACAGAAAGTATCTTTGATTCCCTCACAAAGCAAAGTGTTACAGGCTTCCTTGATCTGACGGCAGCTCTCTGACTGGGTTGCAGCCCACACATGAATTAAGCATGAGTCCGATGATTCGAGGAACAGTTCTGCTGACAGGAAATAACTAAAGCTGTTTTTTTGCAGCCTAAAACCACCCTGTGTACTCTGCATTACCCCCATCAGTCCAGCTGTTGTAGTTCAGTTTACAAGTGTGCGTCACAGTGTGTATATGTGAGTAAGTGTGAGGTCATCTTTGAATTCATTTTACCTCATGTAAAGGTTCATTTTTGATCATTGCCAGTATTTTTGCATTTTGTGTGTGTTTTAAGACATTTACAGTCTCTATTTGGTTTCTTAGGTTGAGGCAAAATTGGAGTGTTTTTTTGTGAGATTAAAGTATCCTGAGGCACTGCCGCCACTAATACGTTTTGCTGAAAGATGTGTGAATTTAAAGATAATTGCCTGAAGTGGCAGAAGGAGCTATCTTTGCTGAGGACTTGAACATTTAAAAACAACATTATTTATATTTACAAAAATGTCTCTTGGATTTAACGGATGAAAGGGTTTCCACTGCAACAGATCAATCTTGCAAGACAAGTTAAACCAAGTATTTCAATTCATGGTCAAGTTAAAACAGATTTATGTCAGATTAATTTGACATGACGTGCACGTGGATCAGGCTATCCCCTATTTTGCTTCTGCTGTTGAAAAAATTTCACCCTTTTAGGTTTTGACCAACCAGAAGCAGGTATTTAACACAGATGAGTAATAGTTGATTTGATCAAATTTTAAACGTTTTCTGAAATGTAAAAAGAAAATGTGCAAAACCTAAAGACCTTTTCTCTAAATCACAAAAAGAATGAAAAAAGAAGCAAAATAATCACACTAAGTGAATTTTACTGAGTTTTTCACATTTTTCCTGTAAAGTAAATGAATTAAATTGCCTGTCAAATTAGTCTCATTTCCTGAAGGTTAACTTATCAGGTTCCCATTCAGCTCGACAATCTTTGACATTAGACATCGTGGTGTTTTTGGTCTTGTTTGCTTACTAGATATCTTGATTTAATTGAGGTGTCTATAGCAACCTTGTTTTGCTCTTGTGGTTGCGCATGTGAGTATTGCGTTCATCTGTGAAATGTGAAGCCAGTCAGCAGTATGTACCTAGTTCAGCTTTCTGCTGCAGTTTCCTTGTAAATAGGAAGAGCTCCTGTAAGCTCATTATCAGCCGCTGCTGTTTGTATTCTTAACTCGTGAAACTGATTCTGTCCACACATGCAGGGCACACACACACACGCACACACACACACACACACATATTCACAGGTACTTGGTCGACAGCTCTTCTCTTCTGCCTCTTACATGTATACGTTTGTTCTCTGTCTGACCTCTTAAAGCTCCTCTTCTTCCATCTTTCCAAGGTCTGTTTCTTTTCAATCCCTCTTTACTACATCTTTCATCCTGCTCCACCTCCCCCTCTACTCCCCCCTTCTCTCATTAGATAACCGCAGTCTGCTTCATTCAATATATGTAAAGCCGTTTATGCCCCCGGAATATTGTAGTTCTTTAAATACTTCACACAGTGTACAGAAATATGTTTTATCTGAGCCCGCTCTATTTTGATATCGCACACTAAAGCAGAACTGGTCTCTTGTGTTATTTGAAAACTGGTACAAAAGCAGAAAGAACACAAAAAGACAAATGTGGGTAATGGCAGAAAAAAGGAGGGGAATTCTCTGGTGGATGATGTGTGCGCGTATGTCTGTGTGTGTCTGTGTGTGTTAATCTGAATGTGTCTGTCTGTGTGTTTTAGAGACAATACAAATGCATGTTTGAACATCCAAGCTTGTGTGTATGTGGGTGCATTTCTTCATGCAGCGTAAACGTGTGTGTGTGTGTGTGTGTTTGTGTGTAAGCTCCTAAGCGTGTGTGCTGATCATTGTGACCCAGTGAGAAATGCTTACTCCAGCACTACTTCTGGGGGAGGCAGCGCCGGCTCGACAATGTCTCCGGTGATGAAAGTAGCTGTAACAGCAACACTATCTGCAGCTCCACACACGGCTGTAACAGTGACAGCGACAATCTCTGCTGTTTCATGTAACATGTCGTTATAATACAGACTGTGACACTGGGACACATATTTTATGTATCCAGTAAGAATCGGAAGCGTTTCACAGCTACACACAATAATTTCAGTCCACAGCAAAGTCTATCTACTTCATTTAATTTTTAACACTTTTGTTGCTTTAATCATTTTTTTATATCATGGCTTTATATTAAAGACAAGCTTAATAAAGTTTTCATGTGATGGGATATACCTGCTGCAGCTACCAACACAAAATATTCAGATGAAAAAGGTGATCCAAAAAAGAAAAGGAAAAAAAAAAAAAGGAAAGGTGCTGCTTTTATTTGGAGCGTGTTGCATCAGGAACCTGTGAGACATTTATAAACCAGGAATTCCTGTTGTGGTCATGTAGCTTTGAAGTTTTACTCATCAGTGAAAATACCACACAGAGCTTTAAAACTGTTCTGTAGGGGATTTTTTGCAACGTCACAGCAATATATTAAGTAGTGGTTGTTGGAATTGCTGCAAAAATTACTTCATAAACTCTATATCATCAAAAAAGGACAAAAAAAAGAAGAAAGATAGGATAAGATAAGATGTTCGTTTAAAAGTCCCACAGGGGGGAATTCCAAAATTACAGCAGCATACAGACATACAAAGAGAAATTAAAGGATAAAGAAACCTTAATTTTAAGTTAAGTAAAAAGAAAAAGATATGTATATGAGTCATATGTACATGTGTACAGAATAAAAACAATAATATGGTTTATTGCACACTGAGGTTTCTGTTGTGGGGTCTGGATAGATGCAGGAAGGAGTGACCTGCGATAGCGCTCCGCCACACACTTCGGTTGTAGCATTCTGTCCCTTAAGGAGCTCAAAACAACAAAAAACAAAAAATACAACACAAACATTAGTTGGGACCTTCTCTTGTTTGCAGTCATGACAGAGCTTGAGATCATTTTTCTTATCTGTCACTCAGGAGCCTAACTCACCTGCGGGCAGCCCTTCTCACTCTCCCCATGGGAACGGACTGGACCGGGCCCCCACCCTGAGAAAAGAGCTTCCAGGCTCCTCGAGCACAGGAGAGGCCCCCTCCACCCCAAACCCCCGCAGCCCCACCCCAGGGAAGGCCAAGGACCCTGCACAGGTGAGACAGAAGGATAGATTGTTTGTCAGGGAGTGTCTGTCTATTGACTCTCCCTTCAGGGATCAATAAAGTTCTTCTTCTTCTCTCTGCTGATGGTTTTTTTAGTTTGTGATTTTCAGTCATTTGCACACTCCTGTTACTCTGTCCATCCCTGCCACATGTCTGTCCACCATTTGGTTTCTTTCTTTTGGAAATGAAAATAAAAAACAGATAAATTTTTACAACTAATGATTATTGTCCAGTTTTCCATGTCTTATTAAACCACATGCATGGCCACGTCGATGCACGTTCACACTTCAAATAGTTGTTTTAGGGGAGTAAGTCATGTGTTTGTTTGTTTCTTTGTTGATTGACCCCTCTACAGATGGATAAGTCCCAGTCTCCCTTGTCAAAGTCTGGCACCCCTTCCCCGTCCCACCGTGATGCCCTCACCCCCGGAGCACCAGGAGCGCCTGGACCCAGCACCTCCTGCCTTCGTCTGGTCAGCAAAGCAGCATCCAGTGCAGACCCCCTTGGTGAGATTATCTTTAGACGAGCTTAATCACGAGAATTGACAAATACCCTCTGAATGGGTAAATTTTAGCAAACAAGACTTTGATTTAAAAAACTCTCAGAGCATGGACTGAAATCTAGAGAGAGAAAAATTCAGAAATATATTTCAAATAAAATCTGTTCTGGATGAAAAAAAAAAATCCCTCTTGTGTTTTACTGTCTTTAACTGAAACAACCTGAACTGGTATATGCAAGTCTTTCTCTGTCCTTCATGTCATACAACCTCTCACCCCTCTGTTTGGCCTTTTCCTTATTTGTTTTAGCCTTTTAGGGTGAAATATAAAAATTGTATTCATAGATTTTGCACGTAACAAAGACCCAGACTCCTCCTGACATTGTGTCAATGTTTGAACAGAAAAGTTTAAAAGTTTTCCATGTTTCTCAGCCCTTATGTGATTGCATCTGTGTTTGTATGGTATCCCCTCTTTACTTCCATCCTTCAACCCCTCCTTCCTCTTTCCCTCCCTCCCCAGCTCTCCGCAGTCCCATGTCTGTGCCCCCTGGTTCATACCCAGCTCACTTTGGCGTGGTGTCCCACGCAGGACTGAACGGGGAGCTGGCCAGCCCCGGAGGCTTCGGAGGTGCTCTCACTCTCTCCCCACAGATCAGCGCAGCAGCAAACGCCTACTCCCGAAGCCCCATGGTGAGTAAAGGCCAAATTATTCTCCTCTGTCAAAGTTTGATTTATTGTTCAGCATCAGATCCCTCGGACTGTCAGAGCGGCGAGAGAAAGTAGATGAATGTGTTGAGCATTATCATGTAGTGCTGTGCATTCATTATGTACTCAAAGCTGCCTTTTTACATCAGTTTAATAGAGAGTGAAAGAAAGAGAATTTTGTAGTTTTGTAGTTGAACTTGCTTACGATATCTGGATCACAGCATCACAGATCAATGTCAGCACAATCACATACTTCTCATAGTTTTTATTGACTTTCTAGTGAAGCTTTTTTATTTATTATTTATGCTCAGGATATTTAATCCCTTTTTATATTGTCAACCATAAAGTGGAGACCTTTACCTTTATATTTATCATATTTCCTCCTGATTTTCTGAGTGTTATTTGTTCTGTTTTTAGTTTCCGAGCTAGTCGCAGTCAAGCTGATGATCGTATCTCTGCTCTGTTGTCTCCACCAGGTGGCATATGACTCTCGGTCTCATCTGAGGGCCCCCGGGCTTTCCTCCTCTCTGCCTGGTTCCTCTGGTGGCAAACCGTGAGCATCTATTTTCTGTAACATTAACATACAGTGAAAACAGCAGTTATGCAGCATAAACAAGGATTCACAGAGGGACTGAATCTCATTTCATCTGATACATTTGTTAAAGTAACTTTACTGAGTTTGGGTTGAACAGCTTTTTTTCCCTCCAATATAATTTACATGTTTAATATTGTGCAGAATACTCTCCATTTACACAGGCTGTTTCAGTTTGTTCTCAGTGAAAGTGGGTAAAAAACGAAACATGTAAAAGCTGAGAAAGATAATTATGTCAGACTGAAAAAGGAAGTGCTCACAGATAATGGAAAATATTTTTAATTGATTTAGACCCAGACACGTTGGAGTATTCCTTCCTAGCTGCTCAGATTTTGTAACTTCACTCGGTTTCTTATGGTGCTGCACATCAACCTTGTCTCCCAGCCGGAGACCTGCATACTCTTGACACTGCTCAACATCCAGGACACTTGCAGACGGTCCATTCTGCTTTGCTGATTGAGAAATTGTGTTGTTTTTGTCATTTTCTGCAGAGTAGCAATTCATTCTTGCAGTGCTAATTTGAAATCATAAAACAGCCTCGGCTTCAGTCTGCTCCACTATTGATCGGCCATTAGCAATGCCACACTGCCTCTGCCCTGTAATACAATCTGCTATTATGCATTCCCACCCACAGCTACAGTGGGCCAAGTAATTTGCTGAATTTAGGCAAATATTACCAGAGTTACAAGGTCGTTATAGTTTGGTCTGACTCTTTAAAACTTGCACATTTTTTTGTTGTCTTTGTATAATCTTTTTTTTTTTGCCTTTTTCACCTCTGCTCTCGTTTGATTCTGTCTTGTCTCTCCTGTTTTTGGCCTTTTCCTCAAGTCCTTCAATCTTATTTTAGTACAAACAAGTCATAACTTTCCTTCTTTCCAGCCGTAGCGCTTCAGTTGGGTATTGATTTGTTTCTGTTCCCCGTCTCTCTGTTTTCTCTCCAGCGCCTACTCGTTCCATGTTAGCGCAGATGGACAAATGCAGCCGGTGCCCTTCCCCCCTGACGCCCTGCTGGGCCCGGGAATCCCTCGCCACGCCCGTCAGATCCACAGTCTGAACCACGGAGAGGTGGTGTGCGCCGTCACCATCAGCACCTCCACGCGTCACGTCTACACTGGAGGTAAAGGCTGTGTCAAGGTGTGGGACATCAGCCAACCGGGAACCAAGAGCCCCATGGCCCAGCTGGACTGTCTGGTGAGTCATGAGAAAAAGTGTGAAACAAGCGCAGATGAGTGATAAGGGGAAATACTCAGATGGTGTGAGGATGCAGTTTGTTTCCTTTTATGTATAATTACTGTTTTATTGTTTCCAATCAGAACAGGGATAACTACATCCGCTCCTGTAAAATCCTCCCTGATGGACGGACCTTGATCGTGGGTGGTGAGGCCAGCACGCTGTCCATCTGGGATTTGGCCACACCCACTCCTCGCATCAAGGCCGAGCTGACGTCATCTGCTCCCGCCTGCTACGCTCTGGCCATCTCTCCAGACAACAAGGTGTGCTTCTCCTGCTGCAGCGACGGCAACATCGTCGTCTGGGACCTCCACAACCAGACTCTGGTCAGGTAAGAGACGAGAGGGAGGGCGAAATAGTGGAGGGAAAGGAGAAAAGCACTTACAAAATTTGCCTCCCAAAATAGATCCCAGACAGAAGAGAGAGGGAGGTGAGGGGGGAGAAAGGCTGGAGGATGTGGAAACATTTCAGGAACCTCTTCCTGAGGAGAAAAGAGAAAAAAGATGTAAAACATAGAGAAAGAGAGGGGAAAGGCAAAATCATTGAAGTCTAGGACTTCCTTACCTGACCCTATCGTCAGGTAAGCAGAGCCTTAAGGGGTGTGGATGAGATAAAACACTGAATTCTGGTTAGGTAGGGTGTTGAAGATGGTAGACTGTGGTGAGAAAAACAGTATTCAAGAGAAAAAACAGGATCCAGGTGTGAGTTAGGAGGGGGCAGAAGGTGCTACAGGGGGTTAGGATTAAAATATATTTAGTCTGACACCCCCGAGGAGAAATGAAGCAAATAAACACACAGCACGCCAAGACTACAGAGTGTGTGTATGCATGTGTTTGTGTTCGTCTGTGAAGCTTTTGTGCGTCTCCTCCCCTGTAGGCAGTTCCAGGGCCACACAGACGGAGCGAGCTGCATCGACATCTCCAACGACGGCACCAAACTGTGGACGGGAGGGCTCGACAACACGGTGCGCTGCTGGGACCTCAGAGAGGGGCGCCAGCTCCAGCAGCACGACTTCACCTCACAGGTAAACACACTTTCTGTAAAATATACAGAAGAAACATCCTGATCAGAAGCTGAAATTGGAAAAAAGTACCTGTGAAGGGTCTATGTTAGAGGGGGTTCCTCATAGTCTTTGGACACTGGTGGCAGGATCGGCGCCACACTCCTCGACCCTCCTCGAAGTTGTCCTGATTATTGAAGGAAAAAGTCCCAAAATTTTAAAAATGTCCTTGTAAACCACAATGACCAACATGTCCTTGTAAACCACAAAGACCAACATCAAAAACACACATTAAAAAAACATAATACCAACATTAATGGGCCTGTCAAATAGCAACATGTCCACAACATGAGTTATTAACTGACAGACATTTTTAGCCAAACACAAACACACAACCTGAATTACAAATATTTACACTAATACACACAAGAGCAAACATCATAGAAATCAGCTCTCACATCGCCGCACAGGCACACACACACACACACACACACACACACACACACACACACACACACACACACACACACACACACACACACACACACACAGACAGCTTCTCTTATTCACTCCTTACTGCCACAACAGAGCTATAGAGTTGACCACTGTTGTCAGATGAGTTTCGATCCACCATGTAATGACTTTCTCTCTCCCTCGCTGCCTCTCTGTCTGCCACTTCCTGTCACTCTGCCACCATTTTCTCTCTCTTTTTTTTCCCCTCCTGTTTATTAATTCACTCCATGTTCGACTCTATTACATCGTTTTACTCTTTTCTCCTTTCTTTTTACCATCTTTCCTCTATTCCCTTCCCGCTCATTATCCTTTTTCTTTAACATCATCCCTGCTTCCTTCGATCCTGCCGGGTCTTTCATCAAACTTAACTCTTTTCCCTCTGTGCGCTCTGACTCCTCTTCACTTTTTACCTTCCTTTGATGCGTTTTTGATTTCCTCCTCCTCTCCCCCGTCCAGATCTTCTCTCTGGGTTACTGTCCGACAGGCGAGTGGTTGGCTGTGGGAATGGAGAGCAGTAACGTGGAAGTCCTGCACGTCTCCAAACCTGACAAGTACCAGCTGCACCTTCACGAGAGCTGCGTTCTCTCTCTAAAGTTTGCCTACTGCGGTATGAAAAACATGACAAATATGTATTTCTATTAAACGTTAACACAACTCTCTTATTATTTTGAACAATAATGACTCTTTTTCCTTTTTAACCCGTGTTACTCTGGTTTTAGGCAAGTGGTTTGTGAGTACAGGAAAAGACAATCTGTTGAATGCGTGGAGGACACCATATGGAGCCAGTATTTTTCAGGTGAGGATGTTTACACTCTATCCATATCAGAGCACAGACACCAACATATGTGTGTGTGTCTATGTATCAGGGCTGCAGGGTCGTGTACATGTGTATAATATTGTTGAAGCGTCTCTGCCTCCTGTCCCTCTACCACATACACGCACATACACACTCTCTCTCTTACAGACACACTAAACCCTGGAGGCAAAAGAAAGAGAAAGATGAAGGGATTCAGAAGGAGAGAGAGTGAATGATAAACACTTTTTTTTTACATTCCTGGTTTGTTGATCCACGGTGACTTGCAGAGGTTTATCAGAGAGCGCAGCCTGCCAACACACACACACGCACACACACTCACACTCACACACATAACACAAAACAAATATAATAATTCCATCGTGTTCAAACACTCCATTTGAGGAAATGTTGAATATGCGAGGATGCAATATTTTTAGCTGAGCCAGTTCATCTGGGTGTGAATGAAACTAGCGAAGGGAGTTGAAGGTACATTTAAGCTGGGAGTCGTGTGTGTGTATATGTGTGTGCGTTTGTGTGTTTTGTGTGTGTATGAGTGGCTGTCGTATTTTTATAAGCTACAGTGGGCAGCAGGGTTGGCGGCTCCTGTCTCCCCCGGTGGACTAAAAGGAGAATGCTGGCTATCTGCTTTGTTATCCAAATGCCAAACGCTTCTCCTGCCAAACAGCTCCCTCCTGTCACTGTGTTATACAGAGCTGCTCTTTCTCTCTCTTTTCCTCCCTCCCTCTCCTCTCCTCTCCTCTCTGGTTTATCACTGTCCTCTCCAGCCTCTTTTTCTCCTCTTTTCTTTCTCCTGTTTACTGTTGTCCTTTCTCCCTGACTGTGCTCCCTGTTTTTTATCTTTCCCACCTGATCTGTGTGTACCTCTCCCCTCACTGTGTTTCCTCTCTGTCCTTGTCCTTTGGTTTATCCCTGTCCTTGCTTTCTTCCATTTTTTGTTATCTTTTTTTTTTTTTCCTGTACCACCGCTTCACTTTTTTTTCCTCTGTTGTTCATGCCCCGCCCCCCACCCTGTGGCCTTCTGTACTGCATACCTCTTTTTTAATCCAAATAAGCTTTTTGTCATCAAACTACTCTAACAGAATAGTTCTTATTGCTTTATACAATAAAAAATATACATGAAAAAAAAAGAAGAGTTAGGATAGAAAAGTGTCACAAAAGAAGATGAAAGGTTGATAAGAAAAGCTTTCATTTTTCCTTGATATACAACATATGTAATTCATTCCGGTATTCCGGCATAAAATGAATTTAGGGTCAAACACGCTGTAACACTGAGTTAGATAATGATCATTTCTTCATGGAAATGCAATCAGACAGAGACGCGAAGGCAGAAGAACTACAGCGTCTGCAGTGCAAAATGATTAATATGATGATTATTACTTCAAGGAAATGATGATGTAATGATCATAAATGTTCTTCCTTGAGCTGCGTCACCCCGCAGCAGTCCGCAATGGACTGGCCTGAGGTCTCGCTGCAAACAAGCGTCTGCTGGAAGAGAGTAGGTGAGTTGTGTTTAGTCGCTTTGCTAAAGAAATTAGGAAAAGTTAAAAAGATGTTTGGTGGCTAGTGCTGTGGCTGGGACCCTATATGTACTGTTGATGAAGATGGTGCTGTTCTGAGCATTATTTGTGGCTATAAAGTGGCGTTTTGGTTGAGGTTTATTCATGGCTCCTCAGACCGCTGTGTATTGCTATCATGCGGTCGTTACTAAAGTTGGTTTAACTAGAGAAGCAAGCGGTCGGCAACATTCATCTCTGAAGGGTGTGTCTTAACTCGGTGTCATGGTGTGTTTGACCCTAACTTAATTTTACACCGGAGTATCCCTTTAATGCAGTTGTCTATTTGTGATTCTGGTTATGTAAGAATCACTTTCTCCAGTAAGAACTTCACACATCTTTCTCTTTAAAAGGTCAGACTGTGTCTACAACATCAAGCTGTTCCTTTTTGTTTTGTTTTTTTGTCCCACTTGAGAATTAAAGTTGTGTTGTATTTATTTATTTATTTTTTACAGCGGTCAGGGTTTTGTTTTCTGATTAGATATTTTAACCTTAAGATTTACAGCTGGTTCTTTGGCTATGAGTTGTGTAGAAGAGCTTTACAATCACACTTACTCACTTCCGGCTTTTCAATCACAAGGGACAGGTTAATGAATTTAAGATAATGACTTCACAGAGATGATGTGATGGCTTGTTAAATTATTGAATTATTATGATTTGGGGCTTGAGCTCTACAGGAGGTATACAAGGGACATTTCACAGCCTCAGGCAAGACACTAAACCCCGAATTGCTCCTGGTGATAGAGTCGTAGTTTGTGAATACTGATGGACACAGTACAGACTGTCCTCTGATTGTTATCAGTTTAAGGAAATGGTTTGACTGTGATGAGTCGTGTAAAAGTGCTTTGGAGACGAGACACAGAGCTGTTTAAGTTTGCTCCATTTACTAAACTGACAGGTAATAATAAAACAAAATAGAAGACAGATGAGATCTTAATGGTTATCTTCTCAATCATGGCATGCAGATGCATGATATCCTGTAATAGTGTTTAGTATCTTGTTGACTGCAGTTGAAACACACTTTGTCTCTTGATGGTATCTGGGACATCTTACAACGTTTTTTTACATGTTGCATGTTGTTTACTTGTTCAAAAACCACGAAGAGAGAGACGATATGTCTCTGATGTTAACTACGAAGGGAATCAGGAGGGGAAAATAAGAGGAAAACATGCCAAATAAAAAGCCAATATTGTGAAAAATGTATCCAGAATCTTAATATTTGAATAATTACACTCATAGGTGTGGAGCATGTTAGTAAACTGACAAGTTTTCTCTTTTTTCTTGTTTGCTTGTTTGTGTCGACGCACCATCTCTGGCTTTCTTTCAACTCATATTTTAGTCTGTCACTGTACCCTCCCCTCTGAACCCCCCTAACACACACACACACACACACACAGACACACACACTTTTTATCGTGGTACGGTACGAGGGATCTTGTACGAAATGGCCTCTCACTGCTGGCCTGATGATTGACAGCTCTGTTGTGCCTTTAGCAGGGAGTTAGGGAGGGAGGTAAGTTTAGAGAGGAAAAGGAGGAGGAGGAGGAGGGCTCGACATGAGAATTGGGGGCAGAGTGAATTGGGGAGCCTAAGAGGATGTAGAAGGGAGAAGAGGAGGAGGAGGAGGAGGAGGAGGGGGAGGAGGAGAGTGTGGGAAGAAAAGAAGGAAGATAAATGATGATGGAGCAGTGGGAAGCTGAGGAGGAGGAGGGGAGAGGAGGGGGCATGCAGCAGCAGGAGCTTTAGATCATCTAAAGCCAGGTGCCCCGGTCTGCTTTTCACACACACACACACACACACAGGAGGGGAAGAAAGGGAGGGTGGGAAAAGGAGGATTGTGCATTTTGCTAGTTCATACAGACCATCAGGCTCGTGCAGCTAGTGATGCTTAAACCTGCAGTTAATGAGGCTGCACATCTCCACAGAGAGAGAGAGGGAGAGAGAGAGAGAGAGAGAGAGAGAGAGCAGCTGAGTGAGTCAGCATCTTGAAGCTGTGCTCTGTCGTCTGTTTGGAAATAATTGCCGACTGTTTTGAAATGCAAATATGTCTTGTATGATTGAGTATTAAGTGATGAGTCATATCTTTTTTTTTTACATCTTTCTCTTTTTGTTTATTTCTCTCCATCTGTCTCCACATATCTACTAACACTTATCTTTCTCTCTCTCTCTCTCTCTCCGCTGTTTGTCTCTTGTCCACTCGTAGTCCAAGGAGTCCTCGTCTGTGCTGAGCTGTGACGTCTCCCCAGACGACAAGTACATAGTGACGGGCTCCGGGGACAAAAAGGCCACGGTGTACGAGGTGGTGTACTGAGGGGCTACAACAAGATGGGAGGAGCCAGGACGGAGGTCTTAGGGTGTTTTCTATTTTTGTTTTTTTTGTTTTTTTGGCAGAGGGGAGTGAGTTGGGGGCAACCAGTTAACCAGTTGCCCTGCCGACTGATCCTGATACCCATGGCAGCAGCTGCAGCAGCAGCAGCAGCATCCCTGTCTCAGTCCTCCTGACCCTCACCCCTCAAACATCACACCTCCTTTTTTTTTTTTTTCTTTTGCTGTAATATAAGCTACTGTGGAAGCTCCCAAATGCCCCTCTCTCTCCCCCCCTCCTCCCCCCTTTTGTCTTTTAGCTCAAGGATGAAGCATGATAGCAAAGAGAGAGGAAGCAGAAAGATAAGAAGGACAAAGAAAAAGGGCGGTGGAGCATAAAGATAAAGTCGGGAAGCAAAAGAGGAGGAGAGAGAGCGAGGAGGAAGAGAAATGACAGGGAGGAAAAGGCGGAGGAGGGAGGGGAGGGAGGGGGGTGCTGGGTAATTAGGGCTGTTTCCTGATTAAGAGCTCAGTGGAAGGAAGGCCCCCAGAGGAGGCGCGGAGCGGCACTGTGGGAGCGCCAGCCAGGAGCACTGATACCACACAATCGATTCATTAGGCAGACAGTGGAAGCCTTAATGAGGCTGACGCCGCAGCTCGCTCTCCCCACAGAGAGGTGTCAGGAGCTCGGGAATGATGACGCTTCAGATATCCACACACACCGACACAAAGCAAAGCGTAGACCTGCTCACACACACACAGACACACACACAGGGTGCACGTCATCGGGCAAGAACACACACACACGAACACACACAAACATGCTCGGATACACCCCCCTTGAGGTAAATGTTAGAAGAGAGAAACACACACACACACACACCACACAGAGCACCCAATTAAACATTCATGGCACACTCGCCGTCTCACTGCTTAATATCTATTTTATTTTGGTCTGACAAAGGCGGCGTCTAATGAGCAGCCGAGTCAATGGGATTCTCCCAGGGCCCACAGACACAAACACAGAACATCAGCCGAGCTGTTTCCTCTAATTCCTCCGAATTGTTCTCCTGACACCGGGCGCTGCTCTCACTCTCATTAAAGGCGCTGTCAGCTTGATGAAGAAGCGGCACGCCAGCTTCCTGTAAGGCAGACAAGAGGGCAAATTAACACCATGCAATTTTACTATCATCAGCAGCCAACAGAGCAGTGTCTTATCTGAAACCTTTCAATTTTGATACAAGTTACTGTTGTGATCCACAAATCTGATGAGATTATGTATTTTTTTTTCGCCATATCTCCACCTCTGCCTGTCTGCTGGTTTGTTCAGGTGTTCTAGCTAATGTTGCTAAGCTAATGATTGAAATACTGAACACCTTAAAGGAACAGTGTGAAGTTTTAGGGAATATATTCATGTTCTTTTTTGCTGAGATTGAGATGAGAAGATCAACACCACCCTCCTGTTTTTAGAGCCTGTTTCACATGCACGCCTGAAGATTTCAGGACAGTCTGCCCCTGAAAATTTCCCCTTGATGGGGTAAAGTTCTCCCTGAAGGCTCACAAGTAGGCCATCAAATAGTCGAGCAACCTCCAAAGAAAAATTCAAATTATTTTTTTATGCTTCAGTTCTGATCATTTTAACAAATTCAACTTATCATCCAGTTATATCTCATCGCCGATGTTTGAACTAGGCGAGTTTTTGTCCATTTATTTTGATTATTTCATGCTCAGTTATGCTAACAGGGAGCTTGTTGCATCATCTTGCATGCACTGCACAGATGTGAGAGTGGTTTGAATCTTCTTGTCCGCAAAAATCAGCAAAACTGCCATCATGATGTTTCCAAAATATCAAAACTATTCCTTACTTTCCAGTCCTCCTTGTAAAAAAAAATCAAAACTGACAGGCAAATTGTTTTTTTTTTAAGATAAATCTGTTTCTAAAAACAGAAACCACCCATATGTACATTAAAAGACCCATTTTGAGTTTATCGTTTTATTACCCATATAATTCTGCATTTTCTAAGAATAGTGACTACTCGTCTTACTTAATGATGTGTTTATATATCGAGGTTGCCTATGACTGCGTTTTTGGAGAGCAAATAGACTGGGGTGCACTTAAACATGGAGACACAAATTTAGTTTCTGTTCTTCTCTTTTTGTTAAGAAAACTGTATTTTGATTGTTGGTGATTGTTATAAGCGGAGGACGAACATCAGTGGTCCTATGTTGGATTAAAAAAAAAGATACCCTCTGTTCGGGAGAAAAAAATCCTCTGTCTTCTGCTTTTTTGTTTTTGTTTGATGACCTATTTTTCCAAAGTGGTAGTGAATGTACTATAGTCTGTTTCCAGTCCCCACTGTGCGACTAAACTATGTTTTCGTTGAGTCTGTGGACATGACAGTACAGATTTAGCCAACAAAGACGTCCCACTTTTTACTGCATGCTTGTTGCACTAAAGCTCCACTTCTGCAGGTACAGTGATCGGTATGACAGCCACACTTTTACAAAGAGATGGATTCTACATTTACAGTATGCAATTTAGCTCCATTGTAAAAGATTTTAGCAAGATTTGTCCATTTTCTTTCGGCGGCTCTAGAGCAGGTTAGAAAATAAAGTGGGACTAATACAGTGGCAGCTGTAGCAGTCAGGAGTCAGAGATCATCTGTACAGTTTAAAGCCTCTGCCTCTCTCCCTGTAAGCAACAGGTACACTTAGAAGAAACTCTCATACACAAGCTTGTATAGTACACAGAAGGATGCTGTATAATGGCTATGCATTCAATGGTATAGCGTGAATATTTGGGACATTGTATTTGATACTCTTCTTTATCTGTCAGTAATGTCTCTCCCCCTGCCTGTGCTATATCTCTTCATACAGTAAGAAAACCTTTTTTTTTCTTCTCTGTTTTACAAACACATATTTAGTTTCTCCTTTAAAAAGCCAAGGATTTTTTTTTTTACAATGCACTGTGTCTTCTTCCCTCCTGATGCATTTCCGATGTGCTGTAAAAGAAATACTGTGTGTGAAAAATAAACCAAACTCGTGTTGATCCTTTCAGTTCGCTGTCCTGTCTTTTTTTTTGTTTGACTGACACTTGAAGACCAAAGACGAGATAAAACAATCAAGGAGGAAAAATGTATGACCTCTGCAACATTAACCAGCTTTGCACAGTTAAGAATCACTTTTTTATAATTCCTCCTGAGTTTTCACTGGATCAAGCCAATAACCTTCACAATCCAAAACTAAAAGTGTGATTTAGGAAAACTTTCACTTCAACTAGTTATACACAAAATTTTTGGATGGAGAGGACATTATTCATCTTGGAAACAAAAAGGCACACTGGTGATTAAAATATGTCTTTAGCACAGAGATAAAAAAAAAAAAACTGCATCAACTTTGGTCTGAAATCTGACCAATGAGATGTTTTTATCCTGGAGTGTGACCAGTGTTAAAAGACAGAGAGTGTGGTGCTTATTCAGTAACACTGATATGATGTAGAACTGTGGTTACATGTCAGGAGTAACTTTAAAGAGACATGGCAAATATTATTGAAGTGGGAGCTGGGATTTCATTCTGACCAGTTTCCTTGAAACATGTGTCATACTTGAATAAGACGCACACTAACATGTATGTAGAGAATACTTTATTTGTATCCAGGGGTGTAACCAAGGGCAGGGACCACCCTTGAAATCTGAATAGTTACCCCAGAATCCAAAGGACTGACTCTGTGTTTGTCGTGTCAGAATCATCTGTTTGCACAGTGTTATAACAGGCTGCACTTTTCTTCTAGTTGTGCTGCAAACTCTGATTTTGGACTAACTTTTTTTCTGAGTCCTGAAGAAGGAGGATTTATGTCCCCACTCTGTTATGCTTCTTATTAAAGCTCCTGTGAGGAGTTATTTTTATGTCAATGAAACGGACCAAAATTCGTCCATCCATCCGAAAAAGACCCAGCAACAAGACTGAAGACTAATGTACCTTTTTTTTAAAACGTCATAGACCGGTGTAGAGGGGTAGGTGTCAGCTGAATAAGAAGTCCTGTTTATAAAAGTCCATAGGAAAAATTGACAATAAACTACACATAAGAATGTCAAAAGTCAGCAGGAGGACTTTTTGAAAAGAGGCACTACTTAAGCATAAGAGGACAAAATAACAAAGACTGATTTGTCCACAGGGGGCGCCAAAAATCACACAAACTAAAACCTCCTCACAGAAGCTTTAAAGTGAAAAATGACCTACACGGTAAAATGAATTCATCAGCTCCAGTTTGGTCATTTCTTTTATTGCCATTTCATGTTTAAGTGACAAAAGCCTCGACTCCTCTGGAAAAGGCTGATTGGAGACCTGCTGGTGAAGCTGACAGAGGACTGTTAGAGAGAACTTAGAAACAAATAAGAGTTGTTTTTTTCTTTTCCTTTCTTTTTACTTAATGTTTCGTACTGATGGGACTTCAGACTTGAGAGGCTCTACTGCTGCTGACCAAAATGGCTCTGAACAGGGTTACATGCTCATGGTTCACTCAGAAAAATAATGTGCATATCTACATTTTTTTGGACATTTATCATGACACTGGTATATCTTATCATGTTGGAATCCACTCTGCATGTTGGAGAGGAGCTTTAGCCCGAGGAACAAGTCTGACCTGACAAAGTTTATCACAACAGAAGTGAATCTGACGTTCAGTCCACTCATCACTCTGGTCTGAACTTTTTCTAATTGTTTTGATGCTAAACTCTGCAGCTATTACCATTATAAACAGAAGTTTTGATCAAATCAAGAGGTCAAGGGTCAAAACCATGGGTCTATCAACAAAGTTTATCCTTTTTAGTAATCAATCTGTACAGTAACATAACCGCCCCACCTCTAATTTTGTTTTTGAGATAATAAACCACCAAAGACATCATCCTTAAAAATCTCCCTCAGATATAACTGCTGCAGCGATCAATTCTTTAGCCCATTACCCCACAGATCACCTGTTAGTCCAGCTCAGTCCTAAATAAAAATAACAGATCTATCGGGCTGCTTTGCTCAGAGCTTAAGTGACAAAGAAACAGTTAATCCTCTCACCTGACAGTGACGCTGGAAGTTTTTAATCCCAGAGCACTTGATCTATGTGTGAGCAGACATCTATATTAACCGGAGAACATATTTCTGCTTCTACAGTGGGGAAGAAAAAGTTTGTATCGTACGAGATGGTAGAAAAAAAAAGCACACAATCCTTTCACTCCTTATACAAACATTACTACTCTTGTGTATCTTGCAAAAGCAAAATCTCCAACAAATGCTTCTTTTGATTTTTATTTTCATTTTTAAAACATCCAAGCTGAGACCATCCTGCAAGAGACCATTTTTTATCTTTCAAACCTGCATCAGTCCTTCAGCAACTGTTAGTCTGTTTTTTTTCTTCTTTTCTCACGTAGATGTTTATGAAAGACAAACACAATCACAGACAACAGCTGCTCCAAACTCCCATCACTCCCCTCAAAGGAAATCCAAGTCAAATGTAACATCTTTGCTTGCCTTTAGAGAGCTTTATTTACATGTCAATATATAGCAAGGTTCAAGGTTCATGATGCAGCTGTTAAAATACCTGTCTGTCTATATGTGCCCTAACAAATACAAAAAGAAAACACAAAGGTTGAGTGTCGAGGATGATGACGACAATGATGATGATGATGATGAGGCCCCGCTCAGGGAGAACCTGGTGTGAGCTGTTTGGACTGACTTCAGTGTTCTGTCCTTTGGGCTCTGGTTTTTGTGTCCCTGGTTTCTTTCTTGTGAATATATCTGGCTTTGTCCGCGTGTAAAGAAAAGCAAAATAAAAAAGAAGGACAAAAGACAAAACTGTCAGGACACTTTGGAGGAAATCGAGCCCTGTTCTGTGCAGTGATGAAGTGGAGATGATACAATCATGTCGCTGCTGAAACTTAACAGAGAGAAAAAAACTGCTGGGACTTCACAGCACACCATCCTGCCATCTGCCACACATCTGCCGCCCCCGAGGAGGAGCAGCCACGTGCCGCGGCCTGAGCTGGACCGCACCGGGCCAGATTGGGCCAGGCTGACACAGGCAGGGACTTTTTGCACAGCACAGAATATTGAGCGTATTTTTCCATTTTCCGGCCCTCCCCGGACCCTTCACTCTCCTTCTCCGTCCCACTTGTTTTTCTCTTTTTCCACGCGATGCAGTCCAACTGTTTGCGAAAAATTCAAAGGCTAAAAAAATAAGTTTTTTGCTAATTTTTTTCACTACAGAGGTTTTATTTTGTTAAAAAAGGGGAAAAAAAGGAACAAAAACAAAATTTCTTTGGAGGAATCCACAATAGCGCAGCTATAGACTAACCAGCGTTCTCAGAGCATTAAAATCAAAGTTCAGTTCGTTTTTCTTTTTCCAGAGATGTGACTTTGTGCCCCCTTGCTCCTCTCCATCTCTCTCATTTCTTTCACAAATGTAAACAAAACATCAAAGTAGGATTTCGAGTTTCTCATGTTTTTCGGTGCCACAGACGCGCTGTACAGTCATTGGTGCAGGAGGGAGCCTCGGCCCCGCCCCCTGATTATTAGTTTGTTTGATTCAGCTGGTCAGAGCTCAGTAGATGACTTCGTAGACTGTGGCCTTCTTATCTCCAGAGCCGGTGACGATGAACTGGTCATCAGGAGAGATATCACAGCTGAGGACTGATGAAGACTCCTTCGACTGAAAAAGAGGAAGAGCAAAATATATTCACGCTCTTGACATCAATGAAGAAAAGGAAATTAAGACGCAAACTTTTTAAAAAACTTGGAGATGTTTCAAATATGACAACTGAATTGTTTCCAGTAACCATGTTTACGTATAAAATCAGTGTTTAATAGCCCACCTGGAATATGCTGGACCCATAAGGTGTTCGCCATGCATTCAGAAGGTTATCTTTGCCCGTGCTCACGAACCATTTACCTACAGGATGAAAACACACACAGCCGTCATCGGATAGAGCCTCAGGGGAGGTGAGATATGGAGACGTCTGAGAGAGAGAGGACGCCGCATTTGTAAAGGAAGGGAAGAAAGAAAAGGAAACTGCAGGAGATTTGTTCTGCTTCCCTAGTCAGAATATATGAGCCTGTGTGTGTGTGTGTGTGTGTGTGTGTGTGTGTGTGTGTATGTGTGTGTGTGTGTGTGCAGGCATACCGCAGTAGGCAAACTTTAGAGAGAGAACGCAGCTCTCGTGAAGGTGCAGCTGGTACTTGTCAGGTTTGGAGACGTGCAGGACTTCCACGTTACTGCTCTCCATTCCCACAGCCAACCACTCGCCTGTCGGACAGTAACCCAGAGAGAAGATCTGGACGGAGAGAGGAGGAATCAGAGGAATGAACGATGGGTGGATTAGCAAGATTTAGAGAGAGGATAAATGGTCAACATCACCTTGTCGGCTAAATCGGTTTCCTGCACTTTCTGTGTGTTTACCTGTGAGGTGAAGTCGTGCTGCTGGAGCTGGCGCCCCTCTCTGAGGTCCCAGCAGCGCACCGTGTTGTCGAGCCCTCCCGTCCACAGTTTGGTGCCGTCGTTGGAGATGTCGATGCAGCTCGCTCCGTCTGTGTGGCCCTGGAACTGCCTACAGGGAGGAGACGCACCAGTTTAAAACATGCATAAATCTTTCCCCTACCTAGCCCCTCTGGTGAGCTGAAATAATAAACATACTCCAGCAGATACATCATAATGAAATGAGCCATTGGATTAACCCATTACAACAATGTGGCTGAAAACACGCCCCTTTGTGTAGTGCACAGGTCTGTTTAACTTTCCAAAGTAAGATGAGGTATTAAGAGACACTAACTCAACTTTAAAATCATCCAAACAAAGAAAACAGAGGCACACTCAGAAAAGACAGGAGACCAGTAGGAGGTTGTCAGCGGGTCTCTTGGAAGAGTGGACACCTTAGGTGGGTTTGCATTGTTTGAATCCGTTATAGAAAAGCCCAAGCTGAGGTACAGTTTCAATTTAATATTTACAGCAGTGACATGATGCAGATGTAAAATCAAATGAGTATTCAGTGACACATTTTCTAAACCCCCTTTTAGCTTGGACCAGATCCACATATCCTCAGATTTACAGCCTGAGCTTGTTTACAGCACCAGGTCTCTAATACAAATGTGTGAATTTGTCATTAAAGGACTTGATTGAAGGATGAAAAATGTTTCCCTTTTCTTTGTTATCAAGAAGAAAGAAACTAAACAATCTTACATTAGTACTTCTACTTAGATGATTATAAGAAACTTTTTTTTTTTATACAGATAACTTTATTTATAAGGCTTAATTTGAGTTTGTGTAGCTTACAGGTGCAGATATAACTGTATGTATACTTGTATGTTTTTCCTTTTCCTCTTTTTTTTTTACATTTTACACACGATGCAACGCTTGTCTGATATTTTTTAGTGTCTTATAAACCCACGGGGGTTGGGCACTGTAAATAAATTAATTAACTAACAAACTAACTGACTAATGAACTTAAATTACACCTTTCACATGTTAATACTTTAAATAAATATAAATGATGATGATGATAGTGCTTCATCTCCTCCCTCTCGTCTCTTACCTGACCAGAGTCTGGTTGTGGAGGTCCCAGACGACGATGTTGCCGTCGCTGCAGCAGGAGAAGCACACCTTGTTGTCCGGAGAGATGGCCAGAGCGTAGCAGGCGGGAGCAGACGATGTCAGCTCGGCCTTGATCCGAGGAGTGGGTGTGGCCAAATCCCAGATCGACAGTGTGCTGGCTTCCCCGCCGACGATCAAGGTCCGTCCATCTGAGAGCAACTTGCAGGAGCGAATGTAGTTATCCCTGTTCTGATTGGACCAAAAAAGACAAATATAAACATTTATTGGCAATAACGCGCGCTGTAGTCCTCTTTAATCGCTGACAAAGATGCGACGTTAGGTGTGCCGCCACAGCAGTGGAACAGCTGCTGGAGGATTTGGCTTCAGCACAACACAAAGGTGATTCATCACCCAGAGCGTCTTTACAGCACGAAAACAGGCACATTACTTTAGGTAGTAAAGCTGCATTGTTGGACACAAGATGGAAAACAAATGTTAAAAATATGAGCCCACAAACATCCATCCAAGTTTATCCTCCCTCATGTCTCACCAGACAGTCCAGCTGGGCCATGGGGCTCTTGGTTCCCGGTTGGCTGATGTCCCACACCTTGACGCAGCCTTTACCTCCAGTGTAGACGTGACGCGTGGAGGTGCTGATGGTGACGGCGCACACCACCTCTCCGTGGTTCAGGGTGTGGATTTGGCGGGCGTGGCGAGGGATTCCCGGGCCCAGCAGGGCGTCAGGGGGGAAGGGCACCGGCTGCATTTGTCCATCTGCGCTAACATGGAACGAGTAGGCGCTGGAGAGAAAACAGAAGAGGAGAGGGTGAACGGGTTTTATTTGGTCTTCAAGAATTAAAGACTCGAACACATGAGCAATTTAGGAGCACAATTCAAACCATTATAAAAAGGATTGAGTTATTTTGTGTGTGCAGTTTCCCCGTTGACATCCATTATGCACTTCAACTTACTAGATATTTAAAAACTGACAGTTTGACAAAAGTTTGACATTTACTCCTGATGTCTGACTAATTCTCGTAAAGTAATATTTAACATTTTTTTAAAGCTCTTCAAATGGTCCTGAGTCAGTACTTTTTTTAATTTAATAATATCTTTGCTGACTTTCATTTCACATTATACTGACAGTTTTGTAATGTAATTGTGTTTTACAAAAGTCAGTTTTCCCCAAATTCATTTCTACCCCCCCCCCCCCAAAAAAAAAAAAAAAAAAAAACCCACATACATTAACTCTCTCTAAAAATAAAAGCATACACAGAAGATAAAAAAGTACTTTTTACAATCAATAATTCCTTGTTCGGGATAAATTGTAGAGATATAGTACACACGTTTTCAGTATTTAAATCCTTTAATTTATTTTTTCCCTTTTTTTCAAACTATCAACAAACCATTTAACTTTTTTCATTCAGTGTTTTTCCATCAGGTATAAGCCCTACTATATCTCCGTTCTTAAAATAGCTATCAAATGGTTTCCAGATTTCCTCATAAAGTGTCAATTTGTTTTTCAGGGTATTTATTATTTTATCCGTTGACATGTTCTTGATCCAAGCTCTGATTGTAGGTGCATCAGTTTTCTTCCAATTAAAAGCCACCGTGCGTTTGTCTGTACTTCTGACCTGACATCTTTGATGCTTACCAGTCATCAGTCAAAACAAAATACTTCAAAAAAGAGCAAAAAGTTTTAGTTTTCAAAAGGGAAATTGAATTTGAAACTCGCTTCTTCATGCATGAAAACAACAGATTTGAATGATTCCTCAGAGGCTGCCAAACATTTTAACTTAACAAGTGTCAGAGTTTCCAAAAAGCTTCCCCTCCTCCGCCATCTTTCATGGTTCATTCTTCAGGGGTTGTAATTGAAATTTGAGGAGATCCTGAGTGCAGTTAGTGGTAAACACGGGAAAGAGATGAGTGATAGGCTGGAAGGAAACTCACGGTTTTCCGGATGCAGCTGACTGCAGGCTGGCAGGAAGCCCAGGGACCCTCATATGGGGGTGGGGAGACTCGTAGCCCACCTGGAAGACGAGGCAAAAACCAAAACGTAAGGAACAATACAAGAAAGGAGAGAGAAGAGAAAAGAGGAGCACTTCTGAAAAACAGAAGGACATAATGAGATAATATTCAAGCAGAGCAAACATGTAATCGACTGATGAGCTGCTGAAACACTCCTCTTTTTTCCGTTCACAGGCTGTATGTTTCACCTTGTCGATCCTCTCAAAGGCTTTATGCTGCTGTTTACACACGACTGTAACTCTGCACAGACAAATTATCAGCAGAGTGTCTCGCTCACCACAGGGGATCGTCCGTAACCTGCTGCAGCCGCCGCAGCAGCTGCTGCAGCTCCGTTCATCTGCGGGGAGACCAAGTGGAGGCCAGCGCCGTAACCTGCCGCCCCGGGCAGGTCTCCATTTACTCCTGGGGGAGGCAGCCCAAAGGCCCCTGGGGGGTATGCTCCTTGCACCGCCAGGGGGTTTCTTAGACCCAGAGCTGGAGGGAAAGAAATCATTCAAGTCATTCTTAGCAGCAATCATTGAATTTAACAAATTATTAATGAGAGCAAAAACTACAGTTGAGGTTATCTCTTTGTTTTCATAGGCTGGAATCATCTCCACATTTCAGTACGCTCAGATCCCAACATTGTGTGAGTAGGCTGTGACTGAGCTGATGAATGTCATACAAAACTCTGGGACATCCCTTACTTCTGCTCTGGACCACCACTGACCCCTGCTGGCCACCGTATCTTCCTGCAGCAGGACAGTATATGTGTGCGTGTGTGTGTACGATCAGAAACACATTTTTCTACAACCTCTCTCTGTGCATTTATCTGCATAAACAAGCGTGTATGTATGCATGCATAATGGTGTGTGTGGCGCAGACAGAGATGGGGGCTAACAGGTGATATGAGAGATTTTAAAAAAAAAAAGAAAGTGGAGAAGGAGATACAGTGGAATAGACAGAGGCTCATTATGAGGCAGCTCACAGTCACAGTCCATCACCTTTCCTAATCTTTCCATTTAAAACGTGTGTGTGTGTGTGTTGGGGGGTGAATATTTCTGCCCACAGCTGCTTATTAAGTCCAGATGGTGGTGGGGAGCTGGCTGACATCCATACTAACTACTGCAGCCTCTTATTGATAGAATCACCACGTAAAATAAGACGGTACAGAATAAAAGCTGATCGCTGGAAAGGCAGAATCGGACTTTTAACCGAGTTTAAGAGAGGGGGGTACAAACGGTCTGTCAGGCGCATCTTCTAGTGTTGAAACAGGAGAGCTTTAGAGCTTCTCTGCACATAAAATTCATCTTTGAAGTACCACTGACTCGTGTTCGAAAGGAGAATCACCAGCTGTGCTTACCAAGGTCAACGCCGGGTTTTCCAGGGACGGGTCTGAACTGTGGAGGTCCGCTGGGTCCAGGAGTGTTGGACTCCTGAGACATGGGGGTTCCTGGCTTCATACCTGGAGTGCTGGACTTCTCCCTCTGAATGAGCAGAGAAAAATAAACAAAAAAAAGCTCAAATGAAGATTGATTGTTAGCTTTGATTGAAACTGAAGCCTCAGGATTCACTTCAGTGGAGGGAAAGAGTTAAATAGTGAGGGACAGAGTCAGCCAGGGAGGAGAACTAAAAATACTATAAAAACAGAGAGTGAATGACAATGAGGATGACTGAGGGCAGAAAAGAGATGAGGGGCACTGTGAGATGTCAGCAGCTCAGACTGTACAAGTGGGATGTTGAATTTACGGCATAATAAGTCAGGGAGGAACTATTGACCCAAAAATACAGCAGAGAACAGGGAGTGCTGACAGCACGGAAACACTGATGCAACACAGAAATAAACTGTGTGTGTGTTCTGTGTGGATTTAGAAGCACGCACCACAGTAATGCCACCAAAAGTTATCCAAATATTTGTTTTGGCATATCCATGTGCAGTCCGTGTTTACCTGGAGGGGCTCTTTGCCACGAGATGGGGAGGTAGCGCTGCTGGAGGAGGCCAGGGAGGTGGGGCTCGCCTGCGGTGGGCCGTCCTTGCGATTTGGGGGCATCTTGTCAAGGCCGTTCTCCCTGGACGAGTAGGACTGCACGCTGCGGGGGGACGACGGGTCCTGAAATTTAGAAGAGAGAACGCTTTATCAGGCGAGGCGTGATATTTACTGTGATTCAAACTTCAGCAGGAATTAAATCGTTTCTAATCAAACTCGATAAACCACCCTCGCTTCACGGTGAACGGTCTTAATTTTGCATCGAGAACGACAGTAGATTTTATCACATGCACATCATCTAAAGTTTACGCCTGCTAAATCCCTCACAGCGTCTAAAATCTCATAATTGACCTTAAACCATGCTTGAAAACATGCAAATTCAGGTATTATTATAACTGCTCAAGCAAACTCGGCTGCTCTCTTCCTTCGCTGGTTAAAAACCTACTCCAACAAATGTACAAGGAATTGATTCCTTTACCGCAGAGGAATTTCATAAACACCACCTATATCATTTAAAGACAAAATAAGGTCACGCTGGTTAAGTTTTTGCTGTTATTAATCTTTTATGAGGGGAAAAAACATCGCACAACTTTGCAATCACCTGCAATTTTACCCGCACTTAGATAAACAACGAATAAACCTTCAACAGTTATACCTGCAGGATTAAACAGCAGTCCCAATAAAGCGCAGTCAAGTGTGTGTTGCGTATGTTCTTTACGGTTATGTATGTTGGGAAATAAAAGGCACACAGAGGAAGAGGAGGGGGCTCTTATTGTTATTATCATCACTATGCAGATGGTCCTGCTGGGTGTGTTTACATGAAGTATGCAGATGAAAGCAGTAAAATGCTGCCGACTGGGGGCCGGTGGCTGACTACTAACCTCGTCCACCACCAAATTATCATCACTCTTATCTGCATCGCTGCCCTGTGAGAGAGAGAGAGAGAAAGAGAGAGAGAGAGAGAGAGAGAGAGAGAGTTTAGGTACTCTTGCTCTGCTGTCTGATATATGGAGATTATATGTAGAAATATACAGCACAACCACAGGAGGTTAGACACAGACAGAGAGGGTGCAGCCACACGCATTTTAAAAAGTTGGAGGACAATTTTTTGAACCTATGCGAGAGTGTCGATTTACGAATCTACAAACAGAGCAAATAGAAATTTCTTATCTAGACTTTTTTAATGGCTGAGATGAGATCGCCTCGAGTTAAAGCGATGGACAGTACAACTGTAATTAATTTAAGATGTTAAACTCAGAGAAGGTGAAATCCTCTAAGGCACAGCTGTTTTGAATATTACAGGTCTGCTCGAAACAAAGCAGTGATAGTCAGATACCTCAGATTCATTTATCTCACACTAGATGTAATCCCTCACCATGTTTGATATATCTGCTTCCTGCAATAACAGCATCACATATTGATGACTGTGGGGATAAAATAAATCAATTACAATCTGGAGTCCACTGTTCAGACACTCCTGGTCTTCTATGAGAGATCTTGCGCACTTTGGTGAAACTTTCCTCCAGTTACTAAAACATTAAACAGTCTCATGAAAATCTCTCACATAGTCTGTCATGAACTCCTTCTCGTCTGCTTTCCTCTTCTTGCCGTTGCTGAGGTAGTCCGCCGGCCTGCCTTTATCCCCGTTGGACAGAGAGCTCTGCAAAGAGGGGCGAGAGAGAGAAAGAGCAGCGAGGTGAGAAGGGGAGGGAGAATTTAGAAAGAAGGGAGTAAGAGAAGGAGGCAAGAAGAAGGCACAGAGAGATGGAGGGCGAGGGGAAGAAAGAGAAGGGAACGGAGAAGAAAGCGGGGGGCGGAGAAGGAGGAAGAGGGTGATAATGAGGTGAGAGGGACTGCATAAATCATGTCTGCCTCATAAGCTTCAGAGATGAATGTGAAGGGATATCAGCAGGCATCGATCAGCCGGCTCACTGGAGGAGCGAGAGAATGAAAGAGAAATCTTCAAGTCTTTCTTGAAGGCAGTTGCAGTAGCACTTCTTTTCAACCTGTTTTTATATTTGTACTGTGGCAGTGGTGTGATGTTAGGATCTAATATGTCAGTATCCAGCATCATGGACTGTAATAAGCCAAAAAAATGCCTGTGCTCAGATGGAGAAGCTGAACCAGACCAAAACAAAATAAAAGCTGACTGAACTGGAATTCAGAGTTCTCACAACACAAGGTTGAGACTTTGAAGCAGTTTATTACTTATTGATAATTAAATTGTGCTTCAAAAATCACTAATTTAAGGGCCACATAGACGTCATTCCTGAAATTTCCTGCTTTGAACCATCTATTCATCGAATCAATTTTTATTTTTATAGCTCTAAATCACAACAGTTGTTTTCCTAAGATGCTTTCCAAAAAAGAGAGCAGGTCTAGACCACGCTCATTATTTGATGAATTACCAAGATCCAACCGTAAGATGGGACAGATTTGACCCATCTCATCTAACATGAGTGACAGCGGCAAGGAGAAACTTCCTTTTAACAGGCAGAAACCTTGAGTAGGACCAGACTCATGTTAGACAACCACCTCACCGCTGCTGAGTTGGAATCTATTGGTTAGAAAATCTTGGAATATTGAGTGTTGACAATGTATGCAGCGATTTCAAGTTTTCAGATGTTCGGGTGTAACCGTCTGTCAGTGGTGAAGGACTTTCAGTCAAGACTTCTTGTTTGTTTAAATTCCGACCATCATATTGAAAAGTATGAATTGAGTTGGTGCCGGGAGACATTCAAGAGCAGATTGTTAAATGCAGAAATTTATCAGACATTGACTACAGCTAGGTCATCACTAGATTGCTGTGATTGCAGGACAGCAAACCGGGTCCTGCACTTCATGCTGTCCATGCATGTTCTTTACAACCTGTTTATGTTTGTGTGCAGCTGAAACCCTGGTGGATGTTTTCCTAGTAGGGCTGGGCGATAAACCGAAAATTTACCGATACCGAAATTTTTGACAATAACCGATGTCATTTCGCCCATGTCAATATATTTGGTGTCAAAAAAATAAATAAAAGTTGGTTTTGGATGTGTGTAGGTAGGCTATGGTCTCATGTCCCTTTAAGACGCTGTCCTACGTCAGAGAGATGTGACTCCACCCCATCCAGCCCATAACAAAGAGGGAAAGACAGGTGAGGAAATGGAGGACGGTTCCAAAGCTGTAGCAGCTGGAGCGACGCCTGAAGTAGACAAAGTTAATGTGGGAGGGGGTGAACAGCTTGTGGAGTAGTTATCGTCCATTTATCGTTATCAAGGTGAACTGTTCAAAATATTGTGATATTGATTTGAGGCCATATTGCCCAGCCCTATTTCCTAGTACCACATATTGAAACCAAAACACTGAAGTTGTCAAAATCTGGTCCTATGTCAGCAGACTCTGTTTCTTTATATATAAACTGTGTATAAAGACTGATAAAAGGACAAACTTCCCAGAGGTACATATACTGTATATTTATCAGATATCTGTTTGGGTTAAATGGAGTATTTCACTTTGAGGAATGCCAATTTTCCCTTTCATTAGAGCTGCACAAGAAAGTTCTTCTCAGAAAAAAAAAAAAAAGAGACACAACCTTTAAAAACGCTTACGCTCCACATTTTTGAAAGCAAAATCAAGGATGTGTAAAATAAGGCGTCACCGAGACATGTCTGACATGTGGACGAAAACGACTTCTACTTGTGTGAATATGCATGCACAACTCTGACTACAATATCAGAGACTGCTGAACAAATGGGTGGACAAATGTGAGTGTGCTTGATCTGAGTGATGAGTGTGTGATAAGTTGCACTCACTGGTCCTGCTTCACGGTCTACTCATTCCAGCAGAAGAGCCCAAACACATCCAGGTACCGGACCAGAGGACAGCAAAGGAAAGATAAGGACACACATAGACAAACATGAACACAGGATATGTAGCATCACTTTACATCACTCTACAGCTGGTGACTCAGCGCAAAAACATCACAGAGAAGTGTTATTATGAAACTCTTGTGCCTTCCAAACAAAGTAAAGCCAATCATCAGGATTTATCACGTTAAGCCTCGGTGTTAACTTGACTCCTTTCTCAGGTTGGTAGTCTTTGCTGTATTAAACACAAATAGGAGGGACTTGAAGTGTTTCTGTACCTCTGTGGTGCTCCGCAGCAGCGGCGGCAGCGGCCGCTGCCTCTAGATGAGCTCTCTCATCCTTGGCAGCCAGCTGGGCCCCCAGAGCCCCTGACAGAGCCAGCAGACCAGATCCCCCACCCAGCGCCAGGCCAGGGTGGGGCAGTCCTGATGGGTGCGGTCCCACTGGCAAACCTTGGGCATGCTGGGAGAGGTGCTGGGCTTGAAGCTGTTGCTGTAGTGAGGAGGGATAGAAGCAGAGACATAGCAAGACAGAGGGGAGACAGAGCAAAGAGAGAACTGGGTGACTCATGAGCACTTGAGGGCGTGGCTCACCAGGAAGTGATCGAGAGAAGGAAATGAAGACGGTGCTTCATGCACAAGAGGAGAAATGCTAGGGTCAAGGCAGTGGCTCTTTGGGGAGGGAAGCTCTGCACCTAAAACAGCGTGATGGGGATACTATATTGGAAATACCTAAAGCTAAAATAGGATTTTATTAAGTTAAATTCAGACATGGTTTTTAAATGTTTGGAAAGTTTTACGGGACAACTGCTCTGAGTGAATCAGGAGCGTTTTCAACCATGACTTTAAAGATTAAAATTTGAAAATCTTAATTCATCTGATATTTTAGAGTGGGCCGGCCTATCAGTTTGCCTCAGTAAAAGAAAAAAGAGAAGGAGGGAATATAAATAAATGGGAGGATAAGGTACACACGCTATGAGGCAGAGGGGGGAGCCCACGTACCCCTATCGAAGCATTTAGCTCCCCCATGGTCACCTGTTTGGCGCGCTCCATGGCCTGGACCACCTGTTGTTGATGCTGTGAAACAAACCAAGAAGGAAATTATGTACAGATATGCATGATACACCTTCAAATTATAGATTAGTAAATAGGTGTGATGTGCAGCATGTCTTGTGCATGTGACGAGTATTCAAAGTCGACTGAAAAAAAGTACCGAAAAAAAGTCTGTTTTGTGTTTTTTATTCCTCCAAAACATTCATGGACTGAGGAACGTGCTTTAGTGAGACTCTGTCCATCTGCAACTCTGAATGTGTGCATGTGCATGTGTGTGTGTGTGTGTGTGTGTGTGTGTGTGTGTGAGAGAGAGAGAGAGAGAGAGAGAGAGAGAGAGAGAGAGAGAGAGAGAGAGAGAGAGAGAGCTATTGTCTGTTGCACGTGCATGCCCTCTGTGCAGGCTGCTGTTAAACAGGAGAGTAAGGGGGGGGGCATGAATGTGCAGTGCTCTGTGTGTGTATGTGTGTGTGTTTTTAATATGTGTGTGTGTTCTTAATATGTGTGTGTGTGAGGGTGTGTGCAAGTGTTTCACCTCCTGGGACAGGAATGGGATGAGCTGAGCACAGATCACGTTCAACCGCTTGGCAATCTCCGTCTGAAAGAAAGAAAAAAAAAAAGAGATACTGTTGCTTTGATGAATAAACACACACACACATGCACACGCTAACACACCAACACAGACACACAGCCAAGATGGAGCTGGAACAACAAGAAAACACACAATCATAACACACACACACACACACACACACACACACACACACACACACACACACACACACACACACACACACACACACACACACACACACAGCGTGGCCTGCTTCTCCCAGGGCCAGTGTGGTAAATATTTCAGCTGCTTACATTTGGTCCATGCAAATGGAAACTCTGCCAGGGAGTTTGGCTAAAATATTCATGGACAGCATCTGCTGTGGCCTCAGCCAGCCCACACAGAGTGTGTGTGTGTGTGTGTGTGTGTGTGTGTGTGTGTGCGCATGTGATGGAGAAAAGATGCTGGATTCTCTATCTTTTCCCCATGTGTGTGTGTGTGTGTGTGTGTTGTGTGTGGTTGTGTGTGTGCATGTGTTTCTGATGTGTCCTTGCATGTCTGTGTGTATGTGTGTGGGTGTGTGTATGTGTGTTTGCATTTTGCATGCTTGAGTGTGTGTGTATGTTTCCTGCTGGGGGGTCAGGGATTCTTGCTGTGGGTGTGTGTCTGTCTCGATCTGCTCTGCTACACTGCCAACAGCAAACTCATCCCCTCCCTCCCTCCCTCCCTCCCTCCACCTCTCCTTCTTCTTCTTCTTCTTCTCCCTCCTGCTTCATCATCCTCTCTCTCTTTCCATCTCTCCTCCTGTCCATCTCTCTTTTCCATTTTACTGTTTATCGCCCTTTCCATCCATTTCTCCTTAATGCCAGTATTAGTGCGGTAATCAGTGTTACAATCGCCGCAGTCATGTGATGTCAACACACACGGGCGCATACACACACACAAACATGTTTAGCGGCCCAACAAGGCCGTTAGGGCCAGTAATGATATGCATGCAGAGATCATGACAACATCATTATGGCCGCGGGCTGTTTGTCTTGTTGACAGCTAGGCTCGGTTGTGTTTGTGTGTGTATGCCTCTGTGTGTGTGTGTGTGGAATCTATCTACATGTGTATATGTAAGTGTTTGTGTATGTGTGGTATACACAAAAATGCACACGTGCGCGCATGCACGCACACATACACATACACACTAACACACACTCCCCGCCCCATTCTCTCTCTTAAGTGATTTATTGATGCCGGACTGAACTTCCACCCCCTCCTTCTCCTCTCTCTCCCCTCTCTCATTCCTCTTGCTTGCCCACATCTCTCCCTCCCCCTGCTCTCCATTTTTCAGCCTAGCAGTGTGCCTCCCCCCACCCCTCCCCTTCTCCTTCCTCCACTCCCTCCTTCCCTCCATCCTCTGAATCCATCACCCCCTCCACCCCAAGGGAGACACAATGATTTCTTGTTAGAGAACTCCAACTACTAAATGACATCTTCAGGAGAAAGGGAGAGAGAAAGAGAGCGAGAGAGAGAGAGAGAGGAAGAGAGGAACATGAGCAATCGAGAGGATAAGGATACGGGGAGGGGGGGCAAATGGGAGAAGGGAAATGAAAAGAGGAGGCGGAAGGAGGAGAGGAGGTGCAGGAGGAAGAAAAGGGCAGATTGGGTTGAAGGAATGACAGCCAATGAACGAAGGATGTGGGAGTGTGAGGAGGAATAGACAGAGAGAGAAAGAGAGAAAGAAGAAACAGAAGGAAGGCGGGGGAGGACAAAAATGAGATGGGGGGGGGGGGGTGGAGTGGCAGCGGCGGCACGACAAAAGCGAAGAGACCGAGATGGTGAAATAAACGAAGAGAGAGAGATGGGAAAGGAGAGTAGACGGCAGGAAGGCAGTGACCTGATTTAAAGTGAAATTCAGCATGGACTGTATGTCTGTGAGGAGACAGAGGTGGAGGGGGGGGGGCAGAGGGAGAAAAAAAAAACACGGGAGATAAAGAGAGAGAAGGAGAAATCAATGGGAAAGAAGAAGGGAGACAGACACAGGGACGGTGAAAAAATGGAGATTAAGAGAGGCGAGTATTCAAAAAGACAAAGTAAGGCAGGGATTGAAGGGGTAAGAAAGAGGGATGGGGACAGAGGAGCCGGGTGGGGATTGGGGTGTGTGATTGGATTCGGGAGGGGGGCACAGCGGCAGTAACAGGCGGGGATTTATGATGGGTGAGAGGGGAAGCTGTTCTGGAGGCTCCGAGAGAAGGGCAGAGTATTTTCATCTGTCTGTCTGTGGTGGAGAAATGAATTCTGTTTGTGGATCCTATTAACGCCTCCACAGCATAAGGCTCTCTCCATACAGGTCCATCAGAGGGAGGGCTGACATTAAGGTGGTGGACACAGTGAGAAAGAGAGAGAGAGGGAGAGGGAGAGGGAGAGATGCACAGAAATTTGCAAGAGAATGATGCAAAGCTTTGTGACTATCAGACAAGAGGGGTTATCGAGGGAGTGGGAGACATATCTAAAGACGGGACAGAGGAAGAGAGAGACAGAGAGAAAGAGAGAGAGGTGCTCACTCACCTGTTTGTGCATTTCAATGTTAAGGCCGTAAGACATCTCGTAATACTGAAAAAAGGAGAACATTAGTGAATTAACATGAATTTACATCAACAATAACATGAGCATAGGGTTGTGCTTACACTCTCAGGTGTTGTGGATAAATAGACTTAATAAGGATCTTTACATATGTCTAATTTACAGGTAATCTATTTAATATCCAAATGACTCATACAGACAATAACTTAAGTATGATCAGGTGCTATTAGAAAATTATGTTAAAGTAGGATAAAAAAAATAACTCTTGGTTCCTTTAGGAAAGGATTTCCATAAGCGCCTAAACTCAAAGATAAAGTTTCCCTGCGGTCAATATCACATCTATACTGCTTTAAATACCCACAAGAACACCAAAAAAAGCATGAATCTGGAGCTAAGACTAAAAGACTAAACACTTTCTGTAAAAGAGCTGTTTGTTGTTCAAGGACATAAGTGAGCAGTTTTTATTTTAGAGACAACATTTTTATGTTTGTGACCTGTTTTTAAAAGATTAACGTCCTCGCTAGAACTGGAAAGGCTTAAGGGGCTGAGTGCTCCAAACAGGGAAGTCAGAGAGTATTAAAAGTCAGACTTATATTCTGAGTTTTGTGACATTTTTGGGGAGTTAGTTGAAGAGGGGGAAAAGTACTACTGCTAACCCTTTTCAATCCAGATATGAAAAAACAAGCAAAAGAGCATAAACAGGCAGAGGGAGGAAAAAAAAAAAAAACAGATGGAGCACGTTGGTCTGGCAGTTTGAGCGCCAACAGCGTGCACAGAGGCTGTAGTCTTTGTCACACCAGTTGCCATGATCATTTGCTGGAAATTTCCCCCCATTCTCTGTTTCTCACATTTTCTGTCTCTCTTGAGCTCTTTCAATAAAACCAAAAATGCCATAAAAGAAAAAAAACATCAATGACAATGTAAGCGTCTATTAACATGTGTTAATTGATTTAGATGTTTTTATTTATAAGTGTCGCACAGTTAAATTCAACAGTGTGAGTCTTGTACCACTCAGTCTTTCCTTTCTCTCCCAGCTTCAGTTGACAGCCGTTCTTGAATATTCACTCTGAAGTGGCCATAAAAAAGCACAACGCTGCTAATTTCACCTTGGCTCTGCTGAAAGTCAATGGCACTTAAATGACCCTGAGGCGCGTTTTCAGCAGCCAGGAATCGGACGTGAGGCAGCAAAAATTGTCGCCGTGCAGAGGAAGGTGACAGACTATTCCAATAATCTTGTCTAATGTGAGCTATTTGACCCTGACTTTTACCCAAATGCACAAAGAGGCATGAGAAACACAGGAGGAGTGGATGGAGAAAGACAGAGACAGGTGAGGATCTCTCTTTTCTGCTCTCTCTCCACTCCTCCCTCTCTACCTTTAGAGATGGACGGAGGAGGGAACATTTTAAAGTCAGATGCCTCCGAAAGTGACAGGCTGACATTTGCTTTTCAGTGTGACTGCTTGTGGAGAGTGAAGATTGGCAGTTAGGCAGTCAGAACAGGCTGGCAGGATGGGAGAGGAGATGGCAGGGGTCCTCTCTCTCCAGACATCTTTCCTGGCAGTTAGCAAACGTGTGTATGTGTGTGTGTGTGTGTGTGTGTGTGAGTGTGCAGGTGTGTATGATTGAAGCCTGCAACTTTGCAGGCATGTGTATCTATGTGCCCGGTGTGCATGTGTTCTCTGCAAGTATGTGCTCGCTCCTCTTTCTGTGAGTGTCTGTGTGCCACCATAAAAGATGCCTTTCCTGGCAGCTGGCAGCTCTGCTCGGCAGTCGCTGTGCCAAGTTTCGCCTGTTGCTTAGCAACATCCAAACCCAAATCATCAGCCAGGAGAGGAGACCTGGCCGTGCTTGATGCCAACCAACCCCCCTCCTCCCCACTGCTAAGACTTCAATCCCCCCACCAAGTCCATGTCTCTGCCAAGATTGCCACATTTTTTTTCATATTTTTGGCAGCCCGCTCACAGTCAGCTGAGGCTGTGTTTTTATGATCACAGGTAAGGCTAAGCTGCTGGTTTGCAGACATAAAAAAAACAACAAATAAAGACAGAGAGGTATAGCCTTTGCTTGATTATTGTGTATTCTTCATTACAAATATTCAAACAGGGTGATAAATGAAAGGCACAACTGCAGGGAAGCTGAGCTCATTAATGCTTTTATGCTGTCTGTTTACTTCATTTGTTAAAGCTGAACTTTGCATCAGGCAACATCAGATTTGAGTCATAATTAATGACTTTCAGAAATCAAAAAGCTTCTAAGGACATCTATCACGAGATGGTGAATATCAGAGAACTCAGTAACCTCTGAGAGATCACGGTGAGGGTATGACTGACACGGCTGTAAAACAACCAAGCCTCACATAAAAGCTGTTAGAGTACAGTGGTGCAATGACTTTTCTTACCTGTAACTAGGGGTTGGAATCACTAGTGACCCCAAGATACAATATTATCACGATGCTTGGGCTACGATATGATATTATTGCGATACAGTAAGAATTGTGATACAATATATTGTGATCACACAAATTTTTCAACTGTTTAGCTAATTTAGTGTTTGGCTCTCCTTTGTTTGTCTTATTTACACTATATTTTATTTTCATGTAGCACATCTTGCAAAAGGGCCAAGATTATACCCGGTAAATACTCATGTATAATGATCTCAATTTTTTAGAATCAGCTGCTGTAAGGGTGACTTTTACTGCTAAATGGTCTCAGCTCTGGTGGAGTTCAGATAAAAGAAACTGTCTGAGAGATTGCTCCATCAGTTACCTTTCAGCCGCTGACTCCTAAAACTACAAATACTACAGATGCTGTTCAGAAGACGGTCAAATCTCTTCATCAATTGCTTTATTTTGGCGTGAATTAAAAACCAAAGAGGGGCAGTGAAGTCCCACCAGAAACAGAAGCCTTAAAGAATCAATACTTTTAATTTGATGTTTAATTTCATCTATGGAACCACAGCAGAACCCGCTTACATAAAACAGTATTGCTTGGATGCTTTAGCTCTGAAATGACTTCTCATAGCAAAGTTTGGAATCATAAAGTTGATTTGAAGTTGAATAACAATTTACTGGTTAAATATCTGACTGATTCAGTTCTTTTGGCAGATATACTTTTCAACACCACATGATTTAAAAAGACAATTAATCACTTATTTTTAACCTCCAAAGGTATGTAAAAGAATAGAAAACGGAAAGTAAACATAACAGCAAAACTTCAAAATGAATCCTCCCTGATTGATTTGCAGCAGTGATGCTCCAAAGAACTTCCAAACCGTGAACAACACGACACAAAAATACAAGAAAGAGCCAGATTTGGTTTTCCTCTGCAGCTGAGATTTTGCTTTTTTCTGTCTGGTCTGGTGCGTCTCCGCTCCTCCATCAGAGCCTCTTAACCACTAAGTCCCCCTAATTCACAGGTCGACTAACACTAACGTTTGTTGGGTTTGTTTTGCAATGTTTATGCCTCCAGACTGACAAAGAGTGAAGGAGAGACACAGAAATGTCATTAAGTCTCTGAGTTTTCTCAGTCCTGACCTGCAGCTTGTCAAGAAGCACCCATAAAATGACTAAATCATTAAATCTACTGTTTTGAATCTGTTCATTGCTGGTTGACTAATTGATAATTTTAGAGGATGTACTGCCAACAACAATCTAAATACGTCAGCATCATCTCTCAAATGAAAAAAGACAAATAATAGCTATCAGTCCTGGTATCAATAACAGTATTGGAAACAGCGTGGGTGTTGGTATCTACCCTGTTTTTTCACGATTAGCACATTTCCAGTTTAAAGAACAACCAATTGGAAATTTAAAGAGCATTAAATGGAGCAGACACTGAATGCCAGCTTTTGGTTCATAGGTTTCTGAAAAAAATCTGTTGGACTATAAGAGGCTCTTTAAACAGATACGGACATACATCAGCAGTGCAGCCGTGCAGTGAATCTAAGACACCAGAAAAAAAACACCCACAAAGAGAAGAAACAGGATTACACACCCATGTAAGTGCTGTTTATTCTGCAGTCCTATAATATGGTGTGTGTGGGGTGTGTGTGAGTGTGCGAGTGTGTGTGTGTGTGGTCTCGCATGTGGTTTTTTGGTGGGTGTTGTTTGGCAGCTGTTAGCAGATGAAAGGGATTGGCGGACTTGGCACTGACACTTGTTATGAGTGAATGTGGAGAGGCACGGCCTGTGTGAGTGTGTGTCTGTGTGCGCCTGTGTGAGAGTGTGTGAGTGTGTGTGTGCATGTCTCACCATAACATAGTGTCTCTGGATCTCTGTCTTCTCTGTAGCCAGTTTCTCACATTCCAGTTTCAAACTGCAACAAAAAAGAGAAGAGGAAGAAATAAGAAAGAGTTGCTGAGTTTTAATGCGTATAATATTCAGAGTAAAAATACACAGCGCAATTAGCGACATGACAACAAATTACTCCTCGCACCCTCAAGCTCTCCGTCACCCCCCCTCCCCCTTGCTCTCACTCTCAGCGGGGAGGGGGGGAGCAGGGTGACTGGGGTGCTGACAGCCCATTATCACCTCAGAGCAGAGCAGAAATAGACGAAGTCACGCTCAGAGCCTGAAACGCAGCCAAGACTGCAGGCAGGCACATCCAAGGTGTCTCTCTCTCTCTCTCTCTCTTTTTTCTTCTCCTCTCTCTGGACAATTTTCAATCTACTTCTGTGCCCTCCATTCCTCCTCCTCATTTTGTTGCTTCCCCAATTACCAGACGCTCCGTCCGTCTATCTGTCTGTCCGACCGTCTGTCTGAACGCTCCTACCTCTCTCACCTCCGACAGCCCACTTCACCAACTTTCACTGAAGTAGCTCGAAGTGGGTCAGAGGGGCCAATTCTGCCTGAAAAATGTAATAAATCGGCCTCCCTTCTTTTTATGCTCAGGACATGACCCCTGTCTGTTGCTCGGTCTGTCAGCATGTCAGCCCGCTCACACAGACACGCACACACCCTTGACAGCCAAACACCTCTTTCCCATGTGTCCTATAACTCTGTTCGTCCTCTGTGTCTGCCTGTCTCTCCTCACACCCAAAACTGTCCCCTGTGTCCTCTAAAACTGGAGAACGCTGATGGCTGAATTTGCAAACACATGCGCACACACACACACACACACACACACACACACCTCCACATCTGACTACACCTCCCCCGTCACCTCTGCAAGTCTCCCTCCATCTCCCCCGCCCCACCTCTCCTGGGACGTAGTATATTTTGGGCCTTTGGCAGTTTATGCAGACTTGTTTGCAAGCAGCAGATATATTGATGGTGTGTGTGTGTGGGGATGGTGGGGTGGAGGTGTAGTGAGGTGGGTTGTTGGAGGTGGGTAAAGGCAGGGTGTGGTGTTGGTGGTGTGGGGGTCGTTTGGCTGAGGAAAATTAGAATATGATTAATACTGCAACATTACCCACAGCCGCAACAGGTAATAACGGCCCCATCCGCTCGCCTCCTCCAGCCCCGCGTGCACACACACACATAATTGACTCATTTATCATCGGCAGCCAGCTGAGGAGGAGAGGGACGAGGGAGGAGGAGAGGGAGAGAAGCAGGATGAAGAGTGGGAGAGTGTGAGGGGTGAAGAAAAGGGGAGGAGGAGGGGGGGTTTAGTGAGGATTAAACTCCCCCACCCTATAGGTTTTATTACAGTGGAATTGCCTCTCGGCAGAAGTCACTCACAGCTGGGCTGAGGACTAATGCTACTGTGCATGTGTGTGTGTGTGTGTCTATGTGTTTGTGTGCGCACGACTGGGGAAGAAAAGCAATGTCCAGACACACACACACACACACACACGGGTTCTAGACAGACACGCACAGTTCACACAGATGATACATGATTCTTGTTAAGTCTCTGTATTTAAAAGAAATCACAGTTTTTAACAGATCTGGGATAATAAACATCTGCCGGGTCACTGTGTCCTGTAAGGTTAAAACTCAGGTGATCCACTGATCAGAGCGCCTTCATTTGCTGCACTTTTTTGCTGATATGAACCATGTTTCGAGCTAAAATAATCACAAATGGCACCAATCACTCAGTGGTGGTGGTTCGCCCGAGAGACTTGGCGACGTTCCCAGTAAACAATTAACTTTGCCAAACAAGAAGGAGAGATCGGCGACAATGACAAGAGATTACGAAAAGATGAGTTACAGAGTATAGCTTAAAAAAAAAAAACAGATGCAAGCGAAATGAAAATAACAAATTCGACCATCAGACGGAAACAAACAATCAGAGCAGTCAGCTGTTTGAGGCTGTAATGTCCAAAAACACACTTGATTTAACTTTTACTCACAATAGTTTGTCAGACAAACAAACTCACGGATTTCACATTAGTGCTTGAACAACATCTGACTGATGCAGATAATTAGAGAACAGTTCAGCTGATGGTCAACACATAATGCTAATATCGTGGTGATGTTTTGTATGCAACTGATTAAATACTATAATTTGACACCCATAATTTCTTGCACATTACAGTTTGGTAAACTGGGTAATCTTATGCAGCAACATACTTTGGATGATTTTTTGTTTAGTTTATGGGGGGAAAAAAACACTGGATTTCACAACATGACCATTATTTATGTTAGACCCAACACATGACGGCTTAATCCTGTTTATAATAACAGAGGAGTTATTAAACACTAACCAAGGACTGTTTTAGGCCCCGTTTATACGTATTTTTAAAACACCCTTCAATGAGACGCAAACTGAGAATTTGTACCCCCGAAAACAAGGCTTTTTAAAAACTCCAACCAGAGTGGAGATTTTGGAAAACTCTGTTTGCACAATTGCATGTAAATGGAGGAAAACAGAGATTTGGGGAGCTGACAGCAGATTGTGCGCAGGAAAGAAGGAAGGGATGTTGTTGTTGTTGCCGCTATGAGGGATTCTGATTGGCTAGTGTGGGCTTAAGCTTCTCGCTACACTGCCATCCACATGTTTGATATGCTCTTGACGGCATATAAACATGGGTTAGTGTAAACAAAAACTTTTCTAAAAACATAGTGTTGTGCACGCAGTTTTTTGTAAATGGAGAGGGTTAAATGTCCGTTTATGAAAATAGCCGGGCAAAGTTAACATTGATTTACATCAGCCTCACTAACGTGGCTGCCTGCAGTGTCTGCGCACATTATTTGTCTACCTTAGCACAGACCTCAGCCCGCACCGATTATTCCAAAGTGCCATTTAAACCGTCTTAAACTTCAGTTTCAGGCCCACAGTCTAAAATCAAAATAAGTTCTTAAAAAGCAGAGATGAGTATCAACTCCTCCTATCCAAGAAGCTTCAAAAGAGACCTCTGTTGAATGAAGTGATGCCCAGGAGTGGAGCTGGGGTTAAAAAAAAAACTACTTTCTTTTTTAAAGCCATTGAAAACTAAATGATAAGATATCAATTCACAAAATCCAGAGAGCAATCTGCTGAAATATCCACTCTCTCCAGGGTGGCCCTCATCTTGCAAGACCAACCTTTGTGCAATGAGATCTGCATGTAAGAAACAGTTCATTCAAAGCAAATATGACACGACAAGAAGCTGCTCCACTGAAGGTACTGACAAACCTTATAAGAGCTAGGTTAAAAACAGGGCTGTATGCACGATGGGGGCAGAATAAAATGGAAATATTGCAAACTCTGAAACCACTTACATGATCTTAAATAATGTATGTTCCAGGGAAAATCCAACTGCAGAGAGCATTTGCATTTAAGTCGCCACCGAGCTGTTCAAGTACCAATATCTGCTGGTTCAAGTAGTTAACCGGAGCAAAGTCAGCTGAGTAAACTGGTTTCATATTCGACAGGTGTCCTTCATACAACTACCTCACCAATTCAGCCAAGAAATTTAACCGTCTATTTAAGAACTGAGAATGATCTTCAGTTATTCCCTCTGCTCTGCCATTGTTGTGACAACCCTGCACCTGCAGACTCTGGTTCTGGTAGATATTATCTTATTAGTCCCTAAGTACTACAAGTTAAAGAAATCCTAAGGTTCAGACCTTTGCTGCCCAGTTCTATCAAGTAAAGCAAATATCGACTAAAGAGCACTTAGCAAACAATTGTCATCCACTGCTCTTCATAAACCGACTGATCAATGGCAACTCAACTTCTACAATGCGTGGTTTTCTGCACTTTATATAGAGACTATAACACACAGCAGGTCAGTCCATTCCAGTGGTTCACCATACTTGAAAAGCAGCCATTTGTGGTCTGAATGCCACATAAACAAAACTTCTTTGGCTCATCAGATTTCAATTTGGCAAATGAGCAGCGGAGAGTCAGAGGGAGAAAAAAAATCAATATCTCTTTACCCATAAAATCAGCCTTCTGTTTTTGGCACAGTGCTACAAAAACTGCACAAAAAAAGCTCGACAAGGCTGAAGAAAACATAAACACACACATGCACACACAGACAGACCCAGATATAAGCAGACAGTGTGCAGACAGACACTTGTGCTCACAGAAAAAGACCCCAAGGTCGCACTCAAAAAGAAATAACCGTTCCCTGCAAAATGGACTTCAAGGAATGAAATTACTGTGTGTGTGTGTGTGTGTGTTTGTGCATGAGTGTGTGTGTGCCATTATGTGATTGTAGGAGCATAAAAGAGTTGGACGAGGGAAGAAAATGAGGGAGAGAGGGGAGGAGAGCGGTGAGCAGGAAGTGGGTATTTCATGTCGAAATGATTGCCTGTAATAATTAGTGTTTGGCTCAGCACCATTTACTGAGAGGGAGGGAGGGACGGAGAGAAATACAGCATCACAGAGAGGGAAAAACACGAGATGGAGCGAGCGAGAAAGAAAAAAATCAGCAAGAAAATAGGAGATATGACTCTGAGTGTGTGTGTGTTTTCGTGTTTGTGTGTGTGTGTGTGCCATAGTGGGCTCGGATCCTCCAATCTCTCACTGGCGGTGACAGGAGATAAGATGATCATCCGAATGCGCTACAAATCTGCAGCCTGCCAGCCTTCAGACAGCTCTGTCAGTGCAACACACACACACACACGCACACATTTATCACTGACATACACTAACACACAACTTGCAGCACAGAAGCGTTAATGTGTGTATTGACTTAAGACAATGCACCAGCACACAAACACAACACACTCTGCATGCATTTTGTCACAAAAATGCCGAACATGAAGATGAATGCAGAATGTGAGTCCATGTGTACACAAACTCAGGCATGGAGACACACAAACACACACACACATGCGCGCACACACAGCCTGTGGAGAGTGAAGCATCTAATTAAGACAGTGCACTTTGTAGAAATGTGCCGACTGTCTTTTTAGTCAGTGTGCTTGAAACAGGCTGCTGGGTATTGTAAAAATGTCTACGCTCTCTTTCATTATTTCTCTTTTAATTATTTCACTAAAAGGAACAAAGACAACATTTTATTTTATGCCATAAATCCCATGTAAGATGCTATTGGTTATTTAAAGAGTATTTCATCTTTGTTTACAGAAGTGAAATTTAAGAAAATATTGATTTTCCTCTCTCAAATGTGAGGGTGTCAGCTGATTAGACATGAATATTTTTAATTATAGTATTTACAAAAAAAACAAACTGCTGCACAGTTTGTGAATACAACACACAAAGAATTACAGCACATCTTCTACCTGTACAATTTAAGGTTGTTCATCCCACGAAGAAATTGACTTTAAAAGAAACAATCTGGATCTGTTCTTCTGAGATTTCAAGGAAGACACAGAATTTCAACAACTCATCAGGACACTGAAGTTTGAAACTCAAACAAAACTAAGTTTTACTATCAACTGATTTCTCTGAACATGTTTATCTCATTGAATGAGACTTCGGTCTGATAGATGTGACATTACCAGGTTCATATGTTACAGCATTGAACCTCCACAGAGGTAAACTCGCTGATCGAGCAATTGATCGTCACACAAGACAATAAATAATTTGCATCGTTTCTCATCAAAATCATTAGATAACTTTTTTTTTTGAATTTGTGGAAGCTTGGACCCTGAAACACGACGGTGCACTTAGTTAAAGCTGTTGTGCAGATCTTGTACGGTGCATGATTAAGTTTTGTTCTCTGACAGAAGACCTCCTCCTGCAGACTTCAAAAAGTTTGCTACAGTTTGGTACTGGTCTCCAGAGCAGACCCTCCAGGGGTGGTTATGCTGAAGTAGTGATCCTTTGTCGTCATCTTAAATAAAGGATTGTGACTGGTCCGGTTTATATCAGACCATGGTAGCTGTTCCAGACCCACAAGCCAGTTAAAAATTCAGAATGAGGAGGCTGATGGGTCTGGAGATGGCAGGAAACTAACTACCCTGGTGATTCAGGAAGGGTGTTGGCTGCCTGTCAGCCTCAGAACGGCTGTCATTCGCTGTTTAGTCTGGCAGTTGTTAGCTAGTTAACGCTTGTGATCACTGCAGCCTCTTTTTCGTCATACTTACTCTGTCCCTCGCCTTTTCAGACACTCACAGACACACACACACAACCGCCTCCTTCTGCTCCTCTCCCCGCTGTCCTCTCTCCACCAGCGCATGTTGAACAGTCCAGGATTCATTCTAGTGGCATCCACAACACCATAGTTGTAATTGAAACAAGAGATGCACCAATCCATTTTTTGCGGTCCCTATCCGATAACGATACCTGGGCGGAGCGTATCGGCTGATATCCACACCGATCCAATACTACTGTTGAATGAACGAACAGTATACCTTGCCCTGTGAGTGAAGGCATCAGGCTTGACATTAGCCTTGTTTAAAAAAAGGTAACAAATTAACGCAGATATAAATTTACCTAATATTATTTATTAACAAATAAAAGAAGTAAGACTACTATGTATTAAAAGAAAAATTAATTAAAAGACTGGATCGGAACGATGGATCTGCGTCATTCATCCGATATCCGATCCAGTTTATTTGTCAATATCGGAGCCAATATCCGATCCAAATATCAGATCGGTGCATCCCTAATTGAAACTGATTTATTATCACCCAACTCTAACATACTGTACACGTAAATACATCACATTTAACCAGGCTTCTTTTTGAAACTGCTTTTTCGACCTTCAAATTTTTGACAAGCAAACAAAAAAAAGTGTCCCATGTTAAACTGGACCACAGACTTGGCAAAAAGTACCAATAAGTATTTCTTTCAGTATACAACAGGCCAAACTATGGCTGTTACTGTGGATAGTTTGATAGTCAATTATCAATAATTTGCCTTTTATTTATCAACTCATTAAAAGTGGGGTTATAAATAAGGTCCACAGGAAAATTTTGGGGCTCTTTGTTTCACATTAAAGAACATTTATTTTATCTCGATGGAAAATAGGAAGAAAAAAATGATAACTACACGGTTTGAAATATTATCTCCAATAAACATCCTGCTAAACTCAAATAATTCTTCAAGACTAGTTGATTCATGCTTTTTAAAAAAAAAGCATACATCCTAATAAATACCACTACATGATGCATGAATGTTTTAAATAAGCAAACATTTCCAGGCACTAAACCTACTGATCCTTATTAATTCTGACATGCTGCTAGCAGGTCTGGCTCCTCCATCACTTTTTCTGCAGTCTGGAGCCCGTCGTCGTCGTCTTGGCAAACAAGCATCATAACTGACACAAGTGCTGCACAAACATACAGCTAGCAGCCAGCAAAGAGCACACAAATACACACACACACTCTGATAGGAGCCATGTAGTGAGTGCACCAGTGTAGGGCCTTTACAGTGTCAGGAGCATTTAGCCTGGCAGCCTCCAGGTGTGTGACTGTTCACTTTACATCACATTAAGTATTGATCAACCTCTCCTCTCTGCTCCGCTGGAAAAACCTTCAGCCTCTCTATTCAAACACACACACACACACACTAACACTCACACTAACACACACACACACACACACACACACACAGGAGACCCACCCAGCTCGCCTGTGTGCTCTTTCATCAGCTCTCAAGGGTGTGCACAAGAGCAAATACACACACCTACACACACACTCAAAACAAAGCTAGGATCTTGTCGCACAATAGCAGCCCAACTGTACTCGTCTCTGCTGCCAGACTCACTGCAAGGACTGCTCTTTCTCCCACACACACATATACACACACACACAGTCACTCACACACACAGCCACACAATGAAAACAGAAGGAGGTAGTATCACACAAAGCACAACCCACAAATAAAATGCAAATGAAACTATATGCCAACAAAAAAACTGTTAGCCCTCCCTAAAGCAAATACTGTTTAATGATGTGATGAGTGACGGCAGTTTAGCAAGGAGGATACACGGCCATTTTATCTAATTATATTTGAATACAAACATCGATAAACATGAACCGTTCAGACGCTAAAAGTCTATTACTTTGTGAGACCTTTTTCAGTGCTAAACTTTGGTCAACGGGCATTTTTAGGAGGGTTGCAAACTAAATATTATAATGGTTACAAATGTTGAAACAGACAGATGCACAGTGTTTTTCATTCGACACATGACGCCATATTGCCACTGTATCTAAACATGGGTTTACATGTGCAATGTCCTGATATGAAGTAAGGAAATAGCAGGAGAGGAAGTGAGTGCATCTGTAAATTGCTGACTGCCACGAGGTAACTTAAATCTCACGCAGTAGCCTGGTGACAGTGGCAACAAAAGGAGAGCTGACTGAGGAGAGAAATGTCAAATAGTGCTACAAAGTCCCCTTGTTTCTCTCAGTGGAAACATCTAGTTTAATGTGAATTCAAACATATGCGCATGTTTGAACTTGACCCTGAACTAAAATGTTTGGTTGAGGCTGATAAGAATTTGCTGGGTTGCAAACCAAAACCATAAGAAGTTCTATTTTTTTAAAATAATATTTAATTTGACAGAATTATCATTAAATCAATAATCACATTCTGGATTATATCATGCCTTATCACACCACATATAAAGCCTTATGTCTTATTCATACAGTCAATTAGAGCTGTAACTAGTTTTTGGCGGGTCAGTGGTCATATGTGTAAGACATGCTGCTTTTAAATCCTGAAGACCAGATTTTACAACTAAACTCACTCCACAATAGAATCACAATATTGGTGTGTAAGAGAGTGAGCATGGATTGCCTAACATGGTCTGGAAATGATCTTGAAAAGAACGGATGCAATCATGAGTCTATATTTTTAACCTTGATGTCAAAAACTATTGTTTGACTTTGGAATATTAAATATCATCGGGTTTTTGGACGAGTCTATGAGCTCGAGGTTTAAGACTGGATATGTCTGTTAGGGGTGGGAGAAGAAAAATCGATACAGCATAGTATCACGATATTTTGTCTGGTGATGTATCGTATCGTCTTATTTACAAAGTATAGATTTTTTCAAATTAATTGCTAATATGAAGTCAAATCTATGATAATGGAAAAATAATATCAACTGTTTGTCTAGTGAGGTTGTCAGAGGTGACATCATAGAGCAGGAAAGAGTTGGTACAACAAATATATATATAAGGTTTGCAAGATGTGCTACATGAAAATAAAATACAGCATAAATAAGACAAACATAGAGGAAAGACAAATAATAAATTACATAAACAGCTGAAAAAATTGTATTAATCGCAATATATGGTATTGCAATAATGACTGGATTGCAAAATGTTAAAAATCGCAATAATATCATATCATGGCTGAAGTATCGTGATAATATCGTATTGTGGAGCCACTAGTGATTCCCGCCCCAAATGTCTGTCCTCACAGAACCAGATAATCTGAGCTGAACATCTAATGGCCTGAGTCATATATTTCCTCAGATTGTTAGGAGGGGTGAATCTGAGTTGAAGCAAATTTACAATTTAGTAGTTCGATTCTGCAACAACAGATGCTTTTTTTTTCACCAAGTCTTTACAGAATGATGCCAAAGATGACCCTGAAAACACAGAGGTTCATGAGTAAGGTCAAACAATACCTCTGCAGTAATACTGACCAGACATAACTCTTCTCTTTGTCCTTAGAACGACTCACAATCAGAGGAGTGACACACACACACACATGCTCGCACAATCAGAGTGTGTGTGGTATTGTGCTCTACTTCTGTGTGGTGTGAGGGCAGACGTGGTGGAGGGGCAAGTAAGTGATGAGTAGCAGCATGTTTGTGGTGAAGGAAGAGCTCATCTTAAGCAGACCACGCTCTCTCTCACACACACACACACACACTCACACACACACACAGAATAATGACTGATGTATGGCTGTTTGTGTGAGCGCGTGTGTGTGTTTATAGAAAGAGAATTACAGTAATGAGAGCTCTGTGTCAGCAGCTCCTCCCATCCCTCTCTGTCTGCTTATTACAGCCTGTTCAGATAGTTAACACACACACATACACACACACACGAGCAGAACAGCTGACCAGCCAATCACCCTTTAATTAATAAACCCTACCCTTTCTTTAGCTTTCTTCGTAACCTTCTCATCCCCTCATTCCCATCACAAATATGCCACCAAATCCAACAAGCGGCACACAAATTTAGAAACGCAGCCTGCCACCCACCCATTCATCCTCCCGCGCAAACACACATACACACACACACACACAGTTGCAGCTCAGCAGCACTAATCCCTTCCCTCCGTCTCTTTCCTGCCGTCTAATCCAACATCCATCAGAATCCAGCCACCTTCTCTGCAGACAAAATACACACGACTAAGCCCTGCTATTTCTGGACAACTGCTATTTGTGTGTGAAGATAATTGGAGACTTACATGTGTATAAGTGTGTGTTAAGCACATGCATCAGATTGGGAGTATGTCAGTGTGTCTGGTTCTGGCTCCGTGGGCGTCCAGGTCATGTATTCCCGACAGCGTTAATAGTCAACAAGTGGCTCTGATTACATTAAGGTGCCTGCAATCAGATGTGATCAGAGCTTTGGCCAGTTCGCAGGACAGCTAAACAAGACCACACTTAAATCCACTGACCGCTGTCGGAGTGGACCTCCATAATGGACTCGAAGGGTGTTTTCACACCAATGTTTTGCTTGTTGTGTACTGATTCAGATGAAATAATGACACATTGAGGGATCTCTCACACTGTGTAAAGACGGTCCAAAGCACACACACATTATCACTAGCTTTTCCATCTATCACTACATCAGCCTCTTTTTTCTAGGGATGCACCGATCTGTATTTGGATTGCATATCGGCTCCGATATTGAAAAATCAACTGAATCGATATTGGATATCGGCCGATACGCTCAGCCCAGGTATCGGTATCTGATTGGAAAAAAAAGAATGGGAGCATCTCTTCTTTTCCCCTCCATAGGTAGACAAATGCCATGTGTCCTTTTCCAAGTTTACAAACTTGTGAGTCAGCACATGAACCAAAGGAGCTTTCACCACTTTTTTAAGCTGTGTTGCTTGACAGCCAAGAAAATCCTACAGTCATATGCAAAAGCATGAGACTAGCTTGGTTAAAGTGGAGGTTCAGGTGATGAGATGAGGGAAATAAGTCTCCTGGTTTGATAAAGCTGTATAAAACTGTCACCAGTTGCTGAACCAGTAATTCAACAACTATTGTTGAATCCTGTTATGTAGCTACACCCTGTGCCAGCTTCTCTTGCTCGTGTTTAATCGGATGGTGTGTATCAACAGCCTGTGGATATTATTATTTTAGTTATCAGCTGCGGAAAATGTTGCTTTGCAGTTGCACTAAAACATATGTTCCTATTACCCTGCTGATTAGTGTAGCAGTCGAGAAGTCGTCCCAGTTGCTGGGTTAGTCGCATTTTCACTGCTAACAAAATGCTCTTGGATTTCCTGGGAGGAGACCTCCCCCAGGCAATCTCAGCTTGCTTGTTTGGCTCCACATCCGAGTGTGATTTGCTGTGTTCACATTTGTCCAAACCAGGGAGGAAACTGGCCAATATTTCTGAATAACTCTGAATGATCCAGCCCTCCAGCAGAGAGGTGAAAGCCCCTCTCATTTACACCGACCACGGAGATTGAGCATTTCTTTCTTTTTTTTTTTTGTTAATGGCTTCTCAGCACTACCCTCCAACCATGCAAAGTGTGACCAGTAAGCACAGCATTTGTTCACCTACACAGTTGAAAAATGAAGCCATGAGATTATGGTGTAAGGACAGCCTAGCAAGGATGTGTGTGTTGGTCTGCCTCGTTGCAGTGTGAAAACTAAGCAACTCATGATGTGGGATGTGATCATTTCTCACCTTTTTTATCTGTTTTGAAACAAAGAAAAGAAGCTGCAGGTGTGAAAAAAAAAAAATCAACTGACTTTCTTTGGAAACAATCTGTTCCCAATCAGCTTAAAAGTCCTGCTCCTCATTTGGAGTGAAATTGGCCTGTTTTGCTGATTTGGGTGTAAATGATAACTCCGGTTTTTTCTTTCAAAAAACCAATTACTGACGAGAGGATGGCATCCACCAGCTATCATTACAAACACAAACACAAAAAGTAGTCATAGTGAAATATATCAAGTTGGGCTCATGCTTGTGCGTCATGCAATCAGTGTTATGACAAGTATTTAATAGCCACCGTGTGTTTGGAAAATTCATGCTAAAGTCCATAATTAACTGTTATCAAATGCAATTAAGCGTGCGGTTAAAAATCACAAACTGTCACATTTTTAATATGATCGCAGTTAAAAATGTGTTTGAGATTTGAGGCTCAATAAAAATGGACTTGATAATGAATAATCATCGACTGAATTATTAACACAAAGTAATCATATCATGACACATCCACTGCATATTTCAAAGTTAAGCGTGGTCCAATCAGCCAGTCCTTTCTCATTTGACACAGTTGCATGTTTTTAAATTGGGTTTGTTCAAAAAGGAGGCAGGATTGTTTTTATTCTTGCAAGTGAAACCAGTTACTCCTTTTTACGGCTCCATGTCCACCTGTCAGATTACACGTATATAACAGAAGACAGAAGAAGAGGAGACATCTGATATTAGAGTCTGTCCTGATACTGACTACTACCATTGTTATGAGCCATGGTTACAGTATCAGTTTTCGGTTGTTGTCATGAGCACAAAAACACAACAGATTAGTACACTGTTTATACTAGCCTGTGGGCAGGGTTAGCTGTTGTAGAAGCAGGTATGATGTGTAAACAAAACTTTCTTGGAAACCTAGCCCGGCCCTCCACAAACAGTGTGCGGTGGTAATGATGCTGGAAGATGAAAATGGAATCACAAGCTCGCTCTTGCTTTCCAATCGTGTTCTTAATCCCATCATTCACTTATTGTTAATCCTCCTCGCTGGTTCTCAGTACCAGAGCTTGGCAAAGAGGGCAGTGCTCCAGGTATTTTGTAACATGAGGAGTTACACTGAACCGCTGCCAACAGAGCTGATCACACCGTCTCCACCAACAGATCCAAGGGTGACTCATGTTCGCTGAATGGCTTGACTTGTCCAGGTCAGAGGCTTTTCAAAAGGGTGGTTCACCTGAGATTCACAAAGATTTATTGACCAATTTTCCAGGAGTGGTCACAGTCTGATAACCCCGGGTTGTCCGTTTTCTAAGTGCAGGCATTCTTCAACCCTGAGGCGCGTACATCCAGATGTACAAATGGGTGTCAAAAAAGGGGACAGGGATCAGGAAAAAGCCCGTCTCTGTGCCTCTGGGAAAACTGATAGTACTACAGAGCAATCAGAAGGAAACAAATCCAGCACAAATTATTTTCCCTCTTTTTTTTTTTTGGTTCTTCACAAATGCTGAGAGAAACACCTCCACAGTGTTGTCTCATTCCAAATTCTTAAGTTATGCATGGACAGAGCAACAAAAATGAGACTTTAACCACAAGCAATCAAGTCATTTAGGAACAGACAACAAAACAAATATCAGTCTGACTCTGTCATTCAGGTAAAAAAATAAACAGCTGAGGTGTTAAGTTGCAACAAAACTATAAAACCAAAACAGAATGTTAAAGAGAAGACATTTAAAGTTCTGTGGAAATCTTGTATTGAAAACCATACTAGGGCTGGGCGATAAACCGAAAATTTACCGATACTGAAATATACGACAATTACTGATGTCATTTTGCCCATATCAGTATATTCAGTGTCAAAATAAATACATACATAAAAGTCAGTTTTGGATGTGTGTAGGTAGGCTATGGTCTCATATCCCTTGAAGACGATGTCCTGCGTCAGAGATGTGACTAAACCCCATCCAGTCCATAACAGAGTGACAGACAGGTGAGGAGATGAAGCTTGTAGGAGTTGTGAAGTAGTTATCGTCCGTTTATCATTATCGAGGTGGACTGCTCAATATATCGTGATACTGATTTGAGACCATATCGCCCACCCCTACTGAAAAGCATGCTATCCCCCTCTCTCTTTTTTAAGGGGTTAACATATTGTACATGCTTGTGTGGGTCCAGGGAATCCAGGCTAAATGCTGATGGGCTCACAGTCGTAAACCTCTGGAGAGTAGACAAAAGCCCAAAGACACACTCGCATACTGGCATATGTGTGTTCACAGACACAGCAGTAGCCACAGGGGTTAGAGGGGCTGTGGACAAGGGCGCTGTACAAAAGAAGTTTGAAGTGGGACAGAGTGGGAGGGAGGGAGGGGGAGGACTCTGGCCTGCTAAATCAAAGCAGGGTGAGAGGAGAAGAGTAGAGGGGAAGGTGTGCCACGAGAACACAGACAGGGAGGGGGGAGGCAGGACTCAACACAACCATCCTGAATCCCACATTCAAAAGGCATTCTGTGCACATTCCTGTACATCAAGCACACCAAGCAGTTACGTATATAGAGAAAGAGACGCCTGCATCTAACCCCTATGGTCCAGCAAACTGTGCCAAGAAAGTCAGTCAAAACATCACATAGCTTTGCACGATCTCACAGATAGAGGAGAGTTTGTTCGTGTTAAAGACAACAAGAAGGAGAGAAGAGGAAAATGTCACCTTGCAGAATAGCTGAACACGGTCCAACTTTTTCAACGGCTTATTTTATGGACATCTGAAAACATGCTGCATTGAGCAATATATCAAAAGTGCACATAACTAGTAGATTTCTCTGTGGAATTAACTCAAGACAGTCACAGTGATGACTTTCCAGAGTTGTAAAATCCTGCCAGAGGGGGTTGAACTTATTGATCTACAACTTCAAACAGCATAAATGGATCGCATGTAATTATCTCACCTGTACATAAAGCAACCCACCAAACTACACAAAACTCTGGAAACGTTACAAAACTCTTATCACCCACCTGTGGTACTGGGTCTGCAGGAATTGAAACTCCTCCTTGATGCGGTCCAGTGTTTCAGGGTAGGTTAGTTTCAGTGACTGGGGTGTCCCCGATGCTGCTGCAGCTGCAGCTGCCGCAGCAGCCACCACTGAGGCAGAGGAACCAGGGGGTGGCTGCAGAGGTGCCTGAGAAGAAAGAAAACACCCATCTTAGAGATTTAACAATATAAACACGTATCAGATTGTTGACAAAACCAACAATCTGATATGTTTCTTTGTCATGTGATAAATCTAAAAGAACAGCTTTACTGATATAATTTCTACTATTTTTCATGTTGCACCTATGTAGCACATCACATTACATGGACATGTGAATGTGTCTGATTGTGAGGGGTTGTGTGTTTCTGTAGTCACCAGCAGAGCCAGATGTGAAGGGGTCATCAAGACTTGGATGAGAAAAAAAGAGCGCGACAAGAGCCTCTGAGCCAAATGAGCACACTTTGTTTAATTGCAAGCCTGAGTGGACGAGGGGAAAAAAAGAGAGACGTGGAGTGCTTGGAGGGGAAAAAATGGAAAAAGGAGGACCCCATCGTGGCGAAAGACCCCTCCCCAACCCTGTGCTTAGTCTGCCATCTCCGCAGGGTTCAGAGCAATTAGGGGACTACAACCATAGGGGTAATGCTGCAGGACAGGCAGACAAAAGGGGACTGAGAGCCGGACTGGGAGGGCGGTGGGGGCTATCCGTCTGTCAGTCTATACGGCTCTCTGTCAGAATAACAGAGTGAAGGGGCCAACAGGGCAGCCAGTTCACAAGCCTCCCTATGGTCAAGTATGATGGTGAGGTTAAGTGATAGTAACACTGTAAGTTTTCCCGCAAAAAGAGCCGCATTTGAGCAAGAGAGTCTCCTAACTTTTCACAATGACAGCATTTTACTTTCTTTCACCAGTAATGAGAAAAAAGAAAAATTAAGGGGGGATATCATTTGATCAAATTACATTGATGATTTTTGATTAGGTAAAAAGTCTAAGAATTAGAGGCTATTGTGTAAATCATCCAATGATCAATTATCCTGACAGTAAACCTGTAATGATGGAAGACACAGAGCTTTGTATTTACAGCATTTGCTGAACAGAATCTTCTTTTGATTTATATAACTTCTGGATTAGGGTGCAGAGTTTCCTATTTAATCATTTTCATCCTTTTGAAATATCATTTCTCCCATTCATGACTTGGTTGTTATTGGCCAATACAAATACAATCTATTAAGCTTTCCAATAGGGCTGGGTGATATGGCCTCAAATCAATATCACGATATTGAGCAGTTCACCTCGATAATGATAAATGGACAATAACTACTCCACAAGCTGCTCAACCCCTCCCACATTAACTTCATCCACTTCAGCCGCCGCTCCAGCTGCTACAACTTTTGAACCATCCTCCATCTCCTCACCTGTCTTTCCCTCTTTGTTACAAACTGGATGGGGTGAAGTCACGTCTCTAACGTAGGACAGAGTCTTAAAGGGGACATGAGACCATAGCCTACCTACACACATCCAAACCCTAACTTTGATTTATTTGTTTATTTTTACACCAAATTTACCGATATGGGCAAAATGGCATCGGTTATTGTCCTAAATCTGGGTATGAGTAAATTTTCGGTTTATCACCCAGCCCTACTTTCTAGCTCTAAAAACCATGTGTAGCACATGTGAGTAAATGCAAAACAACATTAAGAATTCATCTGGGTAATAAAAATCATCAACAAAGTCTGTCACACATTAATGATATTTGATGAACAACTTAATCACAACATCACTTGACTCCCACTCAAAAACGACTCCCAGAGGATGAATTTTTCAAGCAGGTTTTTTTGCTTTTTTTTTTTTTGCATTTTGGCTCATCAAGAGAGTAGAGACAGCCAGGAGCTGTGACTATATGTGCATTTGTAAAGAGACAGTGTGTTCATGTGTGTAAAAGAATTGAACACAGGGGACGTATCAAGCCGAAGAAGAAGCTCTTAGAGGTGTTTCAGCAGGTGGAACATTATCAGACAGGAGTGAAAAAAGAGTGTGAAGAGAGGGGACAAAGAGAGAGATTTGAATTGAAGGTAAAAAAAAAAAAAAGTTATAGATGGAAATAAAAATGGAAAGATAATATGGTGAGAAAAGCAGGTGAGGAAATTACACACAAGGGATTGAGAACACTGAGTAACTGTTTTGAAAGGAGATGGGAAAAAAGAGAAAAGATGGTGGAGAGAAAAAAGGAAAAAGAGGAAGGAGAAGAAAGGGAGGGAAAGGAAGGAAGAAAGAAGATAGGAGAGGGGCTGTGGCCTCATTGTTCCTCTTTCTAACAAGCTGCTCTCAATCTGTCGGCCAGATCCCCTCCTAGAGCCCAGACAGGCACACACACACATACACACCCCTTTCCCTCACACAAAACCTACTATAACACACACACATACAGGCACAGAGAGATATACACATTTTCTACATACACACTCCCACAAAAAACCCCATGATTAAACGCACACATAGTCTCCCCTCCTCTTTCACGGGACACACACAGAGCAATTATTCTTCATGGGTGAAAAAGAGAGCACCAATGCTATCTTAAAGGAATATAGAAGGAGAGAGAACGAGGGGATCTGTATTTTATCTCTTTTTTATCACTCCCTTTCCCCTCTTCACACTCTTTTTCATGTTTTTTTTTTCTAACAGACAGTCGTGTCTCCAGAGGACAGGTGAAAGGAGAGGGAGCACCCTCATCTCCCTCATCTCAGAAACGGATGCAGGAATGAAGCCAGGGAGAGTTTGGGGGGTTTTTTATGTTCAAGAGAGGAAGAAAATGCTCCTCTTCTTCGGGTAGAGGAAACCACCGCCTGCCCGCTGGCTGAGCCGCTCAGACCCTTACGCACAACTTCAGTCTGCTGGTTTAGATTGTTATGATGAATCACACCAGACGAGACTGAACCCACGTTAACAATGTTGTCTCTGAAACATTAGCAGAGCAGAGAGCCCATGTCAGCGTACACACATCTCTTACTTGTCCCCTCCTCTGAAACCCTGATACATGCCTGTCCCAGAGTTCTGATCTGGCAAACAGCTGAGCAGGCTTTAAAGCAAGAAGTCGGACTATTGAACCGGCCTGGTGACCTCTGGGAATGGATCTAGGCTTGAAGACTCACCTTATAATCCTACTACACACAAGTTATTCCTTCCCTCTCACTCATGTCCTGGCTGGAGAGCAAACAAGAGGCATGCTGTCTGCCCTTGAATAAAGCTTACATAGACTGAAAATCAGGGTTACACAATTACAGACTGGATCTTACGCACAATCATAAGTAAGGCTCTGTAATACTGAGAAAGGATTGCAAGAAGTTGGACCGCATTAGGGAGACAAGCTTTTATCTGTTATGATTAGAGATCATCTGATTACTCAACTGTTTGGATAAATAGGTGGGGAGGCCCCACGCGGGGTTACCAGCACTGCTGTGTTCTGTTCCAGACAACCAGCTGGGAAAGCTATAGGCTAAAGTTAGATATTTAAAGCCTCCTATTACACAAGCTCAGTGAGGAAAGCCCTGAAGTGACCCCATCACATCAGATGCACAGGCGTGCCCACACACGTTCACACTAATCTGGCTCTTCACTAATCTTGCCCTGGAAGGTCTAAGTAAATTGCAATGATTAAATGAGGACCTGCTGATGAGGGGATGAGAGTGAGGGCGTGCACAGGTTATCTTTGGGAACAGAAATTATTTAAATCAGACCCCACATCCCTTTAGTGGAATAGGATAGGAAACAATCCGCTAAAGCCATTGTGTGAAACACGCTAACTGGTGGGAAACAGATGAACATGCAACCACAGAGCTGTGCTGAAAGGTCAGCTACATAAGAGATCAGGGTCTGCTATGCACACACCAAGGACGTACACAACGACATGCATGCAAATACACACAGGAAAGCACAATGAAACGCACACCTTAAAACTATGTGTGCAGGCAGGGACCATTAAGATCATGGCATTCCCTGAATGAAATCATTCCGGTTTTCATTTGAGTAACCTCTAATTACACCACAACCACCAAACCACTATGACCTCACATCCTCGCTTTAACCCCCCCACCCTCAAAACATCATGCACATACACAGATGAGACTACACACTCACAAAAGCCCACTCCAAACTCTAAATGGATGTGTGCAAGACGCAGTTTCCCACAAATATTTACAAGCACACATGTACTTTATAGTGTTTGCACATGACGAGAGCTGCTGCGTCAATATAAAGTGGTATCCACAAGATGGACTCGATCCTCCATGCTGACCCACAGTGATATATAATCTGCTAATGGATGTGGAATGGGGCCATCAGTGTAAGACCATAAGGAATGAGGAGAAGGAGACCGTAAGGATGTGTGGTCCACTGAAAGGAACGCTTTTTGCTGTCTTTCTAGTATAACTTTCACAGACTAGGAGGTAAAAACATTTCTCTTGGATGGCCTCGAACACTGTTGTTTCTCTGTTTGGGTTTATGTTGCACACAAATTAAGGTTCACCTAAAGTTCAACCAAGGGACCAATTGTGCTAATCTGTGTTTAAATGCATACTTATTATGTGACAATGTTGGATGTTTAAGGGTGGGAATCAGCAGATATTATCACAATACAATATTATTACGATTTTTAACATTTTGCAGTACAGTAAGTATTGCAATACAATATACTGCGATTTATACAATTTTTTCAACTGTTTAGCTAATTTAGCGTTTGGCTTTCTTTTATGTTTGTCTTATTTAGGCTGTATTTTTTTTTCATGTAGCACATCTTGCAAACCTTATATTTGGTGTACTAATTTATTCTTTCTCTATGGTGTCACCTCTTCCAACCTCACTGGACAAATAGTTGATTTTATTTTCCATTATCATAGATTTGACCTTAGATTAACAATTAATTTGAAAAATCTATACTTGGTAAATAAGACGATACAATATATCACCAGACAAAATATCGCGATACTATGCTGTATCGATTTTTTTTCCCATCCCTAATGTCCATATTATAAAAAGTGGCAAAGTACAATTACAGGAAATACACAGATGTCATCAGCATAGTGTCCTAATGTGTTTTCCAGGTCCCTTCAACAGCTCATTTCTAGACATGGCTACAACTCAGGGTCAGTTTGTGCCATCTTATCAGGGAAAGGGCTAAAGGACAAACCCACCTGGAAGCTCAGTCGAAGACACACCCATCAAGAAAGTCTGTTCGTCTTTTTCCTCTGTTATGATCAAAGACACAGTAAACTGTGGGAGACTTGAGTGTTTTTGGACACCAACGACAGCATAGCTCACTACTTCAATGATGGCTCTTCTGTTAGAGGCTGGTTGGAGCTCGATTTGTATCTCAAAAGGTTACTGGAATACCTGAAGCTTTCCCCTCTCCAAAGACTTTCTATTAAGGCTCAAGATCACAAGCTTAGAGTAACATCATTAAATTAGCTAATGTAACATTTGCTAAATATGCTAACGTAGCTGAATTGGGGGCTAAGTGGGCACTAACAGCGAGCCTCAGACATTTCCTGTAGAGACACAACGTTCAGGTTGTATCCCGACCACAAAACTGTGTAAAAGTACACCCATGAGCTGGTTCTGACTTCACAAGAAAAGCAGCTAAAACCAAGAGTTTCAGGCAGAGGCTGAATAGTGCTAAAATTAGCACCTTCAAGGATGCCAGTATAAGATAAATACAGTGTTTTTGAGCCTTACGTCATGCAAAGCTATTCTATAGGTGTCTCAAACTGACACAGAATTGAGAACAAAAGGTCTCCTTTAAATGCTGTAAATGTAGATACTGTTATAAATGAGCCCCTCAGTTAAGTGAAAGGTCTTGTTTCATGTTGAAATAATGAATGTTGCATTGTGCCTTTTAACTACAGGAAACAAACAGGCTTTCCACCAGCCCACAAAAAAGTTTTACAAGTGCAACCACCCCATTCCTTTAACAAAGTGTAGGATGAAATATCAAGAAGCAATGTGGTGCCATTCTGACTTGTGTGATTAAACACATTCAGACACCACCAACGATAAATATGGATATTTTACACAAAAAGAGGATTCTACGTTAATCACATATCATGATATATCATTGAATCATCCTCCAGTCCTCCAATAAATATTGATTGTAGCTGAATGAGTTTTTGAAGGCGAAGGCAGTTTCTCTCAGAATTTAGTATTGCCTTGTATGGATTTCCAGAAGTGTGGAAGCCTGACAGACACTATACTCACACAGTTGCTCAAAAGTTTTTTTGTTTTTTGTTTTAATTTAAATCCAGAACACTGATTTTGACAAGTTTTGACCACATATTATATATCATATTAATAATAAAATCTGCCCCATGGTAAAAAGGCAAGAGAACAGATTTTGGCACAGTGCTCATTTGACCACAGTGCTAAAGCCAGCATTTTAACATGCTGTCGGTGTCAATGATAAATGTATTTTGCTTTGACGTTGTCTTACCAATGCTAAACATATAAGCACAACAAACAAACATTTCTTAAAGCCACTAAAAAACTTTCAGGGTAAGAGATTGCTGGTAAAATCTATTGTGACAAACTCAAGTTGTGATTGCATTTTTATCTGGTTAGGTCAAAAAGTTGTGTGCTGACTCATTCAGATGTTGGTAGTATTTTGTACAAACTGTTGCCTGCTGGAGGCACTTTTGAGAAAGTCAGGGTATAACCAAGGTCATTAGAACCATCTTTATCAAGCAAACACTTGAGACAAGTCTCCGCCAGAGCACGGTACAGGCTCATTCACATTGACTGTCTTGCACTAAAATGGCCAGAACAAGCCAAATGTTAAGAGAGCAGTTTTCTATTTGTTTCATTGTGACTGAAACACTGTCTCCTTAAACTAAGAAGATGCTGTGCCGCTGCCTCCCTTCATACAGCTCGGCCCATTAGTCAGGCCACTAATTATACTGCTTACCCACACAGTCGATCATCAGAGTAAACACCCACCAAGCACCCTCTCTTTCCCTCTCTCATCAGACTACCACCAAGGACGCAGTGACAGTAGGTCCGACCCAGAATAGAAATCCTGAATGTGTATCTCAGTGTACCCACCCACACACGCCTAAAACACACCTCCCCATCTCTGAGGGCTGTGAAACAGGTCAATACACCATCCTTTCTCACAAGTGTTTGAAGTCAAAGCGTCTTATGTCAAATTATTCAAACACATCTGTCAACATTCAGCAGTGATTTGCATTGTTAAAGCTGCTTGTGCTGGGAAAGAAAAGACACAGGTCCTTTTGCCCAACTCCTCCATCTCCCAACACCCCCACTGAACATCAAGTGGCTATCTGCTCAGCTCAGCGCTGGAGTAACGTGCTGGTAATCTCTCAATGATTCCTGCACTTAGACGGGAGGGGCTGCCAGGCACCTGTTTCATTAGCACCACACATCTTTCTTCTACAGCACCCCCAACCCCTCCACCTTCTCATTCCTCTCTCCTTCCTCCCGCAAGCCTCGTTATTCAAATTTCCCTGCTGTCAGCCCACATTAGCAAAGCGCCACAGTTTGCCTGTCAGCTTGCTTAATTGCTGGAGGTGCCTTCTTTTATTAGGTAACCCCCTCCGCTCGTTTGTTCCTTCCACTGAGACACAGCTTCACAACAGCTTGTGTAAACCTGCGATTCCCTCAGCTTCTTTTACTTCATTTTCTTCTGCCTTTTCTTTGCCTCTCTCTGTCTAATCAGAGGCTGAGAAAAGCAGGCAAGCTCCTGATCGATAGCCACACTCTCACTGCTGGACAACAGCAGTGATAAAGAGCTAAAAGCATGCTAGGACTGGGAAGTGGAGGTTTGCTTTGTGCTAGCAATGAGAACAGAGAGAAGAGAGAGCTCGGGGACTCTCACCGCAAAAGTCAATCTTCACAGTTTAGATATTTATTTTGAGACACCACAGCTTGAGGGGGTTGATTTGAGGAGATATGAGACAGGTTGGTTGGGATTTAGGCCAAGATCATACTTGGCAGAGTTAAAACTTTTTTTTTTCCTGATTTAACTGTTATTTAGATTTCTATGTCCATCATACAGCTTGACGTCTTCAAGCTCGGCCTTGTTCAAGTTTTGAAGCTCACTTTTGTGGAGCTTCAAATTTAAATTAGCCAATATTTGTGTGGTTGATTCGTGATAATTAACTACGGATCCAAAGGAAAAAATCCATGTCATTGTACACTCTAACGACTAATAAATATGACTGTTAATGATGCGTTCATGGTTATCATTGCTGAGGGCACCACGATAAAAGTCACGAAAATAGGGACATATTGAAATATTTAAACTCTTGTGATTTTGATACCATTTTCATTCTTAAAAACTACAATGGTGGATAGGGCCGCATGATGGAGGACAGTGAAAGGAAGTTGTAGTATTGTCCCAAAAAATGTTTTTATCACAAAATTTATGTTGTAGTTTTGAGTATTTACAAAACAGAGGTAATACTTACAGGCTATGTCCAATGTATATGTACGCTTAAACAACATTTATAAGGATGTCAGAAAAGAGGCCTGCTGACTGCAGGAACATGAAGAATACCTTGATTTTCAATTGTAATAGTTTCTTAATTACAGCGGCCCTAGTCCTTCATCAAAAAGCCTGCATCCAATTATTTCTGATTACTTTTTTTTGGGATGGGGGGTCAGGTTGAAATGAAACTTGTACCGGTGCTTTGAGGGATGCAGCCTTTTCACAAAGACCACAGCTGATTTAACTGCTTAGTTCAGCTGTGGTCTCTTATACCTGATATGAAGAAAAATTCATAATTTGCTCAGACAAAAGAGAAAGTGGTGCCTCCATGTTGAATTTTTTTTTTTCCCAGTAAATGTACACACATATGCGGATCCCATTCATTAGCTTTGAAAAGCAAAGTCTGATTGATCATTTATTGGTGTGTTTGTTTTCCTGAAATAGGCTTCAGAGAAAAAGGCAAAAAATACAGCTTTGTTTACATCATGACTCGTACACTGAATTGTAACCTCTGTGTCATAATGTGGACTCTTGATTCCTTTTGCACCCCTGTATCAAAGTAGCATTAAATAGGTTGAAAATAGGAAAAATGGCATAAGAACAGCCATCAGCCAATACATCACTCATTTTAATTTCTTTCCTCAAGCACCAATTTATAAAAAAGTATATTCTCATGACACTTTAGAAGGAAGCAGGTCTAGACTATACTTTTAGTTTAATCATTTTATTGCTCATTGTTGGATGATAAATTTGATGGCAGGGTTGGTTGTGAATCATAGATTCTGAACAAAAATAACACCTAAGAAAAGGTCTGAAGCGCTTCATGGGTTATGCCCGAAAGACAAATACAATATTTGGCTTTTACAGCCTGTAAGAAACTGTGTTTGATAAAATAAGCATTACAAGATAATGCATTTTAAAAGCTGGACCAGTGAACCAGTCATTATTAAATTCAGCTAAAGTGTGTTCTCCAATCTGACTGATTTTGAAGAAAAGGTTAGGGCTAACGTACCAAAAGAAGTAGCGCGCATATGTTTACAACAGCAATAGTTTAGGTTGAAATGGTTGTTAAAGCATATTTTTTGATATCTTTGTGTGACTAGATTTTTTTTAGCATATATGTTCCCTAAATGACAATTATAATGACTAAATGTTACAATGACCTAGCAAGGGAAAGCTCTTAATTTTAAGGACATGTTTTGATTTTTGTTCATTTAATACAGTTTGATATGCTACTTTGATGTTTTACCTTTGTGTTTGTTACTGCCTTGTACTGTATGTTTCTGTCAGTGTGGCAGATTCAAGAGAAAATTAAGGATTTAAGACAACCGGCTCTGCCTGCCATGTCCTGTTCATTTCTCAGCTTCTCTACTGTATTTGGCAAAATCCCAACATCATCTGGGCACATACATGAGCTTGAGGCTTTTTCAAGAATGTCTCAATGTCATGTTTATGTTATGTTGACATTACAGACTCATTACATCGAAGCACTTGATTAGATTTTTGTTTTCTGGTTATGAAAGGTTCAGCTATTGTTATAAGCCACTTTACGGTTTACAAAATTTGCAAAATGTGGAATCACAAATAACCCAAATGTCCATTTAGTCTGTTGTGCTTCACACCTCAAAAAGTAGGGCTAATAAAGTGGTTTGAAATTTAATCCTTGTGCTACAGAGTTGAAAATTATGATAACATGCTTTATGGCAGATACAAGACATAAAGTCTATTTTACTATGAAAAATGTAAACACACAGGAAGCTAATTGAATAATTCTTGATAATGATTTGGTCTAAAACATTCCTATATATTTATTAACACAGGCTACAGGTTTATGTAATATATGGGTCACATTCTTCAAAGCAGAAAAGTGGCCAGCGATGACAGGTTACTGCCAGCCCAGCATTTCAGAGAATAAACAGCTCGCGGGGCAGAGTGGTCCTTTGGTGTGAGGTGCAAACAAGACTTTGTAAGAACCCAAAGACTTTCTGAGGACGGGTGTCTCACATGGTCCTGTTGAGATCTGCAGAGGGCTGAAACGAAACAGGGAGTGCTGGCCTAAACATTCCACCCAGACCCGCCGCAGTCTGCTGCTCTCGCCCTGGGACGCCTGCCCATACATTAAGATGTGGTTTGGAGCTCTCACAGGAACACAGTGAAGAGAGGCTGGATGAGAGGGATTGGGTTTACACTGCAAACCACAGAGCCACAGTCTGCCTCCTGCCCTGCCTTCCTGCAGTCAGATCCACTACATACACAGCTGTTGGTGTGAGCGTGTGTGATGTTTGTGTGTGTGGTTAAAGGGGACTCATCGGATCTCTTTAATACTTAAAAAAAAAGATAATAAGGTTACAATGCAAATAATGTAAAACTCTTTTCTTTTTAATGAATTTGTGGGAAGATTTAAGTCACTTGAACACGCACATTTGCATGGACTCATAATTCACAATGTGCTTAATCTGGTGTTAATGCATTGGACATGAATGTGAAAAAACAGGGGTGGGGTGCAGGGTGGCATGATTGAAGGATGTAGATGAGGGTTAGGCAAATGAGCAGGTCTTAATTGATACTTCACACAGCTGGAGGACCAGTGTTTATGTATTTCAGTTGGCTCAAAAGCTCTCCACCTATCTTGACTAAAACAAATCAAAGCCAGGCAGCATGAATATCACTGCTAACCCTCACAGAGTCTCAAAACAAAGAGTGTGCCAATTTCTTATTTTGTCTTTACAATCACATTAGTAGCATCTATCGGGGGACATCTGGCAATGGTAGTTAGCTTTTTGAAGAAGGCTCACCTCCTTGACACAATTCTTAAAATCAGTAAATCAGAGGAGGGGGATCCTGACTGAATAGAAGTTAAAAACAAAAGCAGATTTTTTTAATGAGTGGCACTTGAGAAGGGCACACCATTGAGTGGAGGTGTCAACAAGCCAAGTTGACTCACCCCTCTCTCACCCTCTTTCTCTCTTGTGGGGAAGGGAGAAACAAACACTCACTTCATCATCTGGGTCAACTCCACAACGTTATGGAAATAGAGGGAGACTCCATGTTAAGTGAACTCGTGGTGGCCACCAAGGACATGAGATTCACACATTAAGAAAATAAAATACTCAGCAAAGTTGGGAGCTGTTATAAGAGGGTTTCTTTCACACTGAACCCCTGCTGACAGCAACACGCCTGACCGTCATGCCATAGAGATAAAGCTGGGCGTTCATATGAGGAAAAAAATGAGCATTTCAGGACATTTTCCCACAATTGAGTCCCCGGAAATGCTCTGTAAGGATGACATACACTATCCAGGTTTGCAACCAGACACCATCTAGGTTAAGACTTTTGTTAATGATGTCCAGTGAGGTTAAATGAGGGTGGTCATTGTAAGTCACGTTTTTAATGGAGGCTTAAAATATAAAACAATAACATCGCGTGCAGACGGTTACATAGCAACGTAGCCTACTTACCGGTGGTCGGTTCTGAGGAAACATTGTAGCCGCCGACTTTATGTGTCTCCGTGTGCGTTTTTTTTTTGTCCTTCCTCTTTCTCTCTTTCTGGGCGGAAAGCTTCGTCGAGAAATACGAGCAGCCGATGTACTATTGTTGGTCTCAGAGAGGCATTTGGCCCGCTTTCAAAGGTAATGGCAAAGCTAGTCTCGGCTCGTTCATTCCTTGCTTCAAGACTCCTTTGTTCTGGGTGATATCTCCAGCCCCACAAAACCGCACCGCGCTCGACGTGCAGTAAGGACGGGGGAGAGGAGAGAAGAAACACACCGTCCGTCCGAAGCTAGGGGAGCTTTCTGTCCCAAGTCCTCAACTTCGCGCTTCCAGCCTCTACAATATCTCGAATGGTTTCCCTCTCCGATATTTCTCCGCCGCCTGTAGCGTAAAGGCCGAGGGAGAAGGGGGGAAATGTGGTTAGCTTGTGGCTTCAGAGACGGACACACCGCCGGCACATTCAATGCAGCCGCAGCCTCTTTTGTCTCGCTCGTTGGCCTGCACTCTTTTCACACAACACTCCCAGTCCCTCTCTCTTCACTCACTCACTCCCCCCTTCTCTGAATCTCAATGGGACATAACATATGAGGAGCTTTCTTAAAGGAGGGGGGAGAGCTAAAGACAAGGTTTACCTCTCCCTCCCCCCAACACTTTGTTTTATCCAGATTAATAACCTAATGTTCATTTCCCCAGAACGAAAAATAACCCAATTTACCCTCAAAGTTGAAAAAATATCAGACAATGCACGTCTTTAAACAGCCTGATGGTATTTGCGAAGAAACATTTGCATAGTTTTCCTCCTTTAATTAGCTTCGTCTTCATACAACATGTAATTGAAAAACATACACACACAATTAAGACTTTTTAATTTCATATAAAGTGCAGAATATTGTCAAGAAATAGGGGGTTCAGAGGAAGTGTTCAGTGATTGAATGAAATCTCCACGTGGGGCTCGGCCTCGGCACAGTAAACACTGGTACAAGGAGCCAATGAGCATCGAGGACACCCACGTGGGGTCTGCTGACCGGTTGCTGATTGGAGCGCACAGGTAGCACAATGCTCCTCACGTCAATCAAGTCGACTACAACCACTCTGTAAGGTTAACCCTTTCCTGGGTACAGGGAGTGATTGAGAAGGCGAGGAGAAGTGTGGTGGCTGTATCAAGATTCAGTGGTTTCCCCTTTTTCTCCCACAAACCGTCAATGAATTGAAAAATCTTACATTACCCCCTTCTGCCTTTGTTGACGTCTAAATGAATATACGTTTTCCTTGAACATCTGCATCACCCACATGTCAAATTGAAGCTGGACAAACATTAACAGGCCAAAAAGATCCAAACAAGAGGAAAGAAGGGGCGCAGAAACACAGTTGTGATAATTCAGTTACATTTGTACAGTTTTGTATTATAGGCACGCGTCGTTGTTACCTGGAAAAGAGGCAGAAATGGTGGAAAAATTGGTATTCTGGTGGCACGACCCCTTTGGCAGGGCTCATAATTAGAGAGAGAGATATTGAAAAAGCAATTTCTGACAGTGGAAATCACAACCTGCCAGAGGTGGAGTTGGAAAATATAGATGGGTGTGTGTGTGTGTGTGTGTGTGTGTGTGTGTGTTTGTGTGAGTGTGTGTGTGTGTGTGTGTGTGTGTGTGTGAGAAATAGACAGAGAGAGAAGGCAGAGGGGGAGGGAGGATGGGAGGTAGGGGAGGAGGAGGAGGAAGAGAATAAAGGATGAAGGACAGCAGGGGGGATGCTGAGAAAGACGAGCCAGTAGGAGGGTTAGAGATTGAACGAGAGGGAGAGTGCACACGGGTGATGAAAAAAAAAAGTGTGTGTGTATGTGTGTGCGCATGGAGGGACTGTGTGTGCGCTTGAGTGTGCGCTGAGCAGACAAGTGAGAGAATGAAAAAGAGAGGAAAAAGAGAGAGAGAGAGAAGGGTGAGGGAAGCAAGTGGGCAGAGGGGAGAAGGAAAGAGGGGAAGAGAGAGAGAGAGAGCAAGAGAAAGAAAGATTTTATTGCCATTTTTTTCCCATGAATTTTAATGCACAGCGCTGGTCTCCCTCCTTGGATTCTGGGATCACATTTATTAGAAAAAAAGCCATGAGGAATGCAGTGCTTTGCAGTCTGCTGCTGCACAGGGGAAGGTTTCATGCCTGTGTGTGTGTGTGTGTGTGTGTGTGTAAAGCTGAGAAAGGGGGTGCACAGGATGTTTGTTGCTGGGGGAGGCATAATAATATAGATGATAGAAAATGATAAGTGAAGGACACGTATTATTGCTATTGGCAGGTCAGATGAAGGAGTGTGTAAGGTGTGTGTGTGTGTGTGTGTGTGTGTGTGTGTGTGTGTGTGTGTGTGTGTGTGTGTGTGTGTGTGTGTTGGCCCAGCTCCAGTGATTAAATACACATAGTCCACAGTGCCCTTCTGGGAGCACTGGGACATCAAAGTGGACCCACAGTGGCGCAAGCACACAACGGTCATAATGTTACAGGAGTTCTTGGTTTTGGCTCCGTTGTGTGAGATTGTAAAGACACGATTGTGTAACAAACGTTAATGCTAAAGTGCAACAGAACATGCGCTCATCTTCACACACCCAAACAGTGTTAAAGTGCCTGAAGGAGCCACAACAGTTTGAGGTGTGGGAAAAGTAGCATTACGACAGAGGCCACCACATGCCAAACCTCCAGCTGAGGATGCCAAAATATCACCAAACAACAGAACATCAGGGTGTGTGTCTGTCGAATGAGGTGATAAAAACAAGATCAGTTCCCACAAAACCCAAAGGAAAGCATCATTCTTCAGTGGTTGCCAAAGGTAACATTAATGTCAAAGTGTGGTTGTGATATTAGCAGTAAACGATGCCCTGACTAATAGAGGACAAGGTGTAATAGACAGATGTGAAGTAGCCTAAAAAGAGTCAAACATTAAAATGTAACACTTTCATTTCATCTTTTGTCAGCATGACGAAAAGCCTTGGTTCAATTAGTGCCATTTATTTAGCGCTTCTTCAGTAAATTTCCACTTGAGCTGTTCGTTCATGTTCGTTTCCTGAGAAAATGTTCAGCTATGTCAAGCATTTACAGTAAAAATCTGTATTTAGAGGGAGACCTTGAGAATCCAAGAGCAAGGCCTTTTCACAAACATACAGTTTTGCTGCTCTCATACATTTAAGTCACACTTGCAGAATCTACAAGGGAGATGTTTTCCACAAATCATCTACAGATCAAATGGAGCTACAAGACATGCTGATTTTCACCTCTTCGGTAATGATGTTCTTGTTGTTTTTCCTTAATTTCATGTTTTTTTATACTTCATCCCAGCCATGCCCAGGGCAAGGCATGTGCACACAATTAAGAAGTTAATTTCCCTTTGTTAGAATTCTGTATGCTTCGTTATTCGCATTTTTCATATCTGAAGGAGGCAAAATCAGATACGTTACATTTTGCTTAAAGTTCAAAATCAGCCCTGGACAACATGAGAAAAGAGATGACATAAAAAAACAAATTTGTCACCAGTTTAATTTTGCTCCAATCCAGAGCAGACAGAGTCCCCTGAGAAGAAGTCCCCCACCCCTGAGAGAGAGGGATGATAATGGAGGAAGGTGCTTTGGTGTGGGTCATAAACTTTTGGTTTTGTGGTATCCCAATTTAATCTCCCTTCTTGGCCCCTCAATTTCTTCCCAGTGGGATAAGAGATGGGAATGGCCCTTACCGCCTCAGTGTGGGCTTGAGTGACAGGAAGACAAGGCCACAGTGTTGTTACGCTGGTGCCCTCCCCCACCCTCACCCCCAACCCCCACCTCCACCTCACTTTGCCACCCCTCCTACCCCTTTGCTGTCCCTCATCAGACAAGCTGGGTGTCAGCATGAAGACGGGTCCGTGATTTATTGGTCTCTAGTCCTATGGGGTCTGACGCACACACCTCCACACAACCCCCCCCCCCCCCCCCCCCCGCCTCCTCCCCCACCACGCTTCATTTTCCCATCCCCTCCCCCCTCCTTCGGAAACCCCCCACCTTTACCACCCCTCCCCTCATGTCCCCTCTTGCCGCATGGCCCCTGGGGGAACGCAGGGGTAATGACCCACATCAGCAGCAGCTATGCTCACATGCACACACACACACACACACATTCACACACACACACAAATTTTGTCACACATACACACACGAATGTTGCCGCACATACCTTCCAGGCAGATACAAATAAATACCCTGTGTGACACACATACGCACACGTATGCACACATAAAACACACTGACACATTTATGCCCACAGGCATATGTGTGTGTGGGAACTCAGGAATTCCACTGGTGTGCCGTAACGTTGTTTCTCCACTCTCTAGTCTCCTTCACAGTGAAGAGATCGATACAAAACCATCTCCTATGGTATTTACTAAACTCTCCTTTTTTCACTAAGTAGGAAAATTTTCATTATAACCTGTAATAACCTCAGGAGAAGGGGACGCGTTTCTCCTCATGTCATAGAATTGCTCTTTTTTTGAGACAGAACAAAGGGATTATTTGTGTGTCTCTGCAGTGAAGTGGAACAATATCTCCTTTTGACTTTCCAAATATCTGCGAATGCACCAGCTTGTGTAATTTGGCCATAAAATACAAAATTGCTCTGCACTCCTACAAAAAACAGACTTTCCTCATCATGTCTGGTTGCAAAAAGACTATTCTTTGTATACATGAAGAATCCACACACAGGGTCAGGGCAGTGATTCCTCATAGTCTCATATTCTGCAGCTTTTAAGGCATCTTTTCAGAGACTGATTTTAAATTCAGGCTGTCGAACCACACTGAGCAGAGAGTGAAGAGGTTAAATCTGAGCATTGACTTGCAAATGCTACTGACAGCACTCTGCATGTGCTGTCACTCCACTCTCACAGCCTGGCTCTCGTTTAAAAAAGTGTACCGCCACAGGTTCCCACTTAACATAAGGGCTGGGAAGCTGGAGAGTGCAGGTCAGGTGTTAAATTGTGTGTTACAGTGGGAAGGAGAATGCATAAATTAATTCCCCGTTAAATGGAGGACAAGGGATGTTGTGGGGAGTGAAATGATCTGTTTGATATTTACAGAATATGGTTTCAAATTAGACTAATACATAGAAAAAAAGCAATTAAAACACAAAAGAAAAAGTAAAATTACAAAAGAGTCTCTTAAAAAGTAAATGCAAAAACGATGAGTATTAAAAAATGGCTAATAACTACTACTGAAGATGATGATTATAATGATAATAATCACCATCATTATCATAAACATACTATATATTATTATATTGTTATAATTATAGAGAAAAAAGAAACAAACATAGAAAATTGGGCTCTGAGCTGTAGTATGATGGGTTTAAGATCCAGCAGAGGCTTTCTGATGGGTTGTTGGATTTTTCTGGTTTCAAATTCCAGCTGGAGCCTTTGCTCATTGGGCTTTTATTTTCTCCTGTTCTAACAACAGAGATAGGTGATGCTATCTTTTCACCTCCATTTTTTTTTTTTTGGATTGCCACAATGAACCGAAACTACACTGACCAGGCCAGTGGTGTAGTGGTTTGAAC